AACGACCACGGCCACTTCATTTGCTGTTATACGCCCTTCCCTCTCTGAAACATTGACGTACCTATGTCCATCAGAAAAGGAATACCATTTAAAAACGTACAAAACATAGTCTTACAGGTATTTACACCGCTGGCTGATGCGAGCTTCGTTCGACCTATGTTATGGTTTGGTGCCCGCTTTGCTGACGACTCCCCCTGCGCCCCCTTATTCCCTACACAAAAACATCGCACAATAAAATAAACAGATGATTTTACTACGATTTGTCCGATCTACAGGATCTTTTATCATCAACACATATAGTGAGTCTGAAGCTATTTACGTGTTCACACCTAGAGACACTTCCATCATCCTGCTGCAATTTTTATTTTATTTTTACACTCGATTTTATCGCCTATTCCAGATCACACAGCAATCATGAACCAGATCATCCTCACATTTACGAGGAGGTCCCAGAAATACCCGACCCAACGAAAAAAACACATTTTGTAAAAAAATGTATTTATTTTTCAACATAATCTCCTTTGAGCTCTATACACTTTTCCCAGCGATTTTCAATAATTTCGATACCCTTTTTATAATAAGCTGTCTTGCTCCTCAAAATAGTCATTAACTGCCGACATCACTTCTTCATCGTTGGAAAATCTTTGACCACTGAGCCATTTTTTCCAGTTTGGAAACAGAAAATAATCCGAGGGGGCTAAATCTGGTGAATAGGATACATGAGGTAGCAGTTCAAACTTTAATTCGTTAATTTTGGCCATTGCAATAACGGATTTGTGTGCTGCTGCATTGTCTTGATGAAACAACACTTTCTTCTTAACCAAATGCGGCCGTTTTTGCTTGATTTCATCGCTAAAAACCGACGCCATAACCTTGCCTTCAGATGAAACGGTCTTCGCCTTCTTTGGAGCCCGTTGTCCGTTTTGAGTCCATTGTTTTGATTGTTCTTTTATCTCGGGTGTGAAGTGATGGACCCATGTTTCATCCATCGTTATGAAACGACGCAAAAATTCTGCTTTGTTGCTGTGAAACTTCACTAAACACTGTTTTTGCTCGATTGTGAGCAATCGCGGCACCCATCTTGCACACAGCTTTCTCTTGTCCAAATTTTCAGATAATATGCGATGAACCGCACTTTTTGAAATGCCTACTATGTCTGATAGCTCGCGCACTTTCAGTTGATGATCATTCAGTACCGCTTTGTAAATTTTCTTCGCCATTTCTGGAGTCGTCACCTCATTTGGTCGACCATTGCGATGCTCGTCTTGGCAGCTCATACGGCCTCGTCTAAGCTCTGCTACCCAATATTTTACTGTTGTAAATAAAGGAGCAGACTCACCCAGAGTAGAATCCAGTTCAGCTTTTATATTGGTCGGGATGAGGCCTTTGAAATAAAAGTATTGTACCACATAACGATGACCAATTTTCTCCATTTTCACAAATTCACTGAAAACGTTCAGTATTGATGGCTGCCAAACAAATACTAAACAACGTGGCGTCTTCAAACTTGACACATATGCTTTATAGGTTGCATACTTTCCAATACAATGATATTTTTCAAACAACTATCGCCATCTCTAGGTCAGCCGGGTACTTCTGAAACCATTCTCGTAGCTGCCTACAGTCACGTTTATCACATCTGCAGACGAGTTCATGGTTTTTGCAGTCGCTTTTATCGTCTATTCCAGTTAACCCAGCAATTATGAACCAAATATCCTCACATTTAGCTACCTACAGCCACTTTTATCACGCCTTTAGGCGTATTTTGATTTTTACATGCATTTTCATCGTCTGTTCCAGATAACCGTGCAATCATGATCCAGATTATCCCTACATTTAGCTACCTAAAGCAATTTTCATCATACCTGAAGACGTGTTCGTGATTTTTGCAGGCGTTTTTATCGTCTGTTCCAGTTCACCCTGCAATCATGATCCATATGATCCTCACATTTAGCTACCTACAGCCACTTTCATCATCTCTGAAGGAGTGTTCGTGATTTTTACAGGCGTTTTTATCGTCTGTTTTAGATAACCGTGCAAGCATGATCCAGATTATCCTCACATTTAGCTACGTACAGCCACTTTCATCATATCTGAAGGCGTGTTCGTGATTTTTGGAGGCATTTTTATCGTCTGTTCCAGTTAACCCTGTAATCATGAACCAGATGATCCTCACATTTAGCTAACTACAGCCGCTTTCACCATACCTGCAGGCGTGCTCATAGATGCACTGATTTTCATCAAGCTCACAGGCATTTTTATTCCAAAGAACACAGCACATATAGTGCGTCCATATTACAGTGAGCCCTAATCTATATACGTTCCCACACCTAGAGGCACTTTCATTTATTCTGCGGCAATTTAATTTTTATTATACAAAGTGACATATAAATCCGAACACCCAGTTTAAATGGTTTTATTTTAATAAAAAATGGTGAATGTATTTATCTTACTGTAAATAACAAGTGAAAAAATTGTCAGCTTTATCAGTTGGACATTCCGGTTTTTATACTGCTTTTTTTAATTCACTAACGCTCTAAAAATGAATATTTCAGCCGCAGTAAAGAATCAACGTTGGCGGATTTTGGTTCTTGACATCCTTTACGATCGGTTACGATGCCTATAGTACGGAGACCTGTACGATTTCGTCAACTTAGTGAGTTTGATAGGGGCCGTACAGTGGGACTTCGGGAAGCTGGACTTTCTTTTCGGGCAATTGCAGTTAGAGTGCAAAGCAGTGTAGACACTGTGGTTAGGTGTTGTCATGCATGGCTTCGAGAAGGCCGTACGCAAAGAGCAAGGAGCACTGGACGCCGCCGTAGAACAACAGACCGTGAAGATCGCCGCCTAAGATTATTGGCCTTAAGGGACCGTTTCTCCACTACCAGGTCCATTGCAAATGAATGGTTTGCAGAACACGGAAGACCTATTGGCATGCGAAGTGTTTACCGACGTATGAGAAGTTTTGGCTTGTTTTCATACCGGCCAGACTGGGTCCTCCCTTTAACTCGAGAACACCGACGTAATCGCCTTGAGTGGTGCAGACAACGGTCACTCTGGGATCAGGAATGGAACAGTATTGTCTTTAGTGACGAGTCTCGATTTTGTTTAGGCATGCACAATGGTCGTGCCAGGGTTAGAAGGCGACGTGGTGAAATTAGGAATCCTCAGTTTTTTGTTGAAAGACATGTTCATCACACTGTTGGAGTTATGGTTTGGGGTGCTATAGCTTATGGTTCCAGGTCACCTTTAATCTTCATCAGAGGTAACATGAACGCGCAGCGTTATATCCACGAAGTTCTAGAACCCCATCTTTTACCCTATCTTGACACCCTGGCAGATCCAACTTTCCAACAAGATAATGCCCGACCACATGTTGCAAGAGTCACAATAGACTTCTTTCAACATAATGATGTCACATTGTTACCATGTCCACCAAGATCTCCCGACTTAACCCCAATTGAACACGTGTGGGATATGATGGGTAGGAGATTGCTCAATTTACAACGTCCTCCTCAGACTCTAGAAGCACTTCGAGAGGAGTTGGTGGTTGCCTGGAATGAGATACCACAGGAGGACATTGACCACCTGATCAGAAGCATGCCTAGGCGCGTTGGAGAATGCGTAGCACATCAGGGTGCATCCACACATTATTAAAGGTCAAAGGGCTTTAAAGCAGTGCAATCATTTTGAAATTTTTATCATTTACTTATTATGCTTCATTAAGTACTTATACAAAATTTTATTAAAATAAAACCATTTAAACTGGGAGTTCGGATTTATATGTCACTTAGTATATTTTTATCGTCTATTCCAGATAACCCTGCAATTATGATGATGATAACATTTAGCTACCTCAAGCCACTTTTATCATACCCGCACGCGGGTTCCTGATTTTTACATGCGTTTTGATCATGTTCCAGATAACCCTACACATATCCTACGTCCACGCAATAGTGAACCCCGTGCTTTCCCTAATGCTGCACCGCGGATTGATGCGAACTTCCCTGGACATATGATGTGGTTGAGTGCACGACTCCTCCTGCTGCCTCATCCCCGGCCCAAAAACAACGCTCAATAGAACATACAGACGATTTTACCCCGATTTATCCGATCTACAGGCTCTTTTATCATAGATGCAGTGATTTTCATCAAGCGTAAAAGCGTTTTTATCCAAAGAACACTGCATATATCGTGCGTCCACATTATAGTAAGCCCGAGTCTATTTACGTTTCCACGGCCACAGGCACTTTCATCATCCTGCAGCAACTTTCATTATTTTTACAGTTAATTTTATCATCTGTTCCAGACAGTCCTGTACCAATCGTACGTTCAGTTCCACTCCACTCCAGTTAGCCCTGCAATCATGAACCAGATGATTCTCAAATTTGGCTACCTACAGTCACTTTTATCATACCTGCAGGCGTGTTCGTGATTTTTGGAGGCGTTTTTATCTTCTGTTCCACTTAACCCTGCAATCATGGTCCAGTCTCCAGATGATCCTCATACTTAGCTACCTACAGCTACTTTTATTATACCCGCATGCGTATTCCTGATTTTTATATGCGTTTTTATCATCTGTTCCAGATAACCCTGCACATATTGTATGTGTATAGTGAACCCGTTGCTGTCCCTGGTGCTGCAGCGCGGGCTGATGCGAGCTTCCCTCAATATATGGTGTGGTTGAGTGCACGCTTCGCCGACGACTCCTCCTGTTGCCTCATCCCCGATCCAAAACCAACGCACAGTCGATTTTACCGTGATTTATACCGATCTACAGGCACTTTCATCATCCTGCAGCAATTTTCATTATTTTTGCAGTTAATTTTATCGTCTGTTGCAGGCAGCCCTGTACCGATCGTACGTACAGTTCCAGACCAGTCCAGTTAGCCCTGCAATCATGAACCAGATGATCCTCATATTTCGCTACCTACAGTCACTTTTATCATACAAGCAGGCGTGTTCGTGTTTTTTACAGGCGTTTTTATCATCTGTTCCAGATAACCCTGCACATATCGTACGTCCACGCAATAGTGAACCCGATGCTGTTCCTGGTATTGCACCGTGGGCTGAGGAGGGCGACCTTGGACCTGTGCTGCGGTTGGGTGCCCATTTGGTTAACGGCCGCCCCCGCGCCTCCAGCGCCGCCTCCTCCTCCACCCCCAAACATCGCCCTGATCAAGACGACAACGCCCGTGCGGCAAATGATGCCGCCTCCGCCGCCTGCCGCCCTACTGCTGCCCGTGCCGCCCCATCCCGATAGCTCTATGGTAATTAAATATTATATGTAAGTGGGTGTGATGTCACGGCATCAATCAGGCATGTTTTATCTCTGTCTATTTTTGTGTATATATGTACAGTCGGTTCAGAAAGTTTGCCTGTAGCTATTTTTTGCAATAAATGATGTTAAGATAGCGTATAAGTGAGGATAAAATTTTACTATTCACTATTAGAGAAATTCCTACCATCAAAATAGCAAAATCGATAATTTGATTTTCCGCGTGAGCACGTGCTATGCTCGTTGCGAGGTATAAAGTATGACCTGTATCACAAGTCTCCAAATGCTTTTGATAATGAAATATGTAAGGAAGTTTGAAGAGATGAGATCTAAATCAAATGTCAAGCAACCCGGAGACCAAAGAAATTCCTACAAAATAAATAATTGGCTTCTTCTAATATCCTCACCTGCAGTGAGTATATGGAAATATCGCGGGAATTTCTGGTACCACAACCCCTGAATTTTGCTAGCTACAGTCAGAGCACTTGGTTTCAGGAAGATGTAGACACTTGTCACAAGTCTGACGAAAAGTTGCTCTCCAGCAGAGGACATCTTGTAAGCACCCAGAACTCCCGATTCTGTCTTTACTAGACCTCCTTTAGTTATTTGAAGTGTCGCTATACTACGATACTATCTCATTTGAAATGAGAGATTATTGGAAAATAAGTGTCTACTATCCTATAGTCTTTTTGCCTAAAAGTCTTCGAAAATTTCATGGTACACCTTGCTTATATTCCAGATGCTAAATATTCTTAATATTAGAATCATGTGATTCACAAACTTATGTGATCGACTGTACTGTTTTGTGACTGTGTGTTATCTTTATTTATTTTTGCCATCCATTGTGTACACCAGCCACACTGCTAAATAAAATACTTCTTGCCTAAAATGTCTAGAGAATGACTGAAATTTTCTGCTGCCTTTCAATTACTTCATGATTTTTGTTAATCGTCTATAGTTATACCTTTTATATGATTAGGAGTACTATTATTACTATAAATAAATATGTACAGGGCGCGGCAGAGAGGATGGACGGTTTTAAAAAAATCATAAAATAGTTAATTTTTACTCGAAAACAAATTTATTGATGGAATCAGGTTCACAAGGAAATAGCATTTGAGACAGTCAAGTGTGGAAAATGACATCAGGCATGTGGTGGCCGAAATCGTTGATGCAGTGCTGGAGGCGTTCTTGGAAGTTCGCGTAGACCATCTCCAGCATCGCTCTCTCAACTTGGGCGACTTCCACGCGAATTTCGCCCTTCAATTTGTCCAGAGTTCGGGGCTTGTTCGCGTATACTCTAGCCTTGAGGTGTCCCCATAAGAAAAAATCGCATATGGATAAATCTGGGGACCGAGGAGGCCAATGAACATCGCCAAATCTGGAAATAAGGCGACCAGGGAAGAGATGGCGAATAACGTCCATGGATGCTCGGGCTGTGTGGGCGGTCGCCACATCCTGCTGGAACCCCATACATCGGATTGGAACACGTCGCCGTCGTAATTCAGGGAGAAAAAAGTTGGTGATCATGTCGACGTAGCGCTCTGAGTTCACGGTAACATCACGACCATTACCGTCCTCGAAGAAGTAAAAGCCATGCAAGTTTGTGATACAATGCAACAAACCGTTTCTTTTGGGCTGTGCAGCAGTCTTTCGTGTAACTGTTGCGGATTTTCATTAGCCCAATAACGACAATTCTGCTGGTTAACCATGCTGTTTAGGTGAAAGTGGGCTTCGTCACTCATAAACAAAATGAGGTTCTCATTTTGATCGATGAATGCTTCCATCTCACGTGCGAAGTTCATTCGTTATGCATAATCTCCAGGCTGTAACTGTTGCACAATGGCCAATTTGTAGGGGTGAAAGCGGAGATCCATATGCAAAATTCGCCTTACCGAACAATCACTAAGGCAAAGTGCAGCAGCATGTTTCCGGGCAGATCGAGTCGGACTGCGAAGAAAGACCTGTCGAACGCGTTCAACATTTTCAGGAGTTTGCGGCGCTCCTCTTGGTCTTCTGTTGATCAGTTCACCACGCCTGCAAAATGGTTCAACCCAACGAAGGATGGTGTTTCGAGAGGGAACAGCTCTATTCCGATGAATGTTGAAGTGGCGACGAAACTCACGCTGTACGACGATGACTGACTCATTATTTCGGACGAAACAATCATAGGCGAAAACGCGGTGCTTCACCATCCAAGGCTCCATAACGACAACTGGTAAAATAATGCTAGGATCTAACGAGTCAAACAGCACCCTCCTCCCCTCTCTCGCAGACGAAGGCGCAGAGTACTACCCATCCCAAAAACGTCCGTCCTCTCTGCCGCACCCTGTATAATATAAATATAAAATATATTTTTCAAGCGAAGCAAACAAGCTATTTATAGCTTTTGAATACAACAAACGCTTTTAGGTGGTGAGGTATTTTGTTTGATTATTCCAAATAACAGATATTTTGTTTTTACACTAGATTTTAATTATATCTGTTTTCAAAAAGACCTTATATTTTTCAACGCTCTAGTTTGACAACTAGTTCACATTTTACTTCAGCGTCATAGGACTCGGTCTATTCGCCAAGTGCTATAGTGTAGAAGAAAGAACGGAAATGGCAGAAATCTTTCCGTACGCTTTGCGCGACTTTGAAAATCTAGCCGCTCTTAATGCTGAAAACTTTCCAAATGGAAGTCTGTGTGTTTTAATCAGCGAGAATTATCTATTCAAAAAGTCTGCGGCGGAACTTGAGAAACTGTTTTATTAAATGAACTGGAATATACATTATACAGTCATTTTTCTCTTCCGGTAGAATTTGTTGTTTTAATACAGTAAATGCAACTGCATATATGTACTGTAGACGGGTATTTCCAAGTAGGCGTTATAGATCTGGGATGGAGGGGGGTGAAATTACAGAAACAGCCTCAGGATTCATTTCAGAAGTCGTATATATTTTTTTCAAGTAGTTAGCAACTAAGCTCATTTTTCCTATTATACTCAAACAATTTCCATATATTCAGAAAAATCCGTTTCATTGTTCCAGGGAAACGCCGATTTGAGTGTCTGGAGTCCCAAATCGGAACTCCTCAACCAATCTCTACCAGACCCGTTGCAACCGTCTCAGTTGCAATCTATACAACTGCAGTCACTGCATCTGCAGCAGCCACAATTACAGAATCAACAACAACATTCACTACAGAGTCTTCCCCTATCCGATCTACAACAATCAACCAAGCACGCCCAGTACATCCAATCACCTGCTTCAGACGTCGCCTCGAACCTACAGTCAGCTGTACCGACCCATATCGCAGCTAATATGCAGCAAAGTCCTTCGAACCCTCTATCACAGGGTTTACAGCAGCCTAATCTCCCTTTACAGCAACATTTACACAACGCGCAGCACAATTTGTCGGACCTACAACAACCCTTATCTACCCCGCATGTTTTATTGGCATCTAGCATGCAGCAACGTCCTTCGAATCCCTTACCACAAAATTTACAGCGTCCTATTTCCCAGAAGCAATTTTTACAGCAACCATTATCCATCCCGCAGCATGTTTTATCGAATCTGCACCAACCTTTATCAAACTCGCAGGTCCTTTTATCGGATTTACAGCAGCCTTTATCGAATTCGCAGCACGGTTTATTGGATCTACAACAACCTCTATCAAATCCGCAGCCAATTTTATCGGGCCTGCACGATATGTCTACCCAGTACCCGCTGCAATCTCCTCCAGCAGATTTACAGTTGGAGGGGCATTACTACAGCCCTGAACCTCCCCCTCCCCCCAATGAAGGCGACTAGCTGTTGGAGTGGGACCGCTCCACTAAAATATAAAGCGGTCAGAAGGTGACAAGATGTGATCTTAAGCGACTGTGGTGTTCCGAATTTCGTGATAGGAACTGTAGGATTAAGCGAATGTTTTCAAGAATATTGTTAATAAAATGGATATTTTTTTATGTAATGATGAGTCACGAAGAGATAGAGGTGGAAGAAATATGGAAATAAGAATCGGGCTCAAAGTTAACAGTATTTGTATTAGATTGTCGAAATCAAAATTTGATAACGTGTCGATTTCTGAATCCGTTAACAGGGATATGGGTCCCTAGGGGACCATTGAAAATTGGTTCTTACTACAAAACTTCGTTAAAAACTCATCGCATAATGGAGAATTCACCAGAAACAATCCTGCCTTGAAAAAGTGCGACCATAACTGCTTCTCATATTTATTGGGACCGCAAAAATTCCCTACCGTCGCCTCCAGCCATCTTGGATGGCGGCATTAAGGGCCTTTTTGCATTAAACCATTTACGACGGAAGTTCGCAACTACTAGTAAAGATTAATTAATATGTCTGGCAGAGCTGCTGCCTCGAGGTCCTCAAGAGAGTTTTTATCAACGTATAGAGAATACTAAAAGTAGTATCACTCAGCAAACTAGTTTCTACCCACATCCATCAGGCCGCCCATGAGGCAGATGAAGGAAGCTATAAGCCGCAAAAGGAGATGTCGGGAGGTAAAGGACGTCCAGGTATACTGCAAATACGAGGGGCACGCTGTATATTTTGAGATGTGCATTAACTATACTAGTTAAAACCGGCAACAGTGCACTATTAGAAAGGACAGACTTTTATTAGTAAGTCGCCGCATTCAGTTCATTTACAAGCATCTTACAGTACACGTGGTGTAAACAAATTTAAGACGAAACATGAAGTTGTCTCGAGAGAGTTATCGCGCTATGATTTACTATGACTTTAAATTCGGTTTAACTGAACATCAATGTATCGAATGGTTACAACAGGCCATGTTCTAATGTGACTCCAGAAAAAATTGCTAAAGTTTAGCGGCTCTTGGGGTAAAAGCCGCAACAGTGCACACCATTTTGCATGATCATCTTCATTAAAAAAAAGTTGTTGCGTGCAATCCACGACAATCCCTTTAGCCACACTGCCCAACTAGACTTTTTACGCCACCGCCACATCAAAATGCTGGAACATCCGCATTATTCGCCAGATTTGGCAATGTGTGACTTCTGGCTCTTCAACAATTTGAAAAAAGATCTGCGTGGTCGAAAATTTTTATCCGAAAATAAAATCGAAGAAGCAATTAATCAGTTTGTTGGAGGCATTCTAAAAACTGGCAGGTTAGAAGCATTTCATTTGTGGAAGGTTAGGCTACAGAAGTGCATTGATGCTGGAGGAGAATACTTTGAACATAAACAAACTAGTTTTCCAAAAATAGTTTTTAGTTTTCGTTCTAAGTAATCAATATTTCGCTGCCGTGCCGCCAGGATCCTGTGCTATCTTAAAGTATAATCATCGCCCATCAAACGTTGCCCAAGCCTGACTCCAGGGGATTATTTCAATAAAGTATGTGAGCAAAAAATCACGGTCAGTCAACAGATTGGCTGTCACTGAATGCCCAAGTGGTGGTTTCCATTGCTGTGAGGAACTATTTTTAACAGTAATAAAAACTGCGAGCACCCTTCTGCTAGAGCGACCACTTTGCCGAGACTGTCCGTCGCTGAAAAAAATCTGGTTTCTGAGAAGTGAGATGGGAGTCCAAGCTTGAAAGGTTTTTCCGCAAGTGACCTAAGTATTCGTAGCCTACAATTTGCTGACGATTCTCGGGCGACAGCATCAAGAGTTTTTATGCGAGCTGAGAATAAAATGGACGAGGCGACAAGTAGATCTGGGACGTATTTAATTTGATATAGTGTTCATTAAGAGCAAAGTGATTGAAAAGCAAGAGCTGCGTCTCAGTTATGTACTACTAATTGCGACAGCGAATGTCCATTACCAGTTGATCTCGTATTAGAGATGGATAAAATACAGAGGTCAGGTGAAAATTTTTCATTGCGTAAGAAGAAACACCACCACACCACTGCTTTCTTTCAAAGCTATAAAATAGACTGTATGATTTTATTTCGTAATGTTCATTATAAGCTAGAATGTTTTTAAAGTTTCGCAGAGATTTCCATTTCTAACAGTACCATATAGTACGAAATCCACAAAATTATAATCAGAATTGAAAAACACCTTTTAGTATTTGAGAAAATAGAAAAGTATTCGTGACTCGTCAAATACAATCAAATGAAGACGTTACAGACTAAAGAATATTTTTTGCAAGTACTACTTTATTCCACAGACACTAATTGAGGAATTGAACGGAGGTGATGTACATATAGATGAAATAAGAACAGATAAAAACATAACTACGAATTACATATTACTGTGTACTATATTGATATATCAAACATAAGCACTGTCAACTATTTTTAATTATCTGAAAGAACTGACTTAACGTTAATTTAGTTAACTAGTAATACATCTTTCCTTCGTCTGACCACAGAGGGCCTACCATGGATCCCTCAGCATGGTCTAGGCTTGGTCTCGGGTAGGACAACGAACGAAGTCTGAGCAACTATCCTCTATCCAGAGTTTAAGGTCTATCAAAATGAAACAGCACAAAGTGCCATTTATTACCAGAATCGACCACTGTGAGAGTGAACACAGCAAACTGTCTTTTGGAACAGAACCCCAGTTCGCATTTTAAGTCTGATCACCCACTGTGACCGCTAGATATATTACTAATTTGCTTAATGGCGAGTAGACCGTATTCTACCATAGCACCAGAATCGGCAGCATCTAGCGGTCACAGCCGTGACCCGGCTGACAATGCGAACTTGGATACAGTTCCAATAGGCAGCTTGCTGTTTTAATTCCTGCAGTGGTCGTTTCTGTTAATGTGCTCTGAGCTCTCTTATCTCTCTCGATACACGTTAATTTAATAGTAGGCCTAAAACTCCATTTTGCAATTTTTTTAGTGTATATTTTTGGTCAGGCTAGGAAAAGAGATCATGTCATGAAAAAAGCATAACTGATTTGTTTTCAACTCAAATAATGCTTTAATTACTTTTAGTTTCATTTGGGACCTTTTATTTCATCGATAAACATATTTTAAAAAGAATTTCGAATTATAGCATGATTATATGTATATAATGTATGTTTTTGCAGCAGTAAGGTATTTGTGAGTATATTAAAAACGAAACAGAAGCAATATAGTATATTCTAAACGGTGTACTTAGAATTGTATAGTTAGAATGAATGCACTTGAAAAAATGCAATGCATATGATTCATATAAATTCAAAGAAATGTCGAACAATATAGTCATTGTCTTTCAAAGTGCGCTTGGGCAAAAATTAATTTGTGTATAAATAGAATTATTACTTTGAATAATTTCATAACACGATAACCCCATTTTATGGTATTATGACGATGGTCCATCCACTAAGGGAAAGATCACTTTTGAATGAATTATTAAAGAAATGTCATAGAACTCCTGCACTTTGAAAGTAGATATAATATACAGGGTGTTTCAGTTTATTGTTGCATAACTTTAAGATTCGCTAGAACTTTTAAAATTAATGCATAAAGTCTATATAAACATGGGTCGGAAAAATGCGTGGCTTCCGAAATACAGGGTGTTTAAATTTACTTTCTAAAATAGTGTTTTTTTAAATATTTCGAACAATATTTGATGTATAACAGTGAAAATTGGTATACAAGGGTTTTTTGGTACGACAAAACGAACCATGGGCATAGTTTTACTGTAGCCGCTCTCTACTGTACCTGTAGTGTATTAAAATGACCGAAATTTTTTTCTTAGTGGAATTTTTTGCTTTTTGAATAAAAAAACTGATTCCTCGCACTTTTTAACATAAAAAAGCTCTCCTGTGAGTTTTCGTTATAGTTAGCCGTTTTTGAGATATTTCGATTTTTAAGATTCGATGCATTTTTAATTATTATTTATGGGAAAATATTTTTTTTTACATTTTCGATTTGGGCATTACAAGTAATTAAGATGATCGTTTAGATTGTGTTTTTAAACACAGCAATAATTCCTAACTCCCAATAAACACAAAAAACAGAATATTAATTTGTTTAATTTTCCAATATTATTTTTAACAACTTAAATTAATTATTTACAACTAAAATGTTATAGGATAGTTAGCACAAACATACAAAATCTAAAGTAGTTACTCGAAATGTAAACCCAATCGTACAATACACAATTCACATCTACGAATGATCGAACGTGGTATAGCATTATTCAAATAAGGCCTTATTTCATCACATGCATTCCTGATTCTGTCTATTAGCATATCTCTTGTGGTTACGGGAGTCTGGTACACTTTTTCTTTTAGAAATCCCCACACAAAGAAATCTAATGGATTTAGGTCAGGGGATCGTGGAGGCCAGGCGACTGGTCCTCCACGGCCAATCCATCTTTCTGGATAATTTTCGTCCAGCCAGTTTCTAACTATTCTCGAATAATGAGCTGGACAACCATCAAGCTGGAACCAGGCCAATCTTCTTAAATCTAACATAACATCATCCCACATATTTGCATGTTCAGCCTTTAAAAATTCCAAGAAGGTCGCAGCATTTAACCTTGCAGGCAAAAGGTAGGGTCCAAATAGTCGATTACGGTAGATACCAATCCACACGTTCACACTAAATTCATGCTGAAAATTTCTTTCCCGAACTGCATGCGGATTTTCATGCGACCAAATATGTTGATTATGAAAATTTACTACTCCACGTCTAGTGAAGCATGACTCATCGGTCCATAAAACGTTACTTAAAAACTCCCTATTATTATCAGTTCTATCAAGAATCCGCTGACAAAATGTGATTCTTCGTTCTCCGTCCCCTGGCTGTAGTCCTTGCACAGGTTGCAAATGGTAAGGACGTCTATGGTCATTTCTAAGAACACGGTGAACATGGCTTGCTGAAATTCCCAAGGCACCAGAAACTCTCCTAACACTTGTGATCGGATCTCTATCAAACTCACGCAGAATCATACGGGTAAATCTGCGCTGACGAACATTTATGTTTTGATCCCTTTGGAGATTTCCAAACCCATTTTCAATTATTTGGCGATGCACTCTTACAAATACTGAGCGAGTTGGATGTCGTCTGTTTGGAAATCTTCGTGCGTATTCTCTGGCTGCTTCTGCTGCGTTTCCATTTACAAAGCCATACACAAAATGAATATCCGCTAACTGTTGATTGGAGAATAAAAATGGCATTTTTATAAAACTTACAAAAAAAAACAGGTAAAAGAAACTAAATTTCGTGCATTCACAATTGCAAAAAAACGTTTCAGGTTTCAACAGACAACAAAACTAACTGTCAACTAATTGACGTTTAACCTTATTCTGCTTTCAATTTCAAAAATATTTGCAGGCACAGCCTACTTCTAAAAATTATCGAGATACTGACTTTTTAACGTTATTTTATCATAAAGAATTAAAAATGCATCGAACCTTAAAAATCGATATATCTCAAAAACGGCTAACTATAACGAAAATTCACAAGAGAGCTTTTTTATGTTGAAAAGTGCGAAAAATCAGTTTTTTTGTTCAAAAAGCAAAAAATTGCACTAAGAAAAAATTTTAGTTCATTTTAATACACTACAGGTACAGTAGAGAGTGCCCTCTAGCGGCTACAGTAAAACTATGCCCATGGTTCGTTTTGTCGTACCAAAAAACCCTTGTATACCAATTTTCACTGTTATACATCAAATATTGTTCGAAATATTTAGAAAAAACTATTTTAGAAAGTAAATTTAAACACCCTGTATTTCGGAAGCCACGCATTTTTCGACCCATGTTTATATAGACTTTATGCATTAATTTTAAAAGTTTTATCGAATCTTAAAGTTATGCAACAATAAACTGAAACACCCTGTATAAGAAAGCTACAACTGTTAGACCAAAGAGCTGAAATCAAACTTATCTGTTCCTTTATGTATTCGCATAATACTGTAAAGCGAAAACTGAATCTCAACTAATAATTATTGTATGTTTAGAAAATTGTAAGGAAATTTCACCAATCTACATAGAGCAACAATGCAAAAACCGATTTTCACGATTTTTGAGTTATTCATGGAATTCGGTTAATTTCGCTATGTTTATTCGTTTTTAAAGGTAGATATGAGCAAAAGCCGCTAAATCCTCATGAAAAAAGGAATTTCAAAAAGTTTTAAATTTGACGGGGATTTTTCTCTAGAGGTTTTTGTCGTTTTTCTCAGAACTACAAAAAATGGATTTATCGGTTTTTGCATTTTTGCTTTTCATATGAGTATGAGATTGCTCTTCGACAACGTTATTACATAACTTTGCAAACCATAGCAAGGAAGACACAATCCCTATGAGTTATGTATGATTTTTTTTAGCGTTTGACAGCCATGTGAGTTACAAGTCACGTAATAATCCAACGGCTGCATATACTGTATAAATATTAAGCCGCAGGTTTCTTAGCATGTCTATAAAACTGACCTCTCCTAATGAACAGTCAGCAGTCGGTAGTCTCAACTTTTTTTATAAATGAAATTATCGAATTTGACATTGTACCTTACCTGAAATATGTGGCAGGTTACTGTACCTTTTCATCCAAGCTAAGGATACATGGAGTACTGCAGGGTGCGCCATCTTTTATGTCGGTACGTAAACATGAAATAACTTTGAAAATGAAAAACTGATTTCTATATATCGCGTATTTTTATACAATATTTTTATTTACAATTTATTGGGACTAGTTTGTAAACACAACATCTATCAAGTGGCCACCTTTATTGGCCAAAACAAAATGTGCCCGTTTTGCTGCGTTTTCCATTACTTTTTCGAGAATCTCTGGTGAAGAAGAAGTCCTCTTTTTGTCATCAGACGTCCGTTGCAGAAACTGAATTGTTTCGTTTGCAGTGTGGCATGGCGCACCGTCTTTCCAAAGCACTAGGTTGGTAAATATCAAAGTTATTCGATGTTTCAATACCGACATAAAAGATGGCGCCCCGGTTCTATTTTCAAAAGTTCGAGTACGGAGTACTCGGTGTGAAGTTATTTGCTCTGTTCTCAAAATCGATTTATTTTCAAAGAATTGAACGCATCTCTCAAAAAAGACAGTTGAGCGACTTTTTCTATAAAAGGCCATATGTTAGTGCAATTATGCTGTTGTTAAGTGTTTTTTTAAAGATTTAGAGTACAGCAATGTTTTCCACATAAAATTCAAGACAATTAAAACGCATACCATGTCAAGAGAAGGACATTTGTGAGACAATATTTCCATACTTTTAGATATTTTTGTGCAGTACCGATCGGAAGTTTTACACTAAAGGTATATGCTCGACATCTTAAGCCTTCATTTTTGATGTGGGTAGGCAAAGCGAGGAAAGAGGCTGCTCAAATTTCGCAACATTATCTATTGGAATCGCTGCCCTGTCACCACCACAAAGACAAAATTTAAATCCTATAAGCTTCCTGGCTGCTTTCGGGAGGAGGGTGCAAATTAAAAATGCTTCACGCCGTGGCGGAACCAACTCAATACCGACTACTGAAATGAGAGAGGCGAACCTACCATTGAAATTGGCATTCCAATAATGCAAATGTTTTGACAAATGTTTCAACTTGTCAGACATTTTGGATTTGTGGCAAACGAATTGTAGAAAAAGGGAAACTAATGCTTGCGTATAGTTTTTCATGTAAAAAATCCTAAATCATTTTCTCAAAGTTTCTTATTAAAAAATCAGGAATTTAAAGTATTACATGTAATGCTTCAAGATGCATATACTGAACTAAAAAATGTGCCTAAATGTAACTACCATAAATGAAATCTGTACATACTAAAATATAATTTGAAAGAGAAAATATGGACTGTAGAACACAGTTAAAGTGTAAATTATTGTACATAAGTCATAAATCAAAAGTAAATATGACAAATGTGAGTTGAGACTCGCGCACAACTTTAAACCCGGAAGCACTTCAACTTCTGTCCAGCAAATATGTATGCAAAAATATTATATGTATGTTAGAGATTGCAGAGAATAGTTTGGGAATAAAAGTTGAGAAAGATAAATCAGAGTTTTATTCCAATGAAGCCTATTAGTCCATGGCGGAAGAATTTGTTAACCAGTAATAATGAGGGACGAAGGTGCAGTATCCTTTCAATTGCAAATATACAAAATAGTCCGGTCAAAATTATTTATCTTCAGATTCTCCAACATTAAGTAGTTGTATTTGTTGTTTCGAGTTTTTCAAATGACCAAATCCAGTAGTTCGCTTTCCGTTTCGCGTATCTCCACTAGACGAAATACCTATAATACCGAAATGTGGAGTAGTTAATCAGCACGAAACAGCGCTGTCTGCGGGTGGTCATCGTTATTATTATGCATACAGGGTGTTCATTTGAAAACTTCCCACCACGTATTTCTCGAAAACCACTTCTTCTATTCAAGATCGCCTGAAAACTTGAAGCAGTAGGCGTCTTAAAGAAGTCTTTCCTGAGGACGCCTTTGTTTTTTGTGATGAAGCCCATTTTCTGTTAACAAACAAAACATGCGCTACTACCCAACTAACAATTAGCGCTCCTATTAGAGTTGCAAGAATGATTATACAGTATTCCTTAAACAGCATTGTATACTGTAAGGACATTGGCAAAACCCTCTTAGAACAGCTAGACAAGCGAAATGGGCACACCTAATAGGACACTTCAGTCATTTAAGAGGTTATATAAGGGCTGCAGGTAACAGTTGTATAACAAAAGTGTAAGCCTCTTGCAGCCGCTATAGGACATTTGCGTCAGTGCAAGATTCAATTTTTGTCAACTATACAACTATTCTGTTACGTGATTCTACTTTATTGCAACCAAACTATTTCTTATGTATTGTATAGACGAAGTGAAGAATATATAACTAACGCATTACAGTCTTCTTGTTTACTTACATATCGGCCATTGTGAGTTTCAAAGACATGTATATGATAAACTTGTACACTGCGATATAGGGCTATTGAATTACTTGCGCAACAAATTTTATTGTGATTATCGTGCAAATTAGTTACGCAATATCTACTGGCTTCGTATTTGATTCATATTTTGATAATGATCAAAAGTATGTCTAGATTTTTAAGATGGAAAACTGATTTTATCTGCGTTGAATCGTCCACAAATCCTATATTTAGACACAATTTCACTAATGTTTATCACCTTATATCCGTAATTTCGAACTGAAAGATAATTATTTAATATTAAATAGAGGAAAAATGTTTGCCCAATATGGCGGGTGGTTGTGTATAATCATTTTCGTGTTGTCTGCAGGTGTTATACAACAATTTGACAAATGTCTGAAATGAAATAGCGACAGAGTCGAATGATTTACCCAGAATTTGTACCAGACCTATATCTTCTGTTTGAACAGTTGATAAAACCTTCTGAACCAATATGCATGCGTTGTTTGTCTTAAAACATTGGTTATGGCATTTTAACAAAAATATGACAGCAGAAAGTTAGGTTATGGTGAAGTTGTATACCAACATATTTAGCATATGTACAGCCTTTAACAGTTACTAAACAACAGTTGTATAAGTGCTTCCGTTGGGAGCAATTTGTTGGCTAAAGTAGTAAATTGCACAGCAAAACAACAAGGCTCGGGTTTGTTTTATAAACGTTACCATGGATGCCACAACACAACCATTTTGACTAACGTGCAAATATGCCATATAAAATAGTTGTATAAACGTTTATGCAACAGTTAAAAATTTGCCCTATAAGGTGTTGTCTAACTATGCTATAAGAATATTTTAAACACTTCATTTTAGAGCAAATATGTTGCAGAAAGCAAATTTGCATTCCACACAACATTAAACCAGCATTTTGGTGTTCAGGCAACAACAATAGAGAGCTTTTATGGCTGAACGGTTCTTTTACCAAAAGCTTATACCACTACTTTGCTAGTTGGGTAGGCTGACTCCAATCCTCGAGAATTGTATCGAAGGCCTTTGCATTTAGCTGAAGTCATAGTGTGCCGTGCAAAATTCTAAACTAGAATTATTGGTCTCTGGTTCTTTGAGGAGAATGAAGTCGCAGTGACAGTGATTTCGCACCTGTATATAAACATGTTACCGGAATTCTTTTCCGCGGTTAGATGAGTTGGACTTGAGGTACATTTGGTTCCAACAAGACGGTGCAACTGCACGCACTTGAAGAGCATCGCAGGCTGTTTTGAGAAAAGAGTACCCAGAGCGCCTCATCTCAATTAGGGGCAATTTGGAGTGGGCCAATTGTAAGCCGTATTTATGTGAACCGTTCAAGTACCCTACAAGATTTGAAGACCAACATCCATAAAAAAATTGCCAACATAACGCCTGTTATGCTGGCCAGAGTCATGACAAACGCCAAAAATACGTTTACTTAGTGTATGGAAAATGGGGGACGTCACCTATCTAATTTGATCTTCAAGAATATGTAAAATAAAACTTTAGGCATGCGCCTATATTTATACCAAAAACAAATTAACATATTCTGATTCATACAAATGGGTTTTATTAAGTTTTGAAAAAATGAAGTTATGCTGCAGCACCCTGTATATTCACCTTTATTACTCGAACTCAATATATAACGCGGTTGCTCCGTCGCTATGTGTCGTGCTGCATACGATCCTAGTAAGATATGGTATAATGAGCAAGGACCATAAAACACATTTGTTGCTCCAGACAGACAGGGCTTAACGCCCTGTAATAACTAAGCCCCAACCGGAATCAAAATAATTCATGAAATTGTGGATGCACTCACCTGTTCAAATCCGCCTAGCAGGTCTGCCGTATCCATCGCAGAGGAAACCGGCAAAGTTCTGAGAGGTTTCCCGCTGAGATTAGCCAAAGTTTTCACCGCCGTGCTTTTCCCGCTGCCGGAGCTGCCGGTCTGCAAGGAAAAACGGAAAAAGGGGATTTAGAGGCGGATCGACGGATCGCGGAGCGAGCTTTCGGGGGCTTTTTCCTACTTTTCGGGAATTACAATCAGTATCGCTCCATCAATACAAAAAAGTCAAACAACGGCTGTTGTAGCGACCGCAATTCAGCCTAAAGTCAATCAATTGCTGTGCCCAAAAAGTCTGCAAAGAGGCAGTGGAAAATCAAGCCACGGGTAAAATTAATGTAGCTGGAAATTCCGAAACTTGTTCAATCACATCGACAGCTTGATTTCGTAAACAAAATACAGCTCATAGCAAGTGTTGCTGTCAAACCCAAAGTCAGTACGATGTACGGGGTATTAAATTAACATCAAATACAGACCATCATTTACATAATACCAGAGATAATGATGACTCGGCAATATTCCACAACACAACACTAACATTGTCAAGAGACATGATCGCAAGCCTGGACAGAGCGATTCCAATTTTGAAAATTTCATGAAGCACATTAGGAAATTTCATTTTTTAGAACTTCTTTCCTACCGGATAACTTTTAACAGACTACAGTATTGTTTTATGGATATGTTTTTCTAGGGACTCGCTTGTGCATCATTAATACCAATGGTCTATTACATTTTTTTCTAATTTTCTTAATTAAAAGACATTATATGTGCCAGGTTACCAAAAATTGAATCCTACTCCATGTTAATTGTCGTTTGGCGAATGAGTGATATTCCATGGACGTATACACTCAATTCGACTCAACGATCACCCGCAACTAGTGTATACGTATAGTTTGACATCTCGATATACAGGGAGTTTCAAATTCGAACCTCACCATTGGGATCTCGGAACTGTAACAGATACGAAGTCGCTTAAACGAGGGCAAAGTTGCGTATTCATATGATCAATTTCATGCTTAGAAAATTTCGAAATTCAAGGTATCTAAGGGGATAACCGAATTTCCCCAAAGGTGGGATTTAAAAATAAATTGCACATTAACATTGCCAGGTTCTCCTCTTCGATCCCATAAATCATGATGTATTGCTTGGAAAGTTGATCAAATTTGGTTTTTCTGGTGATGCTAGGACCCTTTTGAATCTTATTTATCTTCGATATGGCAATTTGTTTCTTATAATAATTTTCGTTCTGATACTAACTTAGCCTCATCCGGTGTTCCGCAAGGTTCAAAATTGGGTCCTTTGCTGTTCTTGCTATTCATCAATGATTTATGAGAAGATTTGCAGAGTAGCGTTTATGTTTTGCGGATGATTTGAAAATATATTCCGTTATCAATGATTTGAATGATTGTACTTTCCTTCAGACTCAATTGGACATCCCCCAGCACTGGTGTGATACCAATAAGTTATTTCTTAACGTACCCAAATGTAAAATTATGAGTTATTCTAGGAGGAAGACTACCTACAACTTTATTCACCTGTTAAATGGGCTATCTCTGGAGAGTTGTACTGAAATTAAGGATTTAGGTGTGATTATTGATTACAAGTTGACATTTGGTAAACATATTGAAGCATTAGTTTCACATTCTATACAGTTATATGGATTTGTTGTTAGAAAATGTAGACATTTAGATAACATAACAACCATTAAGCTACTGTATTTTGCTTTTGTGAGGTCTAAACTGGAGTATGCTTGCATAGCTTGGAATCCATTTTAAGAGTGCCAAAAGAGTTGTTTGGAGAAAGTACAGATCATTGAGTTATACAAAGATGGTCAACGTCAAGTCGACATTGCCAAAAATTTGAAGCTGAAGCGTAAAGCAGTTTGGGCAATATTGAACAAATATAAACAAAAAGGTATCTTGGAAGCCTCTAAGAGAAGTGGCCGGCCTAGAAAACTAAATGCTAGATCAGTTAGATTAATAAAAGTAATTTCGTCCAAAGATCCGTTTAAAACCCCCAAGACAAATATAAGCCGAAATCGAGACAAAAGGAGTTGTCAGTGTTTATACGAAAACTATAAGTAGAAGATTAAATGATTTGAACTTATTTGCAAGTCGCCCGAGTAAGAAGCCGCTAATCACAAGAAAAAACCGTAAGGACCGATTACAATTTGCACGGTTGCATCTTGATTGGAGCATCTGTGACTGGAAGAGGGTATGTTTTAGTGACAAAGATTGAACCCCAAGTACACTTTGCCCACTGTCAAACATGAAGGCGGGTCTGTTATGGTTTGGGGGTGCTTTTCGGGGTTTAGGATGGGACCTTTACATAGAATAGATGGCATTATGGTTAGGTTTGTATACACAGACATACTAAAGCATGTCATGTTACCCTATATGGAAGACAATATGCCCTTAAGATCAATCTTCCAGCAAGATAATGACCCGAAGCACACTTCAAATCTCGCAAAGAAATTCTTTCTGGATGAAAAAATAAAAGTTCTCAAATGGCCTTCACAGACTCCCGATATAAAACCCATTGAAAATCTATGGGAATACTTAGATAAGCAAATACAAGATAAAAATTATTCAAACAAGGATGAACTTTTTGCCGCATTGGAGCAACAGAGGAGACAGATTGATGAATCTTATATCAAGAAACTTCTACAATCTATGCCGAGACGATGCCAGGCGGTGATAGATAATAATGGTTATGCTACAAAATATTAACACAAACACGGTAAGTTTACTATAATTCAATGAACTTTGCTTTTTCTATAATTGTTTTGCTTTGTCTATATATTTTTGTCCTTCATAGATATTTTTGTTTTGTTATATAGTTTGTTCTGTATCTTTTGTATGGATTTTGTATAATATTGTCCTGTTAATGGGCCACTGTTGCACAATAAAGCTACTATATATCCATCTATCTATCTATCTCTACCAGATGGCATAATCAGAATTTCAATATAACGTTTCATCTCTTGTCCTCCAGCATCAACTTTGTTTTTTTTCAGTACACCATATGGGATTTTTGCGCAGATGAAAGAGTTTCTAAATCTGATTTCAAAAATGTATAATATGTCATACATTGACTGCAAAGTCCACTTAAATGTACAAAATTCCAATATAGCGTCCATATGAAAAAACAAAGTTGGTGATGAAAGTTGAAAAAAGAAATGTAGAATTCATAATTTCACTACGCCACCTTGTAGAGGAGTAACAATGACAACAAGCAATTTATTTTTAAATTCCGTCTGAAATAATGTCAAGAAAAAATAAAAATGATTTTGGGATGAATCTGGTGTGCGAAATAAATGACTATTCAATAATTTCAAGGAAATTCTGCTTTCTTGAAATATCTAAAGTTTGGCAATTTCAATGTGAGTTGATATTTTTGAAATCAGAATTTCAAACTCTATTCATATGAGCGAGAATCCCATATGGCGCCCATAAGAAAAAACAAAGTTAGTGCTGGAGGACAAGAGATGAAACGTCATATTGAAATTCTAATTATGCCTCCTTGTAGAGGAGGAAAATCGGCAATATATTGGGCAATTAATTTGAAATCCCACCTTAAATAAAGTCAGGAAAAAATGAAAACGATTTTGGGAAAATTCCGTCTCTCTCCGGAAGTACTTTGAATTTCGAAACGTTCTAAGAGGTATTTTGTTGATTACCTAAATGCGTAACTTTGCTCCCATTTAAGCGATTTCGTATCTCCAGTTTCCGAGATCCCAATGGTAGGGGTCGAATTTGAACATCCTAAACCTGGCATTGACATCTATCATCACAAGTGCAAAGAAATGAACTTACCAGTATAGCCATCCAGCCCATATTAACACAATACGCCAAACTCCTCAGCACACCCAGCTGACCCCTCAACACCAAGCAACTCTTGTCCTGTCGCAACACGTGTTCGTTCACGCCCCCTTTACCGCGCGCGACACTGACGTCACCTAAATGCACTCTGTCATTTGTCACGTACGGTACTATCGCGAAACCGCGCGGTCGCCTTCCGAAACACGATTCGAAAATGTCCGCGACTCGGTCTTTGTCCGTTTGACAACGCATTCGGTCGCCGTAGATCAGAAGCATAGTACTTTCTGGAGAAAGGGTGTCGGTTGTTTGATAGTGGTAGGATGTCACTTCACACCTGCAAACAAACAATACAATATTGATAAATCCCCACGTTTTGCTGAACGTATAATGAAACCACGTATATGTTGGAATGAATGTTTTACAACGGCGCGGCGACGTCGGTGACCCTTTTCATAGTACAAATAAAAATATGAAATAACATGCCATAAAAAATATTAAAAGAATGCGATAATTTTTATACATTTTATAGTAAGAGATACGTTAAAACTATGAGTCAATAGTACAATTTTTAACTATCTTACCATCGGTAGATGTCACGGAGGTTGCACTCCCAAGGAGATCCCTGATGTCCAAACTCATGACCATCCAAAGCAGAAGCAATTCTTGTATTGAAATCGATCATTTTGGGACGAATTTCTGAGGGTATCGATGTGAATTTATCCTCAAGAATGCATTCCAAATCTGCCTTTGTCAGTGGTGTGACGTACACCTGGATAAATCGGTTCAGGAAAGACCTTGGTAGACCTCGACGAGAACCGCCTTGCTTCAATGGATTTTGGCAGCCGAAGAATTTTGTACCTGCAATAAATTTTCTTTTTTAAAATCATAATAGGCTAGTTGACATTTTTTTAAGTAGGTCTTAAATGGTCTATATTTGTTCATTTAGACCAAAAAAATCAATACTATATTTTTCCGGACCTAAAAGTCTGTAAAACTTTAATATTATAATATTAATGCGTCAATTATTACATTAATTTTCTCGGACAATAGAATGGTTTTTATTTTTTTACTCAAAAATGGCGCATCGAAGGAAAAAAATTCAAGAGAGATCATTTGTTTTAAAATGAACGGGGAATTCAAAAATGATTTTTATTTGGCAAAAAACAATTTCTTAAAAAATATCGTAGTCAATACCCATACGCACGCCACTGTTAAAGCTAAAAATTATTTTTGCATTGAAAAATATGCAAATTTATTAACTTTCACTACGTACTAAATATCAGTGAAATATCTAAGCGGTTCTGAAAATATTAATTAATTTCCATTTTTTTCCTAAAACTTCAACACCCCGAGTTTTTGTAAGGAAACGTTTTTGGACCATAGCTTATAAAGCAAACTAACATTAATTTTTCATGTAGATTCACACCTTTGAATATTCGCATATCGATATATAAGAAATACGCATTTATTCTATGAAATTAGATATGAGTCAAATAGTCTATTTTATACGTCGCAACGCTGGTAGCTGTTTGAAATTCTTACACATTTTTATCTCGAGTATTTTGAGTAAATAATACGGAATTTTGATTTGAAACTAATTCATATGTAAATTTCGTATGATACGTTTGACTGGTTAATTTCATTGATCAGGAGCGACAACACGAAATAATAAGATATAAAGAAAAACTCTTTCAAAATACAACTGCACATAAGCCAAAGCTTATGTTGTACTTAGTTGATTGCTAGGAACCAAATATTTTTACTGAAATAGTATTGAGTCTACCTGGTTTTATGTGAAACGTTTTGTCCAACTCGGGTATATAGATTTCCCCTCTATGATCCAAGCAAGCATTTAAGCCTTCCAATACTGACTGAGATGCCAGGTTCAATTCATCGAGCAGAATCCAGCTACCGTTCTTCAAAGCCTGAAGCAGAGGGCCATCTCTCCAAGAGAACTGACCTCCACTACCTCCTTCCACTGGCAGGTCAGCACCAAACAGATCAGAAATATCCTAGAAAAATAAATCTGTGATACACAAACTACTCTAATAAAAATTTCCCATGTCAACTACTATAGCCTAGATCCAACCAAAATCCAAGATAAAGTAAAAGTACAGTCACGCACTATGCGTGTAATGCTCAAAAGCTGAAGGATTGAACAGGATCGTATTCAGAACCGTCTTTTGATAACTGAATGATACCAATCTCTTGCTGATGGTAGTTGCTTTACTCAGTGTAACATTTTTTAAATTACGACTAGAGTGCCTTAGCTTGTCAGTCCTGTAAGAAAACACAGGAAATATGTGTAGTATAAAAAGAATTTCATCGAACTTTTGCAATATTGCACGGCACGCCACACGAATGGCTGACTGCAACTGCAAAAGAGCCGTTCGTTCACCGAGGACTTAATGTGGGAGGAAAATATCTCGTTAATGACGGCAGCCACTGGGAAAAAACTAGTCTATTTGTTTAGGTCTAAGAAATAATTTTCTCCACATAACCTTCTCACTCGGTATAAGGCCCAGATACGGATACTTCACATATTTGGGGTGCTGTCGCCCCGACTACATTATCCATGCTCGATGCTTCTCTAACGGACAGTTTTCTATCGCTATGTCAACAGGCTTTGCTCAGCATCTTCTCCTAACCCTAGCGAACTTCGTACATACAGACCTGGCCGATACGACCGCCCCATTGTCCCTAGGGTATCGAGACTGTGGAACGATCTACCTGAGGAGACTTTTCTACGTTCAACTAACCTTTGGTTGTTCAAAAAAATTAACAAAGTTACTTTGAGTTCCTCATAGCAGCCGCGGTGCCCTGGTATTTAGACTTCTGCCTTAGCTGATGCTTCAATATAAAAAAAAACTCTCATGCTAGTCCGCTTGGAACAATATCGAATTCGCCAGCGAGAACTGCCCTATCCACCTTTTGCTAACACATCACGTGAACGTGGTTGTGTGTTACTCTATTTTGGATTTGGAAATTGTATTCACTTACTGTTTGATCAGAAAGATTCACCCTAAACAGCTCATGTCCGGTACATTTTGCCAACGCAGCCACTAAACTGGTCTTTCCCACACCTGGACTGCCTTCCAACAAAATAGCTTTATTCAACTGCATCCCCCTCAATAACCTCATTGTATTATAAACCGTTGTAGATGCGTTGAACACAAAATCGACATCGTCGTCTTTTGATGATAACGACTTAATGAAAAATGGTTTGATTCCAAATGAATCTATTGTCTTCTCGACCTTTATTTTGTCCATTTGGTGTGTTACGGTTGGGGAAATATGTCGAACTTGGTCTAGAAGAAAACTTATACAGCTGGATCTAAAAGCTTCCAAGTCCTTTGAGCTGAAACAGAACAGATTTTGAGTCATTGCTAAGAAGGTACAAATCGAAGACATACAAAAACTAAGACCTACCTTTCAGTACTAGTTACGCCTGAGCCCAAACTATCCAAGAATGTCAGGCTAGCACCATGAACGTAAGCTTCAGTGACATCTATTTTATTGGCGCACTGATTGATGAAATTTACCCAGGTCAAAATATCTCTAATGCTAACTGTAAATCTGGAAAAGATAAAATTCTTATAAGTAATAAGATATCCACCAACCAAGCACCTACAAATGAATGAATGAAAATGATCATTATGTCATTACATACTCAGATTAACGATCAGACGTATGATGTCATCGCTTACCTTTTTCCAACTTCATTTTTTCTAAACCACTCCACAAATTCTACAATCCTCTTTCCGATTCCCGTAGAACCATCTTCTTGGTTCCCCAAATCCAAGCCTTGCTTAAGATTCTTCTCAGCTACAGCTATTAGATCTTCTGTTCTACTGCATGGTTCACACCAGATCTCTGTGAACCTATTCCTAAGAGCAGGCGACAGTTCTTTGGAGAAAAATAAAATATATCAGTATAGATATAAAACCTTGATTCCATAGTTACAGAAATCATATTCAAACATTGGGATGCTAGACAATAAGCACCAAAAGAAAAATCACCAATTTAATTCAAATGGGCGTCTTAGGAAAATTTGAGGATTTATGATGTAGACTTTACTTCAAACATTAGATCTTAACCCTTTGCAGCCAGGTTTTCCTTTTTATTATGAAATCGTTCATTCATATTACAGAGATATTGAATTAGTACTAGTGACTCTTCAAATGTGACACAATTATGTCATCGCCAGTACTCGTATAAATAGCAACACCAGCTTCATAATGCCTGGCTAATCAAGATTTTCGTCCTGAAACTTGACACACTATCCCTCACGTTGTCAAACACCATTCAATGTAACCTCTCAACGTAACACCAATTCAGTCCTGCCATCTACACTCCCTGTGATGCCTCTGCTGTGCAATACTCGCCGTAACATACTGTATATCTGCGGTCATTATCCTAGAGGATATGCTCTTTCCAAAATACTATGAAACCCTTGTGTTACACCAATGAATGGCAAAAAGAAGGTTCTTATTGTTGAACTATACTCATTTTACGTCGAGATAAAAATGAATTACGATAGAAATGTTAGTTTCAAATGAGTGAGCAGCTAAAACGTCCCATGGAAGCACCACAACCTGTAAGTTCAACAATGAAAATGACAAAGTAGCGTTCGACCTGGCAACACTGGAGGCGCCGGGCTTGAAGTGGAGACAGATGATGCGCCTTCAGTACAAGTTTGAACTCGCTCGAGTCATTTGGTTGTCCGTAGCGTTTTGTTTTTGTGATACAGTTTTTCCTATTGTGTGCTAAAATGAGTGGCATCAATTTCGAGCAACGGTGTGCTATCAGGTTTTGCACAGTGTAACGGAAACTCTTGCTAAACTTCAGCAGGCCTACAGAGATAGTTTTTGTCAAGAGACCAGGTTTTTCGGTGGTAATAACACATTTTCAGAAAGGAGGGAGTCGATTGAACAGGAACTACGAAGCAATAGGCGTTCATCTTCAAGAACAGATGAAAATATCGACAGAATCCGGGATATTGTGCGTTCAGATTGTCAGAAGGATCGGTGAAGAGTTAAATTTGACTCACACAACCGATCATAAGATCAAGAAAAACTTAATGTTGCATTATGATAATGCTCCTTGTCACGCAGCAATGTCAATAAACGAATTTGTGACTTGTTTCTCTTCCCGAAGTTGAAAAATCACCTCAAGGGAACTCATTTTGGGACAGGCGAAAACATTCAAACGGCTCTAACCGACCAGCTGAAGGTTATTCCAATATCGGTGTTTCAGCACTGCTATGAGGAGTGGAAGAACCGTCTCCGGAGCTGTGTGGCTTCAGAAGAAAGTTATTTTGAAGGTGACAATATAAAATTGTAATTATATTTGAATAAAAAAAATAAAAAATCAGTCTCATCACTGAATAATTTACAGACCTCATACACCGCCAGATGAACGTTTCCATAAGGTCCGTGTGACTATTCCTGGTATTCCCGTCAGTTGAGCAATTGTGTTTGCTATAATTTCATTAATGATAAAAAGCTTAAATCATAAGCAATCAGTTATTATCGTGATAATGTCACGAGCCAAGTAAATCGAGTAAATTCACTATGAATTGAAGACCAGTGCACTGCAAAGGGTTAAGAAACTTCCTTGTTAAAGTCAATCACCTTTTTTGCCGAAATCTCCTCCTGGGTTCATCGTACCGATAAAATGGAAATTCTCATGGGCAACTACCGTTTCAGACGATTCAGTGTTGTACAGATCAACGGATTTTTCTGCTACCAAAAGTGTCCTTTCAGGCTCTAGCAAAGAGTTCAGGCGTTCTAGAACACTGTCATCCGCTAATGATATTTCATCTGCTAGAAATAGGTTTCCTTGAAGCATTGCTTTGACCAAAGGACCGTCTGACCATTCAAACAATTTCGTAGCATCTTCAGCCTAAAACAATACAATGTAGAAAACTTTCTGAAATATTCTTAGTGATTAAAGATCTAAACTAATACTGAATAGATATTTTTGTTACAGATATGTAAAATTTGTATTAAATGTTAGTAAACTAATAAATTTCAGATAACCACAGAAATAGTCCAATAATAGTAGCGACGATCAACACATACCGAATGGTCCCGAACAGGTCTCAAACCTCCAATGAAATCGCCACTTTCTGTATGCATGTGACAGTTGACAGTTACCAACTCTTGTCCATTATAATCAGCTATCAACTGGCAGACTGTGGTCTTCCCGCCACCTGTTTCACCTACCAATAAAACAGGCTCTTTAAATTGGAGTGCTTTACCGACTAACACTGCCAATTGACGCATGTTGTATGTCCAAACAATGTTTGGATGCCGGTGTTGATTGACGTGGATCTTCTCAAGGATTTTTTTAGTTACAGTCGACGAACGTTCAGACACTAAAAAATTCATTAGATGAGAAATATCAGTAAATTGATGCAAGATATACACATGACAGGAAATATTTGGGTGAGGTAGAGTAACATCCAATAAGTCATTGTAAAGTCAAGATATCGACAGCATTCAAATGGATGTAGTTCAAACAAGTTCTTCTAATCTCAATTACAACTTTCAATACTTCTCAAAAATATTACTTACACGTAAAGAGATGTTCAGGTACCACTTCTCTCTTAAGATGCTTTTTCAGTACATCGATGATTTCCAGTTTCTCTTCAGGCTTCCTAACTCTCCCTGCAAGCACCAAATACCCTTCATCGGCCAAATGCTGATCCCAATCATAAAGTTTGTCAGTATTTTGGGCTAGTCTGTAACGTTCGCCCCATCTGAATAGGTCTCTCAAGGTTATGAAGCCTTGTTTGCCTGCAAAAGCTGCAGATCCCCTTCTCCTAGTCTGAAAAATGCCATATTACAACTAGTTATAGAAAATAAACATACTATCTTAAAACTTTCCATAGTTTGGGAAATGAGCTATTATTGGGCAAGCGCTTTTATAACCTGAGGCGCGTAGTAGTATTTGGTTATTTCTCAGTCAGCTTTACAGGGTATATTCATAAATGATGAATGACGAAAAAAAAACTAGTCCAATTTTTATCATCCCACGCATGTTTTATTATCCTATTTTTATCACAAAAGGCCGTTGTCAGATTAGGTAATACGGCACAGCTTCCGAAACCAGTTTTATCACCCAAAATAACGTCAAAGCAACCACGCCTTATATTGATTATACCTGACATTGATTTGAATTTGAAGATTTATTGCCCGTTAATCGTTTTCTATTCGTCATTGTCTCTCAGAGCGGTCCGTAGGACCTTTGCTCTTGGTTGAAGTCTTGTAAGTCAGTAAGTCTGTCAGGTCTGGTTGCCCAGATACCAAACAAAGTCAGGGAGAAAGAATTTTGATGTTCTACATAGCATAGGGTAGAGTTGCCGAAACGAGATTTGGAATTTAGTTTTTAACGCTTCAGTGTGTTTCTGCCAGGTCATCCCCTTGTCAAGAGTGACACCGAGATACTTAGCATAGCTTTCCCATGGTACCCGAGCTCCATTCACTGAAACCTCAGACGGGGCGCCGCTACGTTTTTTAGTACAATAGATTGCCTGCATTTCGAATGCTTAATTTTGATCAGCCATCGATTCGCCCATTCCAATACCTCGTCCACTGCACTTTGCAGCCTGTCGTGAACTAGATCCCCAGAGCACGACTGGGCCACCAGGGCAGTGTCATCAGCATAGAGATAGGTTTCACAGTTACTGAGGCAAGGGACGTCATGAATAAAAAGTGAATAAAGGACTGGTCCAAGAACCGAACGATCATCGGCTTTGATGGGCCGTGTTGTCGACAGAACGTTATTAATTTTGATCCGAAATTTCCTACCCTCGAGGAAGGATTTCAAAAGTTTTAGGAGCCAGAAGGGGAAGCCCTTATGGACAATAGACTAATGCGGTGGTAATCCTGGGGGAATATCGAACCCAACTTCTTTGGAATCATAATCGTTTTATGAGTGTATCCAGAATATAGAAAGTTGACAATGACAGTTATAGGATAAGTTCATAAAATGGGAAATTTCCAGATTAACAGTACCTACTGCATTATGTCCTATGTACTAAGTATATAGGATATCTGATTACTTAAAAAGTATTTTGACAAGCCATAATATCTAGAAGTTTTTCGTAGCTATGGGCACTTTATCAGCCCATTATTTATTTTTTTTCCAGGCCTTGCTGAATATACTGTAATATTTTTTACAATAGACGAAAGTCGATTGCTGTACCTACATTACCTGGATTAATTTATCACTGATAGTTTTTTTTTTCAAGGACACATTTGGGAACATATCCAGTAAAGCTGATTGAGAAATAGCAAAACACAACTTTTTAAATTTTATAGAAATTCTTAAAAATGGCGATAACTCAAAAACCGTGCACATTCGGATAAGGACATACTAAATATGGTTTTTCCGATTGGAAATGACCCCCTATCACCTCCTCCGTTTGAACCATGACTTTTGCGACACACTGTATACAGGATTCTTTCATTTCACTATTAACACGATATATCAGAATGTACCAGATTATGGCGTATCCAATTTAATTTACAAATACTTTGAAATACCTAGTGGCCTGTTGTGCAACTGAAGTTAATGAATTTAATAGACAGCTGGTTAAGACTGGCCCATGTGTAAAGAGGAGTAAAGTGCAAATTTTGTTTTTGGTTTACTTTTCCTTCTGTTAACATTGAACGACTCTTGCTAATATTATGCCATCAATTGGGGTTGTCAAGGAGAATAGCTACACGAGCTGAACATTTCTAATTGCTCGATAACATTCAAATATTCCAAAACACAAAATCCCGTTGTTAACATTCATTATTTACATAAGTACTCTTTTATCATTATATTCCGAGCGAGAGAAAACCTTAATTTTATTAGAGAAATGCTGTCAATGGTAATTTCTTGGGTTAGTAATGCAAAAATAAAATAACTTATCTGATAAAGCTGATTGCCCAAGTTTCGCATGATGATGATTGTATAAAGTTTCTGAAAGTCCTAACAAAAAATGCTGTCAATAAGGAGTTAGTGATGTTCAGTTTCTGTGATTCTTGTATCATATTTATATTTCACTTTACCTCACTTATTTAAAGTTAAGCTTTACAAAAGAATCAAATTTGCTACTAGTAACTTACCTGCAGATCTGTCATGACAGCTATCATCTTCTTAGCATAGCTTGGTGACATTTGACACCTTTGATGCAGAATCACCTCCAATTCCCTGGGAGGGATCTCATTGAAATGCAACTCCACGAATCTGTTCCTGAAAGCCCTGGAAAGCATTTTCCTACCACCATAAGCACCTGGTGGATTCTGCGTAGCGAATAACATAAAGTTGGGATCAGCTCGCACTGTTTGTTGCGTTTCCGGTATAAACAGCTCTCTATTGTCATCAAGGACTCGGTTCAAGGCTTCCAGGACGTCAGTTGGAGCCAGATTGAGTTCGTCCAGGATTATCCAGTAACCTATGGAGACAATGCTTGATTTAAAAAATGTAAATGTAGGTCGGATTTTATTTTTAAATAAAACCAGCTATTTTCAAGAAATAGCATTTTGGTTTATATTATCAGAATGTAGAAGTACCAGACTTTGTTTTGTGAATAATATTCCCCAAATTCCCGATCAGCTGTTCCTACAGATGACCATTTTTTCGATAAAATATCACCTATTAGCACAATTGCGGCTCAGTTTTGTTAGTTTGTTTATTTAAGATTTATTTAGTATGATTGCTACAATTACATTCTTTTAAAAAACTACAAAAATTACATAAAATACATATATTTAGAGAAACAAAACTTGCGTCTCTAAAAATTGTCACTGACCGTGAAATGTTCCTTTAATTGTCTTTTAAACATCTTTAAATTACAAGTAGACTTTATATCATTATTCAGTTTGTTAAACTCAAGTAATCCTTTCTAAAATATTGATTTGATAATTATATTTCTATTGCAATTTTGTAAATGAAAATCTATATTTCCTCTTGTATAATAATTGTGTTAATAATTATTTAATTCTATGTAATGGTGCAAGTGTTTTGGCCTAAGATGATTTTTTATTTTAAATATAAAAATAATAACCAAATATAAATGTTTTATCTTCATCAATAACTTCAGAAATGTATAGATTCAGGCCGTTGATCATTTGTAGACTCAATCAACTTTGTCATTGAGGAAACCACGCAAAATTAGGTTATATATCATGATCCCGCAAGTCAGTCGACATTGCGTAAAGTCGCGCGACCATCGGAAAAACATGTCTGTAACAATTTCACTGATCATATGACACGAGACCTGATTTTGGAAGAACATATTGAGGTGCATATTATCTAATTAGTGCTACGAAACGTCCATAAGTGTGGTAACGCTCGCCATAAACATTTGCCGTTCCGTCGTGGTAATCTTGATATAAAAATGAGTGAATTTTAGTAGGACGTTTTCACAGTTTCGTCATCTATCTTAAAACGATCTATAAATAAAGTTCCGCGTCTCTGAAAGACACATGCGCCTTATAAAATTTCAGGTCAACTTACTGAAACCCTTTGAAAGACTGAATGGATTTGTAAATTGTAATGAATAAACTATGATTTCAAATAGGAGTATTTTGTAAATCCATTTATTTATTTACCTTTTCGCATAGCTTCAACTAAAACTCCTTCTCTAAAAACCAATCTACCATCTGCATCTACCACATAAGAACCAATATATTCTTGAAGATCTGTATGTTCATGGTTGTTGATTCTCACACATTTATTGCCACTAGCTTTCGCTAAATACATTATAAGACTCGTTTTTCCAACCGAGGTATCACCCTACAAAATGAATGGCTGAAATATTTTCATCTTTTTGCATTTAGCACCAAACCGTTAATAAGGTTGCCTTTTTAACACCACGATTCTTTTATTGTAAATTATTTTAGTTTACCTGCAATAGTACTGGAAGCTTTCCAATAGACACAACTCTTACGAGATCCTTTAAATTTTTTCTCACTGATTCAGTCAGTATATAGTTATCAGGTGGATTTACGTCTGGAGAACCTTTTTTGATCCAATAACCCTCAAATTGTATGTATTCCTCATTTTTGGAGGCTTTAGGGCCTGGAATAGGCTGCTTCAGCACAGCCTTCACTGCTTTTTCATCTCCTATTAAGTAGCTGAAATTTATTTATCCTCTAATTAACATATGTCATTGTATAATGATGGTGTATGTTAATTTTAAATGGAATCAGCATCGGACTATTTGGCCGAAATATAGTAAAATATATTTTTCAAATTCAAATTTCTTTAACGTCGACTAAATCTAAATAACAAAATGATAGCAACGTCAAAACGTAGATCTCCGCGGAGGTAGCGGAACAATATAATGCATGTTTGCCAAAGTAACGTAAGTGACATTTTTGGTGAAAATCATGTTTTTCCATTAACGTAAGGCTTTTATTGTTGAGAAGGTACTGCCAAAGTGTAGGAAGCCTAGATTTTACTTTAAACCTTTGTTTTTAACTGTTTTTGAAAACATATCCGTAAAAGAAACGTAACTTTAACACTATTTCCATCATAGTAATGCAAGCTAACGTTTTTTACCGCCATAATAACGTAAGTCCCTGTCGGTTTCTGCGACTTACGTCAGATTTTCGCAGTCAGTGTTAGGTTCGTGCTACCATCGACTAATTATTGATTTTAGGTAAGTAAATAAATAATAACGACATTTTTTTATAGTTAGAATTCAAAAATATTACAATCTTAACTGATATTATGTAGGTACATACCTATAAAATTCCATTTCATATTTAATTTCGTTCATTTATTACAAATGTTTGTGTGATAACCTCAAGGTCTGTGAGAAATTTGCAGGAATGAATCGGTTGAAGTCAAAAAAACGTTTTTTTGTAGTTAGAATTTAAAAATATTGAAACCTCAACTAATATTATGTACCTACCTATAAAACTCCCATTTCATATTTGATTTCGTTTATTAGAAGTTATTCTGTCATAACCTCGAAGCCTGTGAGAAATTTACAGGAATGAATCGGTTGAAGTTAGAGAAAGACTGTTGTATTTGTTTCTATTCTAATTTTTATAGAAGCTATGAAACATTGTAAACATAAATGCTCGGTTACTTTCAGGTTATGTATATAGTCAGTTCACGAACAAAAAGGATTTAGGCGGCTCTTAGCCAAAATGATGAATCGAATAATGTTTATTCTGAGGAAGAAATCGGGTCTATGCCGATATCCATATTTCAAGTGACAATATTTTTGATCTAGATAATTCCAAAAATATTTTAAAAACTACTTTAGTACATGAAGACGTAATCGAAATAGATCAATCAGTTTTATTGTCTTCTAACAATTCCGAGTCCTTATGAAAATGATGGTAACCAGATAGCTCGAATGGGACAGTGGGTGTTCAATTTGAACAGGAATGCGATGTACAAGAATATTTTCAGCCGTTAGTTAATTACATGTCATACCTGCCAGGTTTCACGATGAATTATTTAAATTAAAATGTAAGTCTTCTCTTCCAGATGAGTTACCAGAAACTGATGCAGAGGATGACAATGAAGATGAAAGCTCCAAAACTTAAAAAAATATATATTTTTTACTAGTAAGAATTTCATATTTTCTTTTGTAACGTTATTTTGTGTATTTTTTTTAATAATAAACGATAGTTTTTAATTCTTTCCAAAATACTTTAAGTGCTACAATTTGCCGCCAAACTGACGTATCGTGTACTTACGTTACATTTTTGATCAAGACTTCGAGATTTCTGAACCCGTAAAGTAACGTAAGTATCAATTAACCACTAAAACTATAGAAAAACTTCAAAAATCATTTTTCTTAATTAAATATAGACCTCAGAGACACACCCTGGTAAATTTTGCACAATTTAGAAAAGTTTTTATCCAGGTTAAATTAAAAACACGTTTTTTCTCCGAAATCCTTTTTGGTGACTTACTTTACTTTGGCAAATACGTATCGATATTATAATAAAGTAAGATTGAAGTAAGCTTGAGATCTCAGAAAAAAGCATGACAAATCTTCATGAAATTAGATATTAAAATCAAAGTTGAAATCGGACAAGCTTGTCCTCAACAGATACTTGACAGTTACTCTCTTAGAAACTAGCAAATTGGGTGAACCTTTATTGATGTCTAGTAGGTCATATAATTTTATTGCAATGTATGATGAGCACTTCTTAAAATATGTGGAAGCATGGGGAGGTATGCTTAAGCTACGTCTTCCCCTGGTATCATAGGCTGACGAATATAAATTAATACCTTTTAATATTATTGAATTAAAAAAACAAGGCAATACATAAATATATATTAATGGCAGCAATGTCCAAGTCTGCTCTCGCTAGGCGGCACTTGTGTCTTTGGAGGTCAAACTGTCGTAGATGGTAAAAATAGATTAGATATAGCAGCTAGCATATTTTCAGGACTTCATCCGAGGTCTACCACATTTAATACAGTTCTCCATCGGCTAAAACCAGTCTTTAAACCAGCTGAGGAGTCAAAGGAATGTTTTTGATATAGCTACGTAAGAAGAAACATTATCGTGATATTCTTGATCTGATGAACGGTGATGTGAGTCAAATGTAACTCTTCCCCGATCATTCTGTCAATCGACAATCTGAACGCAAGATCCTGGATTTTGTCGATATTTTCACCAGTTCTTGAAGATGAAGGCCTTCCGGTTCGTGAAAATGCATTAAATCACAGAAACCGGGTCCCTTGACAAAACACTCTCTCCATAGGCCTGGTCATCAAAAGTTTCCTTTACACTGTCTCCAAGTCTCAAGCAAAACCTGGTGACGCACCCTTGCTTGAAATTGATGTCACTCATTTTTAGAATACAATAGAAAAAAACTGTTTTACAAAAAAAAATCGCTTCGGACAACCAAATGACTTGAGCGTACATAAAACTGCCCTTATCTCACTACGTGACCACGATGCCATAGTCCGCACTTTACACTGTCAATACGAATGAACAACTAAATCAACAGACGTGCTGCTGGCGGCTACGATGCACTCATGGATATGTCTCCCATATAAATCGATCACTAGCTAAAAGTTCCCTATTCAACATTCGTTTTCTGAATCAACTAGAGAACTGTAAATACCGCCAACATAAACTCCGAAATAACACAAAAAAAAAATGAATTACCTAGATATCAGCTTCTCGACCGCTTGGTATGATTCGTTGTCCAACTGAGTAAGGAAACTGAGACAAAACGCTTCATACAGACTTCTCTTGAACATTCCACATGGATTCTTCGATGCTATCATCAAAGCTCTGCACAATGATCTCAAAGAAAAATGGGGTTTGTGTCCCAAACCATCCGATAGACTCGTAACCATTTGCTTTTTTATTTGAACGTAAAAGTCAACAATATTCTTCAACTCTTTTTGTTTTAAGGACATCGCCTCTAAGTAGTTATTAACTAAAAGCGTAAGATCGCCTTTCTCATTTAATTCATCCACAAAGAACTCTGTGAATCTGTTTCTAAGACCTGCCGGCAGGTCCTTCTTCCCTACGTCTGTTGAGGGGTTCATGCAAGCAAACAAGGTGAAGTCTGGATGTCTTTTAACAGGTTTCTTGTCACCTCTTTCGAGTAAGCATAGCGATCCTTCAGAGCCCTCCAACAATCCTATAAACAAGTAAAATGACACAAATGGAATGAAACTACAAGTTATAAGCTACCGCATCAAAAAATAGTCAAAAATAGGGAGGTGCTGCAAAATATGTGAAACCATATTATTATAATAATAATTCTTATTATTATTATAAAAAATAGTCAAAAATATGGTGGTGATGCAAAATATGTGAAACCATATTATTAGCGGAGTACCACGTTAAAAAGAACTACTTGAGCTAAAATATTTATAACTCACCTGACAAACATTCCAGCGTTTCTGCATTTGCCAAATTAATTTCATCCAGTAACACCCAGTACCCATTCTCAACAGCTTTGACTAAGCTGCCTTCTATAAACGCAAATGCTAAGGCGCTTTTCTGTTTCAACTGTACCCCCAACTTGTGCAGTTTTTCACCTAAACATTGCCATCTTTCTAGGAACGTTTTATTTTTTTCATACTGTTTGCGCTTTTCGTGATCTTGAACTTTATTTGCTTCAAAGTCTTGGATGGATTTAGTTAAGCGACTTAAAGCTGCTTCATAGCTTTTGTTTATTAACTTCAGAAGATCGCCCCATCTTTGGCTGTTAAAACAAAGTGCAATGTTTGCTAAATACTTTCTGTTAGGTTCAACCTAAAAAGGGTATCAATACATAAATATAACAACCTTTTGTAGTTGCACAATGTATACAGGGTGTTCCGATTATTATGAAAGACCCTATATTTATTTAGTTTAAGTTTAGCTTTGAATGGGAAAAGAAGAAAATCGGTCCTAAAAAAATTAAAAAATATCAGATATTTTTTTAAACTCTAGCGTACTGACCTTGAAATAGTCTGAAAAAACAGCTTCGAATTCCCTACGCACTGGCGCAATGACATATTTCAAATCAACCGGTTTGAACCCTCCCAGCAAATCAGCTGAGTCAGACTGTTGGTTCATGTTTATCACAATCAACCTTTTTCCAAGTGTGTGTGCCAAAAACTGCACGCACGATGTTTTTCCTGTACCGGTCTCGCCCACCAATAAAACAGGCTCCCTAAAATATTAGATTTTCATCACTACCCATGTAAAAAAAAATCTGTAAAATACTGAGAAGTCGACGAAAAACAAAAATAATCCAAATCATATACTTTGAAAAAATGGAAAAATCTACACCTTGTGATGATCTTTCAGTTCCCATTACTACAAATTTCAATTTCTTAGAAGGAGTGATGGACAGTGTTATTTTACGTAGTGACAGGTAACGCCACTTTTATTGATACGTGAATGTATTTATTAAACATACAATAAATGAACAAACTGCCTTCCTTCAGCAGCAATACAAGCTTGACATTATCTTAAAAATGATCTGGTTATCAGACGGGCGAATCTTCCATTATTAACAAATTCAGCTGATTCCGTTATTAAGTCCCGTAGCCCAGATCAAATTTTGATTGGCTTGGGGTAAACTTTTTCTTTCACCGCTCCCCAGTAAAAAAATAGAGTGGATTTAGGTCAGGTGAACGGGCTGGACACGAAATTGTACCAAACCGCCCCAACCATCTGCTCGGGTAAGATATTCTCTGACTGAACGGGCATACTGCGCCAGGCAGCCGATTTGCTGCCGATTCTCTCATTTATAATCCCGGTCCACATGTTTACATTAAAATGATACTGTGATCTATCTTGTCTCATCAAATGTGAATTTTCTACATGCCACTCGCATAAGTTGTATAGATTCATGTAACCGCCCTTTTTAAATGTAGACTCATCAGTCTATAACACTTTTTCTAAAAATCTTTCTGGTGTCTCTGTAACATTGTTGGACAAGACTCACAGACATGGCGGCACTACACAATCATGAATTAATAAAAATGGCGTTACTACCTGTCTTGCGGTCACTATGTAAAATGACACTGTCCGCCTCTATGTCTACAAAGAATTAAATTTGTAGCAATGGGAACTAAAAAAATCACCCAAAGTTGTGTATTTTTTAGATTTTCCTTTTAATTCATTGATTTGAAGTATACGACGTAGATTTTTTTATACTCCTCTACTGCATACAATTACGAAAATTTAAGGTTATAGTATCCCAACATTCACAAAATAAAGAATTAAATAGCAAACGCAGTTTCTCTTCATGAGATGTTATTTTTCTATTGAATCATAAAGTATACAAGTACATAGGGTTATGTACAGAATCACAGATCAAGCAAATGTCCTCTTTAGGTTTGTCGCCATACGCGCACTCTTTTATCCAATTAGTCCGTTACTAATTTGCATTAATGTTACTGTCTTAATTGAACAATACTGATATGGGCAACACATGTGGTTTAAGAAGACGATGTTACTAGGGGCGGATCCAGGCGGGGGGGTCGTCACCACCCTTGGGCGAATCGAAATCAGAGCACTCTTCAATTATCACAATGTAATTCGTTCAAGCACTGATGCAACCCCCAGAGAGGAGCTTCTTCATTAACATGAATCCGACGACCAACACTGCGCCCTCTCCCCCTCTAGACAGCTTTCTACATCCGCCACGACGACTAAGTGACCGCCCCATGACTAAAGGTTTGGATCAGCCCTCGCAAGCCAAAGCCATAGATCCCGTCAAACCATTCAATTATTGAATGAGACATTTCTTGACCTTGATTAAATCTGACCTCTAGACCTGTGTGTAGGTTTGCTTCTGCCTAAATTGGCTAGTACTGATGCAAATAACGTGTGATTTCAACACTGTAATGCCACGTGCCATACATCTCGTGTGACTACTTTCAGAATAAATGATCGCCACAGTTCTTCAAGGGAAATCTTACAATATTCTTGAAAAGGTTGATTTCAATGCATAGGTTCCCAACCCGCCAAATTTACCAAAACTTACACCTTGTTCAAATGACATTTGTAATTTAAATTTTTTTGGTATGATAAAAAAACATTTATCTGTTCTAAAATAAGCAAACAAGGTCATAAAATATTATTAAAAGTGACCCAAACCTGAGACTGACACAACACATGATCCTCTCTAGTAGAACAGCAGATGGCCTTGTGAATGAGTATTTTGTCTGTCTGGTATACTCATTGTTTTCTTTTTTCAACATCACTCGACCTGCCACTAAACTATCCGTGGTTAAATGCATTGCAGGCTTGTATGTCTTGAAAAAATACTCTGCTTTTTGATTGACTATACCCAAATTAGTGCTGATCTGCTTTGCTAATTCCAATGCCTCATTTGTATTTGAGAATGAACAGCAAAAAACATCAATTGCATCCTGAAATAAATGAAAATTTAATTAAAGTATCCTGAGACTAGAAATAAAGCCAATGAACTGGAAAAATATTGCTCCAATAGCTGGGAAGCTACTGTCCTGCCTCAGGCGTTAGCTTATCGTTCTCGGTCGAGCCTTATATCGACAACTTTCACCAGTTTTAATGCCATCAGCTGGTTTAACACAGTTCAAGAACATCTCTATACCACTCTTTATCCCGAAGATCCGGTATTTACGATTTTCTTTTGCAGCTGCTTAAATACTGAAAAACAAAGCTTAAATCATCCACTCACCTGTAAAACTTTTAGCGCACTAGCCTGACTCTGGACATCAAAATCAATAACAGCCCTAGAACACCATTTGAAAAAATCCCTAGTAGATATAAGCCTTCCACTTCTGGGCACAGAAATCTGTCCACCATCACCATCCAGAGTCTTTGGAACAAATAATAAAAAAACGCTGATCATCCGATCAGCTATCGTTTTGAATTGAGGGAACTGGCTATCTAAAATTTGCTTCAGCTCACTTGATGATAGAGGATCAACTGTTATTAGAAAAGCACTCTTCCCCAAGAGAGTCATAGTGTTTGAGTGCTTTTTGTGATAACCAGATAGAGTTGGGATTAGCCTGAAAAGGTTAAACAAGAAATTGAATATCCAGTAAAATGTAAAGGTTTAGACTAGAACTTATGTGGATTCACCAGGAGTTCCTAGCGCCTCAAAGACCTGTTAAAAGCTTACTGGTTCTGCTGATCCATTGTATTGAAACTTGTTAAATTAATCATTTTCTGTGCTGATTCACTGTGGACTTCATTATATTGAATAATTGTTATGACCCCATAGTTACCTCTGTGTTAGAAATAGTTGGAAACCAGGTGTGATTGGTACTGAATCTTTATAACCAGGCACAGTCAAACACCCATTCTCCAATAAGCTAGTTATAATTGAAGCTATATCCATGCTAGCTGAATCTATGTCTTCTAGGAGTAACCAACTTCCTTCTACTACAGCCTATAATTTAAATAATGATACAAAAATTAAAAAAAGTAAGGTAATTGAATTCCCTTAACACTATTAGTAAAGTTGATATATGTTTCCTATTTTATCAATATACCAATATATGTATACCCATAAAATGTTAATGCAAACAAAGCAAAAATTGTAAAAACACAAAATCTAGAAAATATATCTTAGAGCAGATTTGTTCAACATATGGCCTGCCCTGCAAGTAAATATATTTTAACTTGCTGAATCAATTCTTTTGTGGATCATTATCAAATTAATCTACCTAAAACTAATATTCTAAATAAAAAAACTATAAGAATCTAAGAAAAATAATTGTAAACATAGCAAAAGTGTTAATCTGAAGTGATCAGCTAATTTAAATTTATTATATTGCAACTGATCCAAAATAGTTTGTTAGACAACAGTCAAAAAATTTAGAATATTGTTTGCAATCACAGAAGAGTTTAAATATTAATAGTATTAGTCACCTGTGTCAAAACTCCTGGTTGCCAAACAAATTCTCCTGGTACATCTGTGCATCTATAAGTACCAAGTAACATTTTGCTATCAGTTTCATCCCCCAACTGTATCTTCAAGAAATTCTCTCCTAGTTTCCTCCCAGTCTTTGCAGCCAAATATTCCACTAGACAGGTTTTGCCTGAGCCTACAGAGCCCTGAAGCATGATAGCTTTCCCTGAAGCCAGTCCTAATGCTATTTTCCTCAGGTTATTGTAAGTGGAGTGAACCACAACTAAGTTTTGTTCATAGTCTACTGAAGTATGAAAACTAGGAATGTAGATCCCTGATACATTCACAACTTTTGATTGAATCTGCTGCTTTGGTACTACTGGAGATTGATCTATACCTGGAGGTGCAACATCACCCTCTTTCAGAGTTTGATTTGTGTAAAACAAGTATGAGTAATTTCTATGAAGTTCTTCTGAAATTTTGGACAGTATAACATTATTCAACTGATACTCATTCATTCCAAATAAAACCGCTAATGTATGGCATGCAATCCATATAACTTTAGCCTCTTTATGATTGAAAAACTTCTTAATAAATGAAGACCAGTTCCACTTAGCTCTATAAAAATCTGGATTGCTCCTCAATAAAAATAGAGAAGTTTCCACTATATCAATATCTTCAATATTTATGTTTTGTTGCATCTTTCTTCTTTTTGATGTTTGGTCTTCCCTTATTTCGAAAGGTGACGGATGGGCACTAAAATACCTCAATGCATAGCTGGAAAAATTTATCTGTATAATTCTCACAGTACAATGAAAAAAACTAAAAAGTATCACTAATAGACATATACAAAGAGCACGTATCTAGAAACTTATCCTATAAAAACTGTTACTGAAAGATGTAAAGTAATTTTTAGTTATATCTAGATAAAATAGTATGCACTACAACATACAAAAGGATTGCCTTATTGTGGTGATGAGACCTAGGATATAGTCAAAACATACATGGCCACAACAGATCGAAATATACAGTGGAGATAATGCAAAAAGGGAATGTTTATTCATGAAAACACTACTATAGCTATTTAAGAGATTATTTAGTAAATTAAAACCTGGTTTCATATAGTTCCAATCTACAATTTTAAAGTTATTGATACATTTAGAAGATTTTGTAAAGTGTTTTTTCTTACCCTTGTAAATCGTTTCGGTTCTTCACGACATTTCCCAACAAGATGCAATTCAATATATGTCTACAATTACTAATTTCTTTGCAATTCACAGCTTTGTCTACAAGCAATGTAAACTCTTCAGAGAAGTATTGCTGAATTGTGTCATAATACTGTGGTATAACTAGCAGCTCCAGCGCAATATAATTCAATAAATAATCTTCTTTATTCTCAGATTTTAATTGAATATTCTTTGAAACATGCTGAAATCCCAGTTGTTTTTGAAATCTGCAGGTTAGGATGTGTACAGAAGCTTACCTCGAAAACAACACGGAACTGCTCGTTCATTTTGCTAAAATTGGACAGACTCAACGACAACCTACGAGTCCTATCCATCATACCACTTGACATCTCCGTTTAATAAAAAATGCCTTTTTCCAAAACTGCACGTGTTTACTCAAAAATGCAAAACACTCATGCTGCCATGCCGGTTGTCAAAAATGACAAATTGACAGTTCACACATGTTGGGTATAGGTCTATATCCGGGTAACTCGAGTCTACATGTCTACAATTTCGGTGTTGCCATTCTGGAAAATATGGCGATCCTACTTTATTTTTATATCATGACAAAAAAAATACGCTTTCTCTCAGTAAAAACGGGAAGACATTTTGCTTATGCTCTATCTATAATGATAAATCCGGTGAGCTGCAAAAAAATTTTTCTTATCTAGCAATAACTTGGCCGCGTTTGCTCTACATTCCTCCGGAGTGTCTTCTCAATAAACACATCATCAAGTTCTCGGTCTGGTGCGAACACATCTCATCAATAGCGGCAGCTACTGAGAAAAAACTAGGCTGTTTGTTTAAGGCTAAGAAGTACTTTCCTTCGCATGACCTCCTGACTCCATATAAGGCCCAGCTCTCGAGTATTGCTCGCATGTTTGGGGTGTTGCCGCCCCGACTACATTATTTATGCTCGATGCTATCTAGCGGAGGGCTGACGGCTGATCGATGACTCTACACAGACACAGACAGTCTCAAGACCCTTTTGCACCGGCGGGGCAGTTGGCAATCTAGCTCTCTTCTACAGGTACACCAAAGGGCTTTGCTCCTCAGAACTCTCATCCATGATGCCTTCGCGCGATGTGCCTGCAAGACATACCGCTTCACTTCAGCGTCCCATCCTAACAGTGTCGAACTTCGTGGATCCAGATCGGGCCGATACGATCTCTCCGGAGGGTGTAGGGATTGTGGAACAAACTACAAGTAGAAGCGGTTCCCAGTTCTACTAAACTTAAGCAGCTAAAAAAATCGGATTATCAAAATTTCTTTGGGGTCCTCATAACAGTCGCGGTGCCCTGGGATTTAGGCTTCTGCCTGCGCAGCTGCTTTGGTGGGAAAAAAGTACAGATTGCAACTGGGTGATTTTTTTTAATAATTTCATTGAGATGGATGTAATTGAGCTGGCATGCGAACTGGTATATATTATTTATTTTCAAGTATTACATTAACATAGACGACACCTACTCACGCCCAAAATACATTACCCTCCTGCGGAGACATTTGGCTAAGAATGTAGCAGTCAATCATACTAACTTAGCAGCTTGGCAAAGTCGTCAACGAAAAATGTGTTACCTCGAAGTAGACATAATATGACAGTCAGTGTTTTGTGAGTCAGTGTGACAGTCAACTGTCATGTGACGTCTTTAGCGCCCTCTAACACGAATTCAAAACAACAATTTCTTCTTAAAAAAAGTTACGTTGGGTATGTGTGTTTTTATGGTGAATTTTATAATAAATTTTCTTTTAAAAGAACATTGGAAGTAAAATATGTATTCATATAGCTAAAACAGACTTTAAGGATTCTATTCTGCTTATTTGTATGCACTTTTTATTGAAGTTTGAGTGGATGCTTTTAGATTTTGTAAGTATGTTTGACATTTCCTAACCATAACCTTTTTTCAGCCATGGCAGACACGGCGCCCAAAAAGACGAAGGGCGAGAAAAAGGCGCCGAAGGAAGCCCCCGCGCCCAGCGACAAACCCGCAGTCAAAAAAAGGGCACTGAAAAGGCACGGTAGGCTTTATGCTAAAGCTGTGTTCACCGGTTACAAGCGTGGATTAAGGAATCAACACGAAAATACTGCTCTGCTGAATATAGAAGGCACATCTTCCAAAGACGACAGCTGGTTCTACGTGGGAAAGAAGTGTGTGTACGTATATAAGGCCAAGAACAAGACCTGTGTTCCTGGAAAGCCAAAATCTGTAAAGTCCAAAGTGAGGGCCATCTGGGGCAAAGTGACGAGGCCACATGGCACTAGAGGTGCAGTCAGGGCGAAGTTCAAAAGAAACCTGCCCGCCAAAGCTATGGGGCATCGTATTCGCATTGTAAGTATAAGAGTGTCACTCAAATATGTTTTACTGTTTACCAATGGAATCTCTTCCATCAAACCTTTTATTGAACTTGTTATGCTAAAATGTACTTATTGTTCAAAAGGCATTTTTCGTATCAATACAAACCTTATACTGGATTTGATAATATTTTGAATTTGAATAATCAAAATGGGTAGTCAAATCCCTTGTACTTCTACAAGGTAATTTTTTAAAAAAGTAAACTTCATATCAATGTTTCATATGAATGTACATCCTAAACTTCTGAGCTAGTACAGAATCTCACCAGTCTGTTTTGATAGTATGATACTGATTTCTGTAAGTCTCTAGCTTAGCTTGGTGAAAAAATGATTTCAGACCCTAGTTGTTGGGTGTAGATGGAAGAAATGGGACTGAAAATCCATGCAGACAAAAGTTCTGAAATATTTTACTATAGTGGATACCAAATAAAACCCGATGCACGTCATCGATCTGGAGCTGTGCGCTGTTGCCAGAATTTGCACATTTTCTTTTAAGCAAATAAATTTAATAAAATAAATTGTTTATATATACCTACCATTTACTATAATACCATTATATTAAAAATAAATAAACTTGTTGTAAAATTAAATTCCTTTCTGAATAAAAACAGCTGATTTCGGTAGATATTCAATGATATGAGCTCTTTATACCGATTGTTAAGTTGTTTTGGCATTTTGGATACTTTACACCACTTCACAGTAACTGTTGTTCTGAAAAGAACAATTTTTAATTGGCAAGGCAACGATTCAAATCTCAAATAGCGCAAACTAAACAATAAAGAACTAATAGTAGACAGTCTACGACAAAAGGACAATGGCAACTGATGTCAACAAATGAGAAGTGGCAACCTCACATTTCTCTACACGGCACTACCAACCGAATCGAGACGGGGAAATTTAAACTTCAAGTAGAAATGTCACATTGAATGTAGTCAACTGTTGGTAACCATGATTTTTATGAATGACATCACCTATGACGTGCATCGGATTTTATTTGGTATCCACTATATATAACAGGTTTTTATTGGATGTTTATTTTCAAAGACTGAGCAATGTTGCCAAATTTCATTCTCATAGGTTTTTGTGTTGATGGATATTTTTGATAATTAAATTTGTATCTATGATTTCGAACTCCACACAACCTTATACAATGCCTTAATGCACTAATGGTGCACTTTTGTGTGCCGCTACTCAAAGGGAACAAATTCTAGTCTAAAAGGAGAGCTGCTACTTATGGAAATGTGTATTTTTGTTAATTCTCTTATATTTCTTCAATATGGCAACGTCGCATTATGCATAGGATCTGTTCCACTCTGCAAATGTTGTAAATAAGAAGGTGTTTATATCTTTTAAAGCCCATATATCAACAATATTATGCAACTAACCAATTTGTAGGCATTTTAAATCTTATTTCTATCATTTACAACCCAAACCTAGTGCCTATTTGGACAGAGAAACAGAAAAGGCTGGTGTAGCCAAGCTTCGAAGCAAATTTATTCACCTGATTTTTTAATCTGATTGACAGTTGTTGCTTATACAAATCCAAACTTTCTGCATGATCATAACAATTGTTAATATGAGAATGTCACCATGCAGAAAAAAATTTTTGTTTTTTTTTGTTTTTAGGTGAAAATAGTAGATTGGGCTTGAAACCTCCAAAAAATCAAATTTGCTCATAAATGGTTACAGATTTTTTTATTTTAAGAAAAGTAGTGGCATACTAAATGATGCATTTTTTTAAACTTTACCCCTCTGAATCTCAAAAGTTAAGATGTTTAGATCATATGTTTATGTGAGGTTTTCTTCTTAAAGTGGAACCAAAAATTTACCCCCTTAAATATTGACATTCAATTAGTAAATCATCTCCTACCAGTTTTCAAAGTAGAATTGTATTTCTAAGCTTTTGCATATTTTCAGTATCTATTTTTGTACTATGAAACCAACATTTAGGTGAGAAGTTTGAATGAACATAGGTGCTGAAATGTCCCATTAACCAAGATACATGGTGTAGAAAATTTCTATGCTATTGATGAAACTGATTGATGACAAAACATAAATATTCATCAAATATCACTATTTTAATGTCAAACTTGACTAACTTTAGTATATTTTCAAAGCAGAATGGATTTAAGTTTTTAATTTGGATATTATACCAAAAATCTTTTTCTCAAAACAGACAAAATTGTCAAGTAGATATTTGGTTGGAGCTACAAAAATATTTGTTTTTATTGCTTAGGATGTTAATACCTAAAGTGACCATACATAATTTCATGGGTGCCCCTCACATTTTTTAGTTCTCTATTCTGGTGCTTGAGACACAAAATTGTCCCACATTCCCAAAGTAAGCAAAAATATGCTGGCCACTTAGGCCCGTATCGTCAGTCAGAAAACTATGACAATCAAGGAGGCTATAAAAGCACCATACAATTGTAGGGACGACTGACAATACGGGCCTTAGTTATGATCTCTGGCAGGATTTGTCACAAAGCATAAATGATCACAAGGTCACATCATTAGTACCACATGTACAACATTTTAAGTAAATACCATTATCCTCCACTCAACTCTGGATATGTTTTAATGATTTCAAAATCACATGTTCAACACCTTGTATCTCAGTAAGGGGGCATTTTATATCTCATTTATATTGGTGTTATTTTTTAACCTTCTCTCTACCCATTCTTTATTTAATCAACCTGTATATGGCAAAAAGATCACCCTTGGTTGGAATTCTGTCATAAAATCTATACTCGTAGAGTCCTAATTTGAACCAATTTATTCAGTAATATGCACTGATATGTACTCACTACAATAACAAGTTCATATTTTTTCTTAATTTACCATGATGCTTTATGACATTTGAAACCTGAAATTTCTGTTGAAAACACTTTACTGACTTAAAACCCTTAGTTTATACAGGTTTACCTTGTGATTCTATTTTCCTAATACATTTATTTCTCTTTATTACAGATGCTGTTCCCATCAAGAATATAGTTTTTATATTATGACATAATGTTTACTAAAAATATCAATAAACCATGTTTATTGATAAGTGTGTATTTCTTTATTCAGCAAAACTTTTGAAAATGTAACATTGTAATAATAGTCAAACCACTGTATTTAAAAAAAATATATCTAACAGTAAGGAATTTGCGCTCCTTATGTGCGACAGTAAAATTAAAATGAACATTAAATGAAATAATTATATTAAAGAACTCAAGTTAGATCAAATTTGCAGACAACTTGGGTAAGGTGAAGTGATTTTAAACTGAGACTGTGCTGATAATGAATAATGCATATAGCTTTTATGGCTCAGAAAATGGCTGCCAAGCTTTATAATAGAGAACTTACTATACATAATATATACCCTATTTCACGGTAGAATGACAGCTGGTTATCTAGTAATATTTCAAAATTCCCCATGTCAAACGACACAATTCTAACGGATCCGTCAATGCCAGATAGTCATATTTTTGTTTTTTTGTACACTACAGATTCATTTTATGATTGCTAAAAACGTTCATTTGCATACAAATTTTTGCTAGATTTACCCCCGATTCATTATAGCCAACACAAAAATGTCACTTGCTGATCAGCTGTTCACCTCGGTAGACGTCAAAGCGTGATGGATACTCATGAAATAGGGTGAATGCTTGATTGGATAGTCTATTAGCATACTTCTACTGTTTTTGTTATGAGTATCAAAAGAAAAAAATGTCCAGGTGTAATAGTAGTAGAAAGATTTATTTAGCACATTTGGCTACATAAACAGAATAATTGTAAACAACTTAGAACTAGTAAACTCAAGCCGTATGATGTAAATGCTGGGCAACCTATAATTGTAGATTTAACAAGTGATTTCTCAATTTTACTTTAAATTTTGTCAAAGTTTTCTGGTCTTTATCTCTGAGTATAATTTATTATATTCAATCAACCCTTGATGGAATACAGATTTGTAGCATATGTTATACTTTTTGGTCATTAAATGGTTTCTGGTATTATGTAAATGATGGGCGACATTTGATGATGTTAAATTAGTTAGACTTGGTGGAAATATATTATTTTTTACTTTATAAATGAATATCATTACAAGATATTTGATGAAAAATTTTACATTGAGCCATTTTAATTTGCTAAGCATTTGCCTAATTGGAGTATATTTATCTTTATTTAGTATTATTCTCATGCACTTATTTTGTAAAATTTGCAGTCTTTCAAAAATGGAATTATTTGCTAAATATAGAATAGTCGAACAGTACAAGAAATTTGGAAGAATGATGGTATTATAGATAATTTTTTTGCTATATGAACTCAGACATCCAGAAACTCTCGATAAATATCCCACTTTACTACTAATCTTATTTATAACTTTTTCATAATGAATATCAAAAATTAATCGAGAGTCAACAAAAACCCCCAGGTATTTAAAATTTTCTACGAATTCAATATCTTCACCATCAATATTCAGTTGAACATTTGTACATTGTTTTTTCCGATTAACAAGGCTTTCGTTTTACTTGCATTTAATTTTAGTCTGTTAGATGCTAACCATTTTGAGACAAGTTTCAAGTCTTCATTTATATACGAGATACCAGACTGAATATTTTTAGTCCTTATATAAATCATAGTGTCAACGGCGAAAATCTGAATTTTGCATTTTTTGACTATGGCAGGTAAATCATTTATGTATAAAATAAAAATAAGTGGTCCCAGGATACTGCCCTGTGGAACACCCAACGTATTGTCAATTTTAGATGAAATAGTGTCATTAACTTTTGTAACTTGCATCCTTTTAGACAAATAATAATAAAACCATAAAATTACTGAATTCATTTCAACATGAAATTTACAACGTTCGACACCCCACAATTGGCAAGTGTGTCTCCTACATGCGCTCTCCCACACGTTGTAAGGCATTCACCACATAGTGTGTGACGGGTTTAAGACTACAATAGGTGTCAATACAGGCGTATTCTTTAATTCACCGGTGCAGCCAATTAATCAATTTTTATTCTTTTAAATTTCCGTCTGAGCGACCGGTTGTACACCAAACTTGTCTATACAGTTTATAGACAATTTTGAGGTAACACCGGTCGCTCAGACGGAAATTCAAGGAAGTAAAATTGGCTAATTGGTTGCACCGGTGGCTCAACCGGTGAATTAAAAAATACTCCTTACCATAATCACCTTGTAATGCGGGTCCCACACGATGCTTCCAGCGTTCGACACCCCACAATTGGCAAGTGTGTCTCCTACACGATGGGATGAACTTTTTAGTCTCGGACGTTAGACGCATGGTGGCGCCAACGTCTGTTATCGGTGTCCGTGCCGCGCTTGAACCTTTACAACTGAAGGAATAATTATACAATATGAACGTTGAAACAATTTTATCGAGCGCCGAAAAATAATTTTATAAGCCTCAGAAATGTCGAAAAACGAGGCTTGACCGTTTTTTGTTTGTTTTTCGACGATAACTCCGCCGCCACTGTACGAATTTTTAAAAACTGCAGAGCTTTTCGTCATTTTCATAGCAGTAACCTAGGGTCAAAGTTTCATCGAAATTCTGATAGTACTTTCAGAGTTATCATTTATTTAATCGTTTTCGTTAGTGAAATGCAAGTAAATATATTTATCAACTAGTCTTGCATTGCAACAGGACATTATAATGAAACAACTGTGAGCACTTGACAATTTATAATTTACTAAAATACATATCCTTATTCCAGCTATAACTCACCTGCGAAACGTACAAAAAATTAGTAATATGAAAAAAGTATTGTTATGGCAGCCTATACTTTGTATGTATACTAATTTAATTCATTCTCATCAACAGTTAGTTACCGAACATACATTATTATGAATAGGTAAGTATTCAAATCAAAATACTTCCCACATACCACTACTTCAGCAGAATCACAGCAAACAAGTAAATAATGTTTTTCGGCGCTTCTGGTTCTAACCTAAAACCATCAAACACATGACATCTCGTGTGAGAGCGTAACGAACCATGTATCCAACGTTGTAACGTCCTTTGACGCGGGTCAAATTTACCGATAAGAGCCGAACGTGCCATGTGGCCTTATCCCACACGATGTAGCGAATGGCCATGTGTCTAAAGCTGTAAGGCATTCGCCACAACGTGTGGGACCGGCTTAAGTGTGCTTACAGATTTTTCTGTCTTTGGTGTAGTCGAGAGCAGGGTATTTTTTGCCTGTCTGTTGGTGACCCTTTCAAAATAGTTCCGTGATAGGTCTCTCCCGTGGTTTCTCTGATTTGACAAGCTGAATGACATTGTCATCCTGACATGTTGACTTTTTTGTTGCTGTAAATTGTAAACGTTAAATATCTCTTAAAATGTAATAAAACAATAATTTGCCTAATTAGAAATGCATTTTCCAACGTGACTCATACCAGACTCTATATAACACTATAACCATCATAATAAAGTCTCTCGAAATGTTTACAAAGAGAAACCTAGTTGATATCAAGAAATCAACATCGAAATTGCAAGACCCAAAAAAGGACGTCGCTACCAGAGTTAAACACCTAAAAATTATATTAGGTAAGTACAGTTGGGATAATTGAGCTCATACCCAGCACGTTCAATATAATACTGCTTTGCAGAAAATGTAGATATTGCTGAAGCCAAGGGGTTATTTGAAGCAAATTTCAGCCACATATACAATGTCCTATATGAAAGTTTTGTGCAAACAGAAGGCAATCTCAGGCAAAGAGGTAGGTACCAACATATGTGACAATTTTTACATAATAACAATTGTGATTGGTTCAGCATACTGGGATTAACAGTATTTGTTGGGCTCCAAAGTACATCCAATAGTAGTTATTGCAGTCAAGTTTTACTTGTTTATTTAGTAATGTATTTGCAGAAATAGTATAGTCAACTAAATTACATACAAATTAATGCAAGATTCTTATTGAATGCATGTAATTTACAACTAAATAAATCTACTTGATTGTAGATTACATAGTTGTTTTAAAAGCCTATCACTAATATAAAGAGAACCATCATATGTTCAACATAATGAGAAACAATGCTTTGCACCTACTTTTTCTGTGAGGCACATCTAAATATATGTGAACAGAAAATCACAGTCTATGTAATTATTAATTTGAAACAAAAATTTGGCTAGCATATATTGCTTGTAAAATTATAAAGATTTCAGCCCTACATATGACATAGCATGGCCAAAGGGAATGAAAGTTTAAATAATAATAATAATATGAACTTCTTCATTCCTCAGTTACCTATTTCAAATCTAGGGTCCATTAACAACTTTATAAGTCAGAGTTGAAGCAATCTACTTACTCCTTTAAAGGCCACATTATTTTTCTTCTTATCAAGTAAAGCTGATTGCTAAGCTTTCATTGTTCAGAAATGCTGCTACATTAATACACTTTATTCTATTAAACACTGCATTTAACTCATTGAATGCTAGCCTTAGAAATTCGAGTATATAAATATACTACTTATTTTGACCCATTCCCCATCAGAGCTGCTTTCCACTGACCCGAATGAGTTACTTCGGGTTACCCTGAGTGACTCAGTAGTGTTCAGCACCAATATAGTTCCACTATACTTTGCATTCTGATACACACTTTCTAGAGCAGCTCAAACCAAAAACCACTGGAAAGCAGCAATATAATTTAACTCAGAACTCATGGCTGACAGGCTAAATATTGAGTTAAAAGTAGATATATGAATAGTGTCAGTCCTAAGGACTGACATGCTGGCCATGTGTTGAGTAGAAAGACTTTGTGATGCACTGCAACTCTACTACTGTATTTGCATCAATATTATGAAGACATAAGTTTTCTTGAATAACATTGGGATTTGTTTCATTATTTAGAGTAATTGTGAGAGAGCTAAATGCATTAAATACAGTTGAAAAATAATTCCATTATTAGAAAATTTGAGTATATAATATAAATTTATTTTTTATATGGCTGATTTCTCTTAAATTATCTTCCTTCTCCCTTTGCAGTTATTTGTGATAAAAGCTTTTATTGTAGTTATATTTATGTATACTAACCAGGTATTTATTACCTAAGGAAATTCTCACATGATTTACTTTTTTATGGTGGCGGTATACTCAGGTGGTTTATTCAGTATGGTTGTGAACACTGAGAAGATGGTTCTTATTATTTACTTCTTGCAAGAGATTTCAAGCATTGATGACTTCTATGTGCTCTCTGTATCTTTTTTCAATTCATTTATAGAAAAGCCAGTTTGTTCAGAAATCGAAGCCATGCAACATGTAACTTTTTTTTATCTTTTTGAAATCAGTGAATTGGTTTATAGTCCAAGATAATTCCTAGATATTTTACTTGGGTGAATAGAATCAGCTTGCTGTTTCCAGCGTTGACAGAAAGATCGACCTCCCTTCACCTCGAGTCCTTGGCAGAGCACTCCACATAATCTCATAGACTGTTCACTATAATTGATTATTAGCTAATTTCTTCCCAAACAATGATCTACTCCATAATTTGTGGAATTTTATATGATAAAATACCTCTTAGATATGAATCGGACACTGCAAAAACCTCGTAAGTCCCAGAATTTGACTTTTTCAGGAGACAATAAAAACTGTGTCACTGACGAATAAATCACTTTTGAAAGTAATTTTTTGGGCTTAATGTAGTATTTGAATTCTGGGAGATTGAAATTTCAAATAACCTACACAGTTCAATAATAATAATGATAATTAAACTGTTATGTTCTAATGTTGTTTCAGCAGGAAGTAAGGTCAGCCGCAATTAACTCAAGCAAATTAATCTTACTTTGTATTGCTTCTTATTGAGAACTACCCTTAAATATTGACTTATTAACATGTCACAGCCTGTATATGTACCCAGAATACGCATCTACCTTTATTGAAGCATTTTCAGTAACACTAACAGTGGACTTGAGTGGTTTTACACTGACTGATTCATTTGCATTTTGTATATAAAATGATAAATCTCCTGGGATAATAGTCTTAGGAATTGTTAATCCATTTTGTAAATAACTAATATTGGTGTGTGTTTCTTTCTTGGTGGCAGAGCTGTCCTTTCACTTGGGTAAGTCTTGCTTATCTCAACCCAACCCTGGTACACCCCTAACCAAACTTGAATTGTAGTCCACAAAGCTCACAAAGAGGAACTAGAATGCACACTGTGGATACTGGAGCAAGTATTGTGTCTGCTGCCAGAATTGATTCACAGAAGATGGCAGCTACACTCATTAGGAAGGATGCTGGGAAAGCTGTTGCATCTGGGGAATGCCATCAAGCTGAGGAGGCAGGGGATTCGATATTTTCTCATGTGGTATGTGTAGAGAAGTTGAAGCTTAAATAGTAATGTCCATTTACTTATTTAGCTGTGACAGCAAATCCTATTATCTGTAAAAAATATAACAAAAGAATAATTTAGGCTCACCTCAATTTTCTAAACTAACACACATATGCAATTTATGTATTTGAAAGCTGAGAAACCACAATGTGTGTTAAAAAATAGATGGCAGACTGAACTTGCAAGAGATCATCCCAGTCTACTAGTAGTTGAAGATATAAGAGGTTAACAGTGTGCCCAAACTTCAAGGGGTGCCTTGAGTGAAATTCAGAGTTTATATAAATATAGGTTCCATAATGCTTCTTGCTACTATTCGTCATTTGTTCGTCTGGGTACACGGATTAATTTTGAGGTGAACTAAACAAATTTTGATTCGGTTTTATTAGAGTGTTACTTTGAGTTTACTAAAAGTTCGCGCTAATTTTTTATTACAGTGCGAGCCGAGTCCTTGAATGTTTACGAACGTGCTCCACTGTGTAGTCCACTGAGTCGCGCAACAGAGGGGTGCTGTGCGATTCCGCTTGACTATAACGTCGCTGCGCCTGAAGTTTGACATAATCCCTCAAGTAAGGAATGTCAAGGTCTCTGTGGAGTGTCTAGTTTGAGGCATACCATGGAGCGTTGCTAATTGTTCGCAAAGTTCTACTTTGGAGTACTTGAAGACTTTGCATATGTGTCTTGGCAAGAAAACACCAAGCCGCACATGCATAAGTTATGGCTGGCCTAATAATCATTTTATATAGGCGAACTTTGTGTATCAAACTCAATTTGGAGGATCTACATAACAAAGGATATAGTTGCCGAAACGCAATTTGGAATTTTGTTTTCAAGACTGCTGTATGTTTCTGCCAGGTCATGCCTTTATCAAGGTTGACACCGAGGTACTTGGCAGAATTTGTCCATGGTACACGATTGCCGTCTACAGAGACGTCTGCTGGGGGGGCGCGACGTTTTTTGGTACAATAAATATGCTGCGTTTTCGAATGATTAATTTTAATCAACCAGCGTTCCGCCCACTCTAGTACTTCTTTCACCGCACTCTGCAACCCATCGTGAACCAGATCACCAGTACACGACTGGGCGACAAGTGCAGTGTCGTCAGCATAGAGGTAGACTTCACAGTTGCTGGGGCAAGGGACATCATGGATAAAAAGCGAATAAAGGATTGGTCCTAGGGCCGAACACTAAGGAACACCGGCCCGTACTCGCCGTGTTGTTGACAAAATATTGTTAATTTTGATTCGAAACTTCCTTCCTTCAAGAAAGGATTTCAGTAATTTTAGAAGATAATGCTTCTTTTTCAAGATACAATGTGTAAAATTTTCACTTACCATTTTATTATAAAATTCTCAATAATTCGTCATCCATTTTTATTATGTGTTGAAGTTTCATTTCACGTGCACAGATGTAGCGCTTGATATTTCAACAATCTATCAAGACAATCTAAAGGGCCCTTACTCTGGCGACGATACGCACTTGGAAGAGAGCGTTTGAATATAGAGCGACTTCATAGTGTCAATCAAATTTAGGAACTAACGTACAGTGGGGGATAGATTATCTATTTTCAAACGTTCTGGAAATCTGGTTCGTGTTTTAATGAGGGCATCAGGTGTCTGAAAAACTCCCAAAAGCCGGGCACTAATAATGACGCTCAATAGAATTGGAAGGGTGACACTCGGGAATCTGATGTTTTTAGAAGCTTGAGGTGATTAGAGTGTGCTAACTGCGTCATTACTACCATTGTTGTAGTGTGCCATTTCAGTAACGATGGAGCAGTGAACGATAGAATATCGCGTATTTGAATACGGCAGGTTTATCCGAAATAACGAGTCAGTGATCACTGCGCAGCGGCTTTTTCGCACTCACCTTAGTATTGGTAAGAATGGAGCTGGTCCATATTGTAACACAACAATATCTTAAGATGGGCGAAGGATTTGAGAACAACAGGTAATCCAATGAAAAAATCAACCTCGTCCAAAAAGAATGGTAAGAACTCCTGAAAACGTAGAGCGAGTAAGAGAAGAGGTCGTCAGTCCTACACGGTCCGCCAGAAAACGTGAACTAAACATGAATCGGGAATCGTTTAGAAAAACTTTGCATAAGGTCTTAAAGTTCACCCCTACAAACTACAGGTTGTCCAGCAATTAAAGGAAAGAGATTTTGAAACGCGATTTCGCTACGAGAATCCAAAAGTTATTTTGTAGAACAACTTAGGCCTGCATCGAAGCGAAGCGTCATTTTCAGTTAGATGGAACAGTTATTACACAGAATTTTAGATTCTGGGCTCCTTAAAATCCGCGAGAGATCCATGAGCGACCTCTACATTCTAAAAAAGCCACAGTATGGTGTGCCATTGGTCCAACAGGTGCTATTGGTCCTTATTTTTTTTTTGAAGAGGCCGGCCAAACCGTCACAGTTACGTTTGATCGCTACGCTCCACAAATTTTTGGTGCCAGAACTACGCAGAAAAGGGATAAACCCCAGGAATGTGTGGTTTCAGCAAGATGGCGAAATGGCACCTACGGCCAACGCATCAATGAATGTTGTCCGCAACCTTTTCCCAGAACAACTCATGTCATTTTGTGTTTTTTTCTGTGGGGGTATTCAGTTTCGTGTACTCGTATATGCTCCCAAGTCCCGTAGTTTGGTCGAGTTGAAAAACGGAATTCGCCAGGAAATCCTGACTATTGATCAAGCGATGTTAGAGCGTGTTATGGAGAATTTCAAAAGGAGAATCGAAAACTGCATCCAACTTGATGGTCACCATCTTCATTACACTATTTTCCATACTCAATACACTTAATAATTTGCATAATGTAAGCTTCATTTTGATGTCAATAAAATCTTATTATCCCGCAAATTTCCTCTGTAATATTTATTTAAAAATATTCCGGTTTCCAGTTGCCAGTTGTCACCATGTACACTTTAAATAATGTTCTGCTTTCAGGTATCAAGCCTTAAATGAAAACGCCCCCCAATACGTCCATCACATGTTCGCGAGCATCGTACCCGGTTTTTACCCTCCTGCTCCACCCTACAATCCGCCTCTCTCTCCTCCCGACCCTCATCAACCAGTAGGGCCATCGGAGTTGCTTCCCCTTCTACCGCCTAGTAGTGGGGAGCGGCCACCCGATCATCCTGGCAGGTTCTATCTGGAAGCTTTGCTGGAGTACATGGTACATACCACAGTAAAGCTAGAGTGGCAGGATAAAGCTGCCTATCATCACAGGTGAGTACAGGCTTCCTGGTACCTTTGCTTGCTCAGGTACTACCTTGTCCCAAAACATTTAAATAATCAGAGTTGCTTTCTGGTGACGTAGTTACACGGAGTAGCCCGCCTGCGTTCAGCACATGTCAATACTGTTCAATTTGGAAGTTACTTTCACTGTTTTCCTTGCTCGTGCCCATTTTTTCCCCGGAAACATGGCAGCAAATTAATATTCGACAGAATAATTAAAAAAATAATTATTTTAATATTCTTAGGAGGTCTGTAAATTAGGTGATAAGGCTGCCATCGTAGCGTTCGATCTGGCAATACTGGAGGCGCTGGGCTTGGAGGGAAGACGGGGGAACATGTGATCCGCCTTCAATACAAATTTGAACTCGCTAGAGTCATTTGGTTATCCGTAGCGATTTTTTTTGTGAAACAGTTTTTTCTATTGTATTCTAAAAATGAGCGACATCAATGTCATGCAACGGTGAGCTATCAGGTTTTGCTTCGGACTTAAGCACCGTGCAACGGAACCTCTTGCTAAACATCCCTATGGGGATAGTGTTTTCTCAAAGGTCCAAGTTTTTCTGTGATTTAAGACATTTTCAGAAGGTAGAGAGTCGATTGAAGATGAACCACGAAGCGGAAGGCCTTCATCTTCAAGAACCGATGAAAATATCGACAGTCCGGGATCAGATAATCGGTTGACAGTCAGACTGATCGGGGAAGAGTTAAATTTGACTCGCACCACCGTTCATCAGATCAAGAAGATCACGATAATGTTCCTTGTCACACAGCTATGTCAGTAAACGAGTTTTTAGCCAGTAAAAACATTCCTGTGACCCCTCAGCCTCCTTATTCGCCTGACTTAGGTTCTTGTGACTTTTCTCTCTTTCGGAAGTTGAAAAATCACCTAAAGGGAACTTATTTTGGGACAGTCGAAAACATTCAAGTGCCTGTAACCTACCAGCTGAAGGCTATTCCAGTATAGGAGTTAAGGAGTTCCAACACTGCTATGAGGGGTGGAAGAACCGTCTCCAGCGCTGTGTGGCTTCAGAAGGAAGTTATTTTGACGGTGACAATATAAAATTGTAATAAAATTTGTATGAAAAGACTACAAAAATCAGTCTCATCACTTAATCTACAAACCGCGTCAAATCGCGACATATTGAAGCTGATTTAGTGACTTTCAAAATAGTAGTGTTTCGTTCTCTCTAACAACGTCAATCTTTTGTCTCGATTGTTTTGCATAAAATATATAGGAAAGTTTCTGTACACAATGAGAATTATCGAATCGATATACTGATAATGATTATGACTATATTTCAAGTCAACAAGAAATGGAATAAATTTTACTCAATATTTAGTAAAAAATAGGTCCGACAGTTCAAAATCGGCAAAATGGGGGGGGGGAGTTGAAGTATTTTGGTAAATATGACATTTGTTAATGATATTCAGTTAAATATTGTTTATTTATTTTAGGTGTTTCAATTTCGTATTGGAAAAATTCAAAATGTACTACCTTCCAAAAATCTGTCCAAATTTCTGCCAGGAAACTTCACTGTACAGACCAAACTTAGGCAAGTATATAACTTAATATACACCAATATTTTCTCTACAGGGCCTTAATTTCATCTAAATTTTGAATAAACGATTCACGATTGAAACATGCTTTTTTCAGAACTACCAGTAATGCGAAGATTGGACAGCGAAAATGAAGCGGTACATTGCCGAGTGTCGTTGATAATGTGGGTGACAAATTACATGCATCAAGCAAAGAAAAATAATGAAGGGGGAGGTGCTGGTCCACCTCAAAATCAACAGTTCCAACCAAGTCCTCAACAGCAGCATTACCATCCCACCCATGAAGAAGAATCTCATGATTCTGCTCATCCCAGCTTGGATTCAAGTAGGTTTGCGGTATACTCAAAACAATATAACATAGCTTTGTCATTATACATGTTAGCTTTGTCCAAGTCCTATAGGAAACCATCTCAAAACCATTCTGATTATGCTGATCGTTAATCAAAAACTGGTCTAAAATCACGAGAACTCACTGTGCAGCATCAGAACAATTCTAGCATATTTTCCCATAGAACACGAACAAGGCTTTCTTTGAATTCTTTATCCTATATCAAAATGGCTGAGGTATGGAAATATAGGTAAAACGAAAGTAAACATGAATTATCATTCTTATAACTCTTTCCAGCTATTTCAATACAGACTAACAAGACGACAACTGATGAGGAATTAGCAGCTCAGATTGTTAGAGAAGTTTTGTGTAGTACAAGAGATAATGTTGATTTTATCCATGAGCTATATCGTCAGGCGTTACTTTTGAATTTTACGCATGTGGTGGCTATCCGGAAAATTATCGCTGTCTATAAAGACCTCATACAGGTAAGTTATATGTCTTCGAACCCACCAGGGTTACTGAATTTTTAACTAAATGCTTACATATGAATAAAGTTTGAGTTGTTATTTACCTCACTGTTTTTCTTTTTACATGTTTCAGGGTAATGTATTAGAAATACCACCATATGCTTTGGAGTTGCCTGAGGATATGCAAAGAAATCCTAGTGATGAGCTTAATCCAGATATTGTTCGACCTGGTAGGTTGAGGAACGACTCCTATCTTGGAGCCATCCATAAGGAAAATCTTCTAGTCAGAGCGGGAATGCAGGTAGAACGAGTTATCACCAACCATCCTATGTTTATTTCATAAATAAAATCTGTTTCCAGAATTTGTTCCAGCTCTTTATGACACACGCAGCTAATGTATTTCTACTAGAAATCAACTCACATGTGCCTAGGATGCTTGAAGAGCAAACTGATGCTTGCAAGAGGGTTTTGAACATTTATCGATATATGGTTATGAATACACGAATGGATAACAATACGTGGTAAGTATCAAAATTTCCAAAAAAATAAGGGCCACCAAAACTCAACGTTTGCAATGACAATCTATATATATGCTTACTTTACTACTCTCTTGAAATGACGACCTGAGTACAAGATTTTTAAAGACAATATTTAATAAGCCCCTGTTTTCACTAACTAGATCAATAGATGTTAAAATACCATTAAATATTAGTTGAAAATTTCTGAGCTCAAAATTTTGAAAAAGTATACAATCATGCCTTTATGAGAAGTAAATTTCAGAATAAGATTTGTTGTTTGAATTATGGAATATCTGCCTGGACCACATTTGTTAGCTTTTAAATTCTTCATTACCACATATCATCTTATCAAGAATTTTGTACATTTTAGGGAACAACTGCTACTGGTGCTATTACAAATAACATCCTTGGTGTTAGGCGAGAATCCTCCTAAAAAGAAAGCATCTTCTTTGGGTGGAAAACTAGCTCCAGCAATATTCCAAACACTCATTGTCACTTGGATCAAGGCAAACTTGAATGTGATGATTTCGAGAGAGTTGTGGGACAGGTTTTTGCATGTGTTGACTTCATTGACAAACTGGGAAGAACTTATTAAGGAGTGGGCTGTAAGTTAAACAATTTTCAAAAATATATCTCAAAAAATGTTCAAATTATAACTGCATCATAGTCCTAATACAGATATTTCGAGTTTTTTTTCTCAACTCACATTGATATCTTTTTAGTAAGAAATAAACGCTCAGTATGTTTTTGCTAGTTTATGACTATGACTTAGATATTTTGTATGGTGAAAAATGGCAGATATGATAAATCCAAATTAAGAAGTTGGGCATAGTATTTCAGTAACTTTTCGATCATGATATATTCTGATTGACTGAACTATATTGAATGGTTTTTTAATGATTATTCTTTTTGTCTTCAGAAAACTCTGGAAACTTTGACAAGGGTCCTAGCTCGTCACGTGTATAACCTCGATCTAACCGACCTACCGCTTGATCGCCTGAATGAAAAGACAAAAAGGGGCAGAAAGGGTCCCATAAAGACTGAAAATAACATTCCAAGTAATAGTAACGGTCAACATTCGTCCGTGTGCAGGCAAGATTCGTCATTACCTGATGGCCATTGCATTTCTAAAAGGTTTGTATCCCATATTATTCTTAAGAATTGGTTCAGGAAAGAAATTCGTCATTACGAAAAATGTATTTTCAGGTCTCGTGCAGCTATTCCAAGAAGTTATAGCGAAACTTCTCTGACATTGAAAAGGAGGTCAACTTTAGTGAAGCAAGAAGTTGTAAATGTGAGTAGAATATTGTGCTATATTGAAATACAGTAGCGGACAAAAGGTTCGAAACAAATATTAAAATTATTATGAACTATTTCATATACCTATATTAAAATTGTGAAGGAACAGATAATATAAATATTAAGTCTATCTTTGGCTCCCGTACTAATATAATACAAGGTTTATCTTATCAATATTAAATTTCCCTGAAAATAAAAACGCGTTTTTTTAAATAACCCAGTTTTTGTAACGACAAAAGTATGGAACCATTTCACTTATTCCGTATTTATTCGTTCTGCGATACTCTGATATTCAGTGAGAATGGCAATTTAAAATTACTCAAAGATTAAACATGAATAAAGGAACGATTTCGAAAATTATTAGTAAATATCAAGATCAACGGATCAACAGCAACGCGGCCCAAGTGCGGAAGACCGAAAAAAAAACGATTATGTTTTGGATCGCTACATTAAACGTTTGTCCCATGAATATCCTCGAATGACCCCAAGCATACCTCAAAATTCATAAAGGACTGGTTAAGACTAAAAAATGTTAATGTTCTTACATGGCCTTCGCAATCCCCGGACCTAAACCCTATAGAACATCTCTGGGAGCATGTTAAAAGACAACTGACAAGAAAAACTTAAAAAATAGGAACGATTTATTTGATCATGTAAAAAATATTTGGCAAAATATCCCAACAGACATCTGTAAAAAATTGGTGCCTTCTATGAGCAGCAGATGTCGGGCAGTGTTGAATGCTAAAGGTTTTGCTACCAAATATTAGCTAAATAGTATTTCTTAAACCTTTTTGTAGAGTTATTGGATTTAATTTTGTAATAAAAATATTTTTCCATACTTTTGTCGTCTCATTATTGGTCATAAAATAATACGAAGGTATTTTAATGCTAGTCTGTCGTACCACAGCAAACACAAATTGTCATTTGTATCGTCAAGACTGTAAGCAAACTATATGAGAAAAAAATAGTCATTAATAATAAAGAATACTTTTTTAAAATTACTAAGAATGTTTCCAAACTTTTGACCGCTACTGTATGTAATTTATCGTAGATTATTTTTTTAATAAATATGATCTATTCAGAAGCAGAAGCTTAAGAAATGTTACTCTACATACTTAGATTCGAGGATATTATCAGACAATCCATTTTGACCGCTAATGTTAATCAGCACTCAGAGTTTGTCTAGAAATAGTAGAACTATCTAGTCCATAACAGTAAATTAAGATTTTGGTAAGTGATCAACAAACATGACTTTACTTTTTTTATTCGTTTTTCATTCATTTGGAATTGTTTTGTGTATTGATAGCATAATGATGTTTATCAAGGTTCTATTGGGTTAATGATTCTATTTTATCGCCTTTGTCTATTTTCAACTTGTATTATTAATTCAGTATTGCCTTGGCGAAGTAGATAGAAATGTGCTGTTCATTTTGGTTTAGTCAAGTTAATTGAATGCGATGTCTAAACCCCGACGGCATAGTTGTGCTCCAATCACTTGTAACGTCTTTAAAAAGGCAAGTGTCTTGTAAAATTTTTTGTGACTCGTATTCAATATTGGACATGATAGAAAGCATTCAGAGTACAATTTAAAATAATTTTGTCTCCATAATCCAGGGTGACTAGCGAGCTAAAAGTTCCCAGTTTACATTGATAAATTGGAATATAACAAGTCATATGTGAAGTATTAACAAAATACTTTCTCCTTTGAAATGCATTCATTTCATTATGCCATTCATACAAATAAAATAATAGTTCTTCAATATGTTACACACATATTATTTCACTCATGATCCTTAACAGTACAAGTAAGGGTATGCTGATTTTGCCTTGAATTTGCATATTAAATGAAATTGATTATTTATTATTTCTATAATGAGGTGTAGAAGCAAAGTGCTAGGAAGTTGGGAGAATAAACCAGGGATGGTATTTTATTAAGACGATTAGTCTTACCAAAGTGCTATGTGAATATAATGAAATTATTGCATTCTATATGTCACACATCATATTTGCTTATCTCTTTAGAAGCCTTAAGCTGTTTTTGTTTGTGGTTTGTCTATGGAGTTCAACCGTTACTATTGAGTAGATTACTGAATATATGTTTCCGTTCAAAAAAAACTCTGCACCATGCGCCGAGAACCTACCAGAAACTCATTGGAATGGAAACAATCCTCAGCATGTTGTTAGTTAAGAAGGTGTATATAGTTAGGTTTAAATATCAGTGATTTAAAAGCATGGCGTTATTACGAACTTGAGATAATGGCGCGATAATCCTTTGCAGGCCATAATAATCCTATGGTAGTATAGGATTTTCGGCCTCAAATGCCGCTCATGAACATTCAAACATTGCCGCCGTAATACCGTTCGTCGTTGCTGTCCAGTGCCTAGTTTCTGATTTCGTTATCATGTCACGCTTTTTCACAGTACTTGGTAACAGTTGTGATTCGTGATATAGGAATATCAGTTGCCAAATCACAAATCGGGAAATATCTATATAAGTATTTTCATGGTGTTGGGCAAATCTCAATAAAACTACAGGAATTACTTTTATACATCCTCGTCTGCATATGCAACTGCATTATCAACAGTTTGTTTTGTATTGGAGTATTTTGGAAAAGTGAATGAAAACAACGGCCCTTTATAATCCATTGCATGTGCAAGGGCGAGTAGCAGCTGCGATAAGGATCGGTTTGCGCAGTGTGCAATCTTCTTTAGAGAAACTAAGACTCGCACATGACGCAGGTACTAAAACTGCCTACTTACGAGGTCTGTAAATTAAGTGATGTGACTGTTTTGTTTTATTATTTTTGTTTATTCAAATATAATTTCAATTTTATTTTGTCACCCCCAAAATAACCTTCTTCTGAAGCCACACAGCGCTGGAGACGGTTGTTCCACTCCTCATAGCAGTGCTGGAATAGCCTTCAGCTGGTCGGTTACAGCCATTTGAAGGTTTTCGACTCTCCCAAAATGAGTTTCCCTGAGATGATTTTTCAACTTCTGGAAAACAAAAAAGTCACCAGGACTCAAGTCAGGCTAATAAGGAGGGTGAGGAGCCACAGAAATGTTTTACTGGCCAAAACTCGTTTATTGACATTGATGTTTGATAAGGAGCATTATCGTGATACAACACCCAGTTGTTCGTGATCTGATGAACGGTGGTGTGAGTCAAATTTAACTCTTCACCGGTCTTTCTGATTGTTAACCGACGACCTGAACGCACAAGTTCCCGGATTCGATAAAAACCTGGGCACTTGACAAAACACTATCTCCGTAGGCCTGATGAAGTTTAGCAAGAGTTTCTATTGCACTCTTCCGAAGTCTGAATTTAACCTGACAGCACACCGTTTTCTCGAAATAGATGTCATTCATTTTTAGAACGCAATAGGAAAAACTGTTTCACGAAAAAATGGCTACTGACAACCAAATGTGTCGAGCGAGTTCAAACTTGTACTGAAGGCGGATCACATGTCCCCGCCCCAAGCCCTGCGCTTCCAGTGTTGCCAGATCGAACGTTACGTTGCCAGTCTCATCACTCAATTTACAGACCTCGTATTTCGTATGACTTTGTGGCGTAGCCGCCATCACCGTAAAAAGAACAATACCACCAAGTGGCTAGAACGAAACATTACCTTAAATCATCATGTGATCTTTCCAGAACAAAAACCGCCGTTCCCGTTCACTAGAAACCCTCTCCGCAGCTATAGGAGCCGCTTCCCAACACGACGCCGATTCCGCAGATTGTACACGGTCTCCTAGTCCTGCACCATCTAGTGGCCTGGAGAGTACCTCCGTTAAGGACTCGCCGATGCAGCTGGACGTGTTGGTTGGAGGGGGTGGCAGTGGGGATGGACATCAGGATAGCGACAGGGGTGTCGTTTGCGGGGGCACGGTCAGGGGTTGGTTGCCGGATGTTGCTGTCATATTATGGAGGAGAATGTTGGGTAAGTTTATAGATTGCAGCTCACATTACTCCGTCAATATTAATCATTGAACAATCTTTCATGCGACCTCGAACTGACTGGCAAAACATTTGAGTCCTCTTATAGTCCAGGTGTCATCAGTTCTCGAATGGGGTTCAATGTCGGAGCCCCAATTTCTTTATATATATATATATACAGGGTGACTTCGAAGTTGAGTCATTTATTTTAACAGTGAGTAGAACTGATCAAAAGAAATGTTTTTTTCCTTTAACATTTTTGTGGTAAAATTAAAGTAACAAAGTTATAGCCCTTTAGAAGTTTGAGTACCGCCCTGTCTCAATAATAATATTATGTGCTCGTGTTTGGCGACAACGGATATACTCCGCCTTATCGGTTCATCGCATCGGAAACAAAAAAGCGAAAGAATTTGAAACGCTGATCACGATGTTTTTATTCATATCAGTCTGTGTCAGTCGGTAACGCGTGAGTGAATAGTGGTATTTGCTGCGTGGCTCAAACGAAATAAAAAATGGCACATATTTATGCGGATCGGTTTCCCAATCGAGTGCAACCAACCCCTCATGCCTTTGTTAATGTAGTACAATGGGCTCGTGAATCAGGTGACTTAAGACCACATAGGGGACTGCATGCCGGTGCTCCAAGACCTCACGATCAAATACAGGTGCGCACTGAAATACTTGTCGGGAGGATACTTTATAAAAGAAGGTAAACAAAATTTTTTAATTTTTTTTTATTTTTACACACATATTTTGGTTTATCTTCCTTCTACAATCATTATCTGAAAATTAATTACTCGACTTCAAAGTCACCCTGTATATATATATATATATATATATATATCCGTTAGATCGTGTATTTGTAGTGTGTAGCCGTTAGAACAAGTGCTATACATTTCAATCCAATAATCCCGTAAATGATCATTATTTTAATGGGAGAAAGGATAAGAATGCTGTTGGATATGTATAAAACACAAAAAATAATGCCACAAATTTCTGTAAAAATGTCATTCCAGGCTACCTTACGGAAATACAATAAAAGACGTTACTGAAAATCGGTTTACCTTACATAACCTGTGAACAACACTGTAGGTTTATTGAATTTTTATAACACAGGTTACCAGCTCGTCACTACATTGTAAAAAGCGTAAGACCCCGGGCTGTCAAACATTATTTATTGTTTGAAAGACAAAACGTGGGGCATTCAATAGTGCTTATATAAACTGTCAACGCCTGCATACCTGCTAACTTGGGTAAATGACTTATTTACTTGTGGCAAGTGAGAAAGGTTAAGTAAAAATAAGACTAACTTGAATTCTGATAGCTGAGTTTTATATATGCTTTGTAAAACATTGTTACAAATATGCAGCACTGCCAGGCACTTTAACGGGCCTCAGTTTCTACCAGACGCCTTGAAGAAGGTTCCCCCCTGTATAATGGTTTAGAACAAAAATTCATATAAAAATAATATCTTTCACGCTAGTTTTTTTTGCAGTAGGTCTGTAGGTCTCAGAAAAGTCCTATCATTGTATTTTTGTAAACGGGCATTATAATAGCACTGTCAGCCTGTATGCAAAAAAAACAGTGCACGGAAAAATGTATATTAGACTATGTAACTTTTGTGTGAAACATTTTTTGCTGAATACTCATACAAGGTCAATTTATAACGAGACAGTCTGTTTAAGGCGTCTATCAGTGCTGAATATTTCTTTGTGAATAATGTTTTACAAAGCCTTTATAATTTAAACAAAGTTAGTTTCATTTTTACTTAACGTTTCTCACCAACTTAGCAGCTATGCACACAGACGTTGAAAGTACATACAAACGCTATTCAGTGCCACACGCTTTATTTTTAACCAGATAAGTAATGGCTGGCAGCTTTGGGATCTTGTTCTATAAGTCCTTTATTTTACGAATTTGTGAGATAATTTTTTGCATCCAGGAGGTTGCCAACTTATTCGATAACTAGGGTACCCTGCATAACACATTGATGTCTGAACATCAGTCTAAACCAGGGCTGTCCAACATACGGCCCGCGGGCCGCATGCGGCCCGCGAACTCCTTTCTTGCGGCCCGCTTCACGGGTCATGTATACATATATGTATACCACATAGTATAGTATATACCTTTTAAAACTCAGTAATAATGTTGTACAGAAAGATTTTATAATGCGGCCCTCCAAACTGCATTTTTTTAAGTGGTCCTTGGGCCACATTAAGTTGGACAGCCCTGGTCGAGACTATTAAATCAATAAGCAAAACAATCTCCTTAAGAAAATATTTTTATATACTAATTTGAAAGTTGTGATTATTTTGACCAAGACCAATATTTGGAAATTTGGCCTTCAAAAATAAAGATAACCCAAAATGGAATCCATCTTTTTTCACAGGCGCCCTGGGTGATGTCAACCAAATCTCCGATCCGAAACTGCACGCCCAGGTTTTCGACTACCTAGTCAAATTGACCGACACTTTGATCAAAATTAGTCAAAACCAAGGCGTCTCTCCAGACAACATGAGCACTCCACAAGCCCCAGAATTGGTGCCTCCGTTAACGTTAGTGTTACCTTGGTGTTTTGGAGCACTCACCCTTCCGGACACTTACGAAGTAGGAAAGTTGAGCGCTCTAAGACTGCTATGTACCATTACGTTGAATTGCGATGCTAAGCATAGGACGTATCTGCCCAAGTTTTATTGGTTTTTGCATTCAGGTGAGAATTGTAACACTATTTTTTCTGCTGTCACTTCTGATAGTTTATGATACAATGTTTCAGTTGTTTCAATATACTAAGTCGCGTTCATCAAAACAGTTTAGTGCTACTCATTCGGTGTCAAGAAAATGACTTCACTGAAGTTTGGATTAACATAACGAACGTGTAAAGTTAGTAAGTGGTCCATTAATTGGCGATATGTTATAATGGACGCGACCATAGACAGACGTTTAAGTACGGTAAATATAAAGATTTAACTGTAAAACATCTTTATTCATTTTCAGCGTTGACAGGGCCTTCGAAATCAGCCCACAACACCTGCCTCAAGTACCTGGGTCCTAGATTTCTGTCTCTCCAACTTCCTGGGTCCTCTTTACTTCTGTTAGATCTCATTCATGCTTGTAACACGGTCTTGAATAACACTGAAAAACTCGAATCGACCCCTCGAACCGAGGCGGTCTCAATTCTAGCAAATCTTCTCACTGAGCCTGACGATCTCAGTTCTATATCTGTACTACAACCAGATCAAGATCTGCACGCTATGATGTGTCCTGATATCAAGGTATGTATTTACGTTAAATATGTCAAATTAATCCATGTTCGTGATGAGCAGACACAACTATTGCTTACTTGTGATTGATATATGTTTAATATATCTTGCAGGAGCACGTTGTAAGTATTCTTCTGAGAACTGGAAAGAGAGAACCGAAAGGCAAAGCAAGGTGTATAGCTCTCTCAGCTTTAGGTATATTTGTATATAAGGAACTGAACAATCAGACATTCCATCCAAAGGTTGCCGATGCGATTAATGTTTTATTATTAGCTTTAAAGGTAAGTAGTTTATTATTCATGTCTTAGTAATAATGAAACAATCTATTGAACTCAAAAATTAAACAAATATGCTGTTCACTCTCTGTACTACACACAGCTCATAAAATATTATGTTTATCAAAAGTTTGCCTCTAACAAAAAAAGTTAACTACAAACAGGGAATTAAATGATCAAGTCAGTCAAGCAGGAACATACAATTATCTCCAGTCCCCACCCATTTGACAACTTTGCTATCCAGAAATTTCTCATTCTCCAACTGACCATCCGACTACCTTTCGATCTCTCTATCATCTTGAGGTGCGTAAAATCGCCGGGGTTAAAGCTTATAAATATAATAACGTCAAAAACATTAGATACACCATCCCCCAGGCGCTGCAACACCTCACCATCAATTTTTTTAACCCTCAAGAGAATTTTCTAAAGTGAGCGATGGTTTTTGGTCTTTGGCATAGTAGTGACTTTGTGACAAAATTTCAATAATGATTAGCGACCTACTACGTAAATGTGTGACATGATGCTTCGTGATCTACATATTATGTAACTGAAACGTTCAAAATTCTTCGCCATTACAATATCTATGTTCGGAAAATTCGCTCGAGGTCTAGATCTCAACAGCAGTCAGTGAGCATGAAAATAATAATTTCTACGCATGGAATAAAACAAATAAGTTGTTACTGGCCTCATATATGTGGGCGTCGCCACTGCAATACGGCGACCTTGGAAGTGTTTAACTTCACCTGTTTGTTCAAATTTTCGCACCAACTGACGAATGGTGTTGACACTTTGCACATTATTTCGACCGAAATCTTGTTGTAGCTTTCGAATCGTTGCAACAGTCGACTCATTATTTAAGTAAAACGTTTAACAATACGGACACGTTGTGGGATTGTGTAGCGCTCCATGATGAATTGGACACATGTGCTTTAAACAGCTACGGCGCCACTTACTGAAATGCGTATATCAAAAATGGCGCGCAATTTAAATCAGTCAGTTATATATGGCAACATCCTACTGAAGCCACACGTGTATGTTCATGTGCTCACGTTCAAAATACCATACTATTTTCACATTACTACAAAAGTTATACTTAAATTTCAAATAATAACAAATTTAAATAGCTTTTTTGCGACATTTACAAAACGTACTATGTAAATCATGATGTAGTATTAAAAAAATAAACAAATATGGTTGTACTGGAACTTCAGTCAGTTGCTTTAAAACATATTTAAATAATCGATCCCAGATTGTAAAAGTATCAAGACGTGGTATTTCAAATAAATTAAATATAAACGCAGGATTACTTTTAGATAAAATCGTAGTTTTTGCTGACGATATGTTAACAAGACAAATATATAAATAAAATTAAGACAAAAAATCGATAGCGATATACGATTAATCAAAAAATGGTATAACAACAATTACTTGACTTTCAATGTCAATAAGACTAAATTTAAGTACTTAAGTAGTTACTTTGCCTTATTTGAAAGTAGTTTGAGATATAGCATCCCCTTTTGGTGTGTAAGTTCCCAAAATTGTTTAAAAAAAGTGCTTATTCTACAAAAACTAATAGATGTATGACTAAAAGCAATCATAGAGCTACATGCAGGAAAACACTTGTGGAAGACTCAATAATTTATAATGGTCTGAACATTTACATGTGTGTGCCTGATACTGTCAAAGGAATTAACAATTTAAAGATATTTATCGATCTATCTATTGTAGCGTTAATGCTAAATAAATCTACAACAAGCAAACAAATAAAACATCAATATATACGATCTCTAACTTTAGTGTACAAACAAGACGATAGTACAGCTGACCAGCGACATCCTGTTCCTGTTGTGTGACCATGCCCCGTTGCTATGGCAACACTACCCCCGTTTGGGCAGCGGCGTTGTAAGGGCGCTGTGCGCCACCCTCGCAGCCCATTCCTCGGACCGTGCACTCAGCGCTGCCCTTCTACTATGTCTGGGCGAGTGGTGCATGCGATTGGGCCCCGCCAGACTCATGGAGGCAGAGGAGTATGTCCAAGGAGGGACGAAGGCTAGGTGTCTGCTGCTGAGGGTATTCTCGGTGAGTACGTCATAATATTGTGCTTCAGTTTCATTAAGCATGTAATTTGATCTCATATTGACAAACATTTTCGATGTGATATAATGATTTAGATCTAGTTGAGAAAACGTCGTTTAAGAGACATACACACTCGATGCGACTGAAAATGCAGTTATCTAAGAAAATGATTTAAATTATTGAATCAGCACTATACAATTTTTCCTTGCTACAAATCGACACCTGTATCAGTATATTAACATCTTAAGGTCCGTTGAGAAATAGGGATGGATCAAAAGTCGATTGCATGATCGTCGTTTTATTTGAGGTGTCCTTATCGTGCCATCGCCTATTTGCTTGCCTATTTTGTCACATGAAAGAGATAGCCGTCTCTATTTCACTACTTCAGTGAACGCGGGGGTCTATCCATGTTGGTTCTTATGTTTATAGAAAACAAAACACCTTCCGCAACAAGTATCAAATCGATAATTGGTGACTAGACGTAATAAGAACTTAGGTAAAAAAGCTGACTTTATTGATATTATAGTTATATATTTTATAGTAAATATATTCATACATATTATTATCAGTAAGATCCAAATTTCTCATTCCATTCTTCAAACCTTTTAACATCGACACAGGTCACACATGGCCTTATCTTAGCCAAACTATCTTCGACGTCTTTGAGTGTAACCTTTCTCAAATTGTGTCCGGCTCGGTTCGTTCCTTTGGCATCGATTTCCTTAATTTTCTCTCTAATCACCCTCATTTTCACTTCTATGCTCAAACACTTTATATCGCTTCCAGAGAAATTCTCAATCATCCCGCCCAACTTGAACCATTCTTTATCCTCCAGGCTATTAGGACCATTGATGTAAAGTTTAAGCAATTGAACTCGCGCTATGTCATCAGGCAGTGGCACGTAAATCCGCTTCTCAAACCTTCTTAACATGGCTGTATCCAAGTTCCAAGGGACATTAGTGCTTCCTAGCACAAAGACGTGATCGGTACTACCTTGGATTCCATCGATCTGTGTTAGAAGCTCGCTCTTAAACCTTCTTGAAGCTTCATGTTGGTTTACCGTTGACATCAGTGCATCCACTTCATCAATAAAAATCGTTGTTGGGGCATGCTTTTTGGCCAAGTCGAACAATACCTAAAAGATTCAATTTTAGGTCAATATTTCTAATCGCACTGGTTCAGTTTCGTTCCACATTGATGTTTAGAGGTTTAAAATATTACAAGTACCAGCGCAACAGTCGGAGGTAAAATTTATCACCAATCACTGGTCAAACAAGCACAGGTAACTAACAGTAATGAAATCCTAAAATAGGTAGACCACACCAAGCATTTATGCTGAGTGCCGAATACAACAGAGACTGTTTATGTTCCCGTTAAATGTTTCAAAAACTGATTAGTAGATTACATTGTAATTCTCTAATAATAATTTAATGCTGCTTTAGGGGAGGCTATATACTATGAGTAACGACGCTGATTGGCCAAATAAGAAATTTGAGATTAGAAAAAGTTTGAATTGCAGGGATACATTTCTCTTTTGTTACTAAACTAAATCGTGTAATTATCCGCATAGGGACCCATGTAAATGTAATGTGGATTATCTCATGAAATAAAGGGTGGAATACGTTCATAATTCACAGAAACACATCTCAGTACATTATATTGAACATAACATAGTTAATGGCCGCGAACTTTCACACAATAAATTCTACAGTGTTTACTCATACATTTCGATTAAATAGAATTTTGTCATCATTTTCATCTTCATAATATTTTATAAACACTTTTTTTAAGTTGTTAAAATTTTTTTATGTACATAATTTAAATATGGATTTACAGTAGCCTAGCGCCTAGTTTGGTCGACTCAATTTTTTACATTTTCTGTTAATTAGTTATGAAGTCTGATATTACCCTCATAGCACAAATACGAGAGTTAAGCAAATCTATTGAAATACCTTGACCATCTTCTCGGATTCGCCTCTCCATTTACTGATAAAGGTACTGCTCGTAACATTGATGAAAGTACAACCTTCAGACGCCAAAGCTTTCGCTAATAAAGTCTTGCCAGTACCAGGTGGACCAAACAATAAGATTCCTCTCCAAGTTCGAGTGTCGCTGAACAGATCTGGATAAATCAACGGGTATGTGATTGCTTCTTTCAGTTTTTCAGCAGTACTGGATAGTCCAATACAGTCACCCCATGAAGTTTTCGTGTTGTTGTTGATGAACTCTTTCATCATGACTTCCGCCATCTCTTTCCATTCTGGTGAACGGATTTCTTCGATTGTTTCAAGTGGTTGTTCGAAAAAAGAATCTGAGGATTTTCTTGAATTGTTATTTGATAGGGATACAATTCCGAATTGGAAGTCGTCACATTCAGGTAAGTTTTCCGTCGCCTCTTTTGTCGCTACTTTTCTGGGTTTAAGTGCCGGCTTACGTTTCACCTTTTGAGGTACTTCGTTACTGTCCAATTTTCTTACGATTTTCGGGTATTTTTGGAATTTGGTGAAATAATAGCTCTGGTACTCTTGTAAAATGATGTCCAAATCAACGTTCTCGCAAACCTGACATTGTTCATTCAGCTGCGCTTCATTGGTAAGAGCTTCAGCTGTATCGCAAAGATTTTGTTCCATTAAGTAGCTGTAAATAAGGTACAAAATGTTTTTCTTCCTCTCCCTGGCATCTCCCTTTTGCTTCTCCTGGAGGTTTTGTACACTTTTTGTCATGCTTCTCTTTGGGGTTAATATAGATAATTCAGCCATGGCTTCAAGTACTCAATATAAAACAAATCAGTGAATCCGGATCGTCAAACAGAACAGGTTTCTGTCAGGCTGAATAACCTTAATACAAACAAAACTTCACTTGATTTGCTGTTGCCATGGGAACAGACTGAGTGATCGAAATTACCGGTGGTTTGAATATCTTCACGTTAGTTACAGAGTGTGACTATTAAGTATGTTATGTTGTCTTAGATACAGAGTGATTCCCTGGCAAAAAAGGGTCCTAACAATTTCAATGTGTTACAACATTATCTTGGAAAAATAAACCAAACGTAGATGCAAATAGTTTCCTTTTGTAAAGAGAATTATTAACAGCAGTTTCTTCGTTTAAAAAGATTGAATATTCTTAACAATAATGTACTATCGGCAAAATTTAAGTAGTGATTCTATTCAAAATGACTACATCCAGGTAGTTGTGAAAACTAGTATCCCTGGAGTTCCATAGAAAATAACCTAGTGGGTTTGAGTCATGAGATCAAGCAGGGCATAAAATAAGTTAAAAATGCATAAGCAACTATACTGAACTTATTACTGTGTGTAAGCAATGACCCTGGTGTATTTGGAATATTTAGTCTATGACAAGTAGTCTTGCACTCTCGCTAGAGATACAGTATTTTGAACAGATTTAGTAACATCAAATGTAATTTTTTCTCATAAAAATTGTTAATCAAAGTTATGATATAATTTTGGACCTAGGTATATAGAAGATTTCAACATTATTTATTTTTTTGGTATTGCAATAATTATTGGTTTATTTTTGTTTCTATTATCATATTCATAATTTTTATAAATGGTCGAATGTTTGTTTTTATGGAATTCCAGTATAACATCTTAGCAAAATAATTTTGATTCTATAAACAGTGATTTGGAATGTTTGTTATGAATTGTTTTATGAATAGTTTTTGTATTACTTGTAAAGAATTAAGATGGTTATTATTCGTGGATCCCCAAATAATTCTATAGGTCAAGTGGCATTCTACTAATGTTTGATATAAAATTGTTAATTGAGTTTCATTGAAAATTTGTCTGTAATATCTGAATTTATATAATAGAAATCTAAGTTTGTTTTTAATGTATTGGATATGTTCATCCCAACGAAGATGGGAGTCTAAAACAATTCCGATATATTTAGGATTTAGTTTCATATGGATCATATACGAGCCACCGCAGAAGTGACTTTTGGTATATATTTTGAGTCTGCGAACAATGTTGATACTATAAATCATATATGAATTTGGTTCCCAGGTACTGTATGACATAATAGTAGGGGTCCCAGTCCAAACCGACACTGCGAGTGACTCTGCTCCCCACAACCACCCTACAGCCGACGACTTCGACCCTGACATCCAGCAGGATGATCTAGGCAGTCGGCCTTCCTCGAAGGGCAATGGCAAGGATGCTGCTGTCCTTTGCGCAAGGACGGTAATCGCCCATCTGGTCACCCATCTGGGACACTTCCCTATGGCCATTGGAGCAGCCCGGTTGAGTTCACTAGTCGCGGAGCACGATGATGTCCCTGATTTAAGTGCTGACGAGTTATCGACTAGTATTTTCGATGCACCCAATATACAGGTAAGGTATTAAATATTTTTAGAGGGATTAACATTAACTTGGTGACCAGGAAGGTGCAACTACACCACTCAAAAGGGAGCAAGAAAAAAATCTAAATTTTTTAGTGATTTTTTACAGTTTGGATTTCGGTGACGAATGGTCGTATATAGACTTTAGAAAAAGGCATTTTGAAGCTTTAAGATCCTAGTTTTTAGGTTTTTAACTGACAAATTTTAGCAGTAGAGGTTCTTATGCAATATAATATATAAGGGTATTTCCCAAAACTGGAATAAATCTTCTATGAGATTTGATTGCAATCTTTGAGAATTTTTTTGTTTCCTTTCAAGAAAGTCAAAAAAGTTGCTTTTTGCCTTGTTTCGGAAAGCCAACCGCACTTTTGAAACTGCTAGTGAGAAAGGTAATGTTTTTAGGTTTTTTATACCTAAATAAAATGCTGTCACATGTTGCTCATAAATAGTTCGATTCAAAAACACAATTTGCAACATCCAAAGCCCTATAGACCTTTTACTGTGACTGTGCCTGCGCCATGCGGCCTTTGTACGAAATAAACGTACATTCGCCGCACGGGATGGAAACGTCCTGTAAAACGATCCGAATACACTCGCGAAGCATTAGCACATCAGCAGCATATTGAAGACAGTGTAAACTAACATTAAATCAACAAGTTCATTATTGCTTTAAACGTGTTCCATTTTTTCAAAACCAATTTTAAATCAACAGGTCGGTTCACCTACAAGGCGTGCGACTTCTGGTTTGGATATTGACACACTAGCCCAGTTAAATTGCCGAAACTAAGGCAAAAGTGATAACATAGCCACAAAGTTATTTCCGCTGGCGTAATGGTGTTATAAAGGATTGCGAATATTATTGTATGAATTTGATTTTCCGGAAACCAGTCGTTTTTTGTAAAACACTGAAAAACCCAAAAAACCTCTTTTTCGCTGAAACGGCTGAGGATATCTGTAATTTTCTAAACTTTCTAAATAAAGATGATTTATTATTGTTAGTGTATCGGCAAAAATAAATTACAAACTAAGTGGCGTCAGGAATGCTAAAAATCATGCTGAGAGCAGGGCTGAATTTGATATAGTAGATTTTTCCGAAGCCATATGTTACTAGCGAATTTTGCTTTATTGTATAATTCCTTTTTTAGTTGTTCATGTTGTCAAAAGCCGTCATTGCAAGTCTCATCGAACTACCTGCGCTGGACTTACCTGGAGGTGGCGTGACAGCTGGTCTGTCAACTGCCGATCGACAAGTTCGTGTTTTGCTCAGAGACCTGTCTGGAAAGTAAGTTCATTATTTGTACAATCATTTAGCCATTATTAAAAAAGCTACTTCATACACATATTATTTGATCAAAGCAGAATTTTGAATAGTGTTAGTTATTACCCCACATGTTTTTAAATCTATAATGCAGTTTTAAATGCGTCACCCGTTTTAAAGCTGAAACAAATTGTAATTTTTTTTAAATAGATAAGTACTCTTAAGTGCTCATGAGATTTAAAAGTGTATAACAAAATTCGGTTTGGGACCTAGTATGGACTTATCCATCTCGCGAAGTGCTTTACAACTGATTTCTTCCTTTATGCATTGTTTTTCATTCGTTTAGATCATGTTGGGATGCCTCCGTCCTCTATCGAACTCCAGAAAGCCTACCTCGACAGACCGATGAACACGATAATGCAGAAGTTGACGTGCCCTCCGTAACGATGCGGTCAAATGTATTTTCTGCACAGCCAGAAAGCCTAATGGTAGGTGTCACACCTCTGCATGCGTTACCTCAACGTGCTATGCGCCACAGGCCGCCAAACGTTCTACCAGATGTTTCGAACGCAGCGCCCGATATGGATCAACTAGATGACGTAAGTATCGTATAATTTTATGGAGTTTACATAGATGAGAAAATTTCTTAAGTGGATTAATGTTTTTTATCAATGTCTACATTTACTTTTTGACCATGGGACTTCCATATAAAGTGGACTTTGACCGTAGTAGGAGTGTACTTTTACATTTGTATGGTTTTGTTTCCAGCTGTTGCAGTATATCGGCCACACGAGCTCCGAGTGTCTCGAGAACATATCCAGGAAGTTGAACGAGCCCGCTCCAGCACCGATGTCCGGCGATTTAGAAAATGAAGCCATAGCGTCTGTAATAAGCCAAAGAAACATCGAGTCTGAAGAAAATAGGCTGGCATATCAAACTGATCAGATACCGGTCAAGCCTGCTACCAGGCCTTGTAGTAGAACTGATACCAAAAGTGTGACCTCAGACAGTATGAAGTATCAGCAGCAAAGTAAGAACTCTATTCATTTCGCCATTAAATAAGAATTTAATTTATTTAGTGTATTGTAATTCTAATTCTTTATGATCGTTTAATTCCATAGAATAATTTCTTGCCATATATACAGTGTCATATACAAAAAGTTTCATAAAAATTCACAGTCAGCGTCAAATTCCATCAAGCATGTAATTATAATTTGTTTTTGATTTTTGGTCTTAACAACGATCACAAAAGAGGGATGTTTTAAATAACGAGTATATGTGTCCGCCCATTTGAAGCAACTTATCTCCAAATTCTTCAAAATTTGTACTTGTTCCAGGTTTTAGTAGTACTACGCCCCAGAATGCATTCCAGTTATGTCGATTGTTTTTCTCCCAGCTTGGTTTCGCAGGATGGGAAAGAAGACAGCAGCTGCATCTGCTAAATAAGACTGAACGTTTACTTAGGGAGCTAAGAAATTTGGATAATCAAAGCTGTCGAGAGACACACAAGGTAACAGCTAATAGATATAATCTAATGACCATTGTAGTTAATATAATTATCACCTTCTCATTTTATGCTGTACCACAACACTGAAATGTATAAAAGTACAATTTCATGATGGAGTCATGAGTGAATTTGGAGCTTGAAGTTGACGACAGTGCATGATGACAAAGACTATTCGCCTCGCCTAGAATTCGTTTATTACTAAAAAACGGTTGAGTGTTAGAATAGCTTTGTTAAAATTCGAAAATAAAGCTGTTTATCATTATAAATTTGATGCTATGAACGGACTGTGACAGCTGTCAAAGTGTTAAGCAAAAAACAAGTGATCTCAACAGAAATGCACATAAAGAGCGCTTACCGAATACAGCTGCATTAACAAGTACAACACACACCTACAAGGGTAGACTTTAGAAGAAACACTAGTAGTTGTGTTTTAGTACAGAAGTCCACTTCCAGATTTATTTTACTAGTGTCGTGATTCTACAAGGATATACGTGTGTTTGCATGTCTTTAGATTTTAAAGGAAAAGTGATCTCATCTTTTTATTTGAAACACCAACTCTTTTTCAAAACCATAACCTACATCCGTGATGACAAACGTCAAAAAATTTTAGGGACAACGCTTGTTTTTGTTCAGCTTTTTTGCTCAAAATTTTACACATTATTGATCTCCCTTGGCGCTCCCAAGAAAATGACAGTTAATTTGGTCTAGAAGAGGAGAATTTGGTGGGATATATAGGGTGTTCTAGAAGTCAACGTCAAGCCGGAAACTGGGGATAGGCCAGGTCATAATAGTTATTAGGAAAATATAAAAAAAAATCTAAGTCGTGTACTTTTCAAATTAAAGGCAAAACTCAGCTTTTGGAAGATAATCCTGGGGTTGTAGGGATTGTACTCGTACCGGTGGAGCAAGGGATTTCTTTCGCAAGATTCTGTGAGATATACTTTTAGGCTATTTGACGTAAAGTATTCGGGACTTCTTCATCTGCTTGTGAATGAATGAATGAATCGTGAAATTAGAGGCATTCCGGCCACCATAAGGAGCCAGTGCATAGGTCGCTTAAGCGGGCCCTTATGCACCCCTACATTCCTTAGATCACAAGCCTCGCCCTTTTAGCGAAGTTGAGAATCGCCTTGAGTCCAAGCTCCTTGACGTACTCAGGGTCCAAACTAATGGACCCCAGTATAGTCTACTTATAGTAGCTCAGAGCTTCACAGCGACACAAAACGTGCGCTAAAGTCTCTTCCTCTACCCCGCAGCGCTCAGACATGGGATCCTCAACCACCCCCATCACGTGCAGGTGGCGCCTTAGCGTTTTATAGCCAGACAACAGTCCCACCAGCAACCTTAGGTTGGCTCTATCAAGAGATAAGCAGAGACGTCCATCCTTAGCACTGGGCCCTTCAATGAGTTCCCGTGCCTGGCGGAGATGTCTGGAGATACTTCTCCATTTCTGAGAGTGTGGTCTTGCAACCCACGTCTCCATTTTCCTCCTAGCTCTATGCTGTCTCAGGACCAGCGAGCTTGCTGGCTGATCGTGTCTTCGAAAGAGCGTCCACCGTCTTATCCCAGCGTGCCCCGGTACCCACATTAACGATACCGGATGCCTCTCTGCTTGTAGTAGGACATCCTCTTGAGGAAAGGAAATGTTTTCTTTACCATATGCTTGATTTGGGAATCATCCCTCTGAGAGTAAGCGGTGCACATTCACAAAAAAAACTCGGTGATCGCGATGACGAGCAGCATTCGGTTACCTCTCTCGATAAAGCCTTGCTGCAGCACTAGCATTGCCACTACATTCCCCATAAATGAGGTGCATGTTGGGGTATTCCTGTACGGTGTACACAGACATGGTGACAGCAAACATTCATAAATAATAAATTAAATTGCTATCTGTTTTACTGTCACCATGTAGAATGACACTGTCCGTCACTCCGTCTAAGAAAAAAATGGAAGTAGTAATGGGAATTAAAAGATCATCACAGTGTGTAGATTCTTGCAACTTTTTTCTAAAGTCTATAATTTGAAAATTACACGATTTAGATTTTTTCATTTTTCTGATAACTTTTATGACTTGGCCTGTATATCTCTCAGTATCTTGCACGTTGTTGACTCAAACTTTATGTTGCAGTTTGCGGTTATCTACGTAGCTCCCGGGCAAGAAGACAAAAATTCCATCTTATCAAACCAAGGTGGTAGTGTGGCTTATGAGCAGTTCCTGTCAGCACTTGCTTGGGAGGTTGAATTAGAGGCTCACACTGGCTTCTTGGGAGGGTTGCAAAGACAAGGATCCACGGGTTTGACGGCTCCCTATATAGCTACAAGCTTCTTGGAGGCAGTTTTCCATGTGGCCACCAGAATGCCCAGTGATACGCCAGAGGCAGTTCTTAGTAAGGTAATTCCAATCTGGTCAGAAATCTTTCTGTAAGGTTTTTCACCGATTTTAGCGGTTACGCATTAATTTTTAAGGTGACTAATATACTATTTGTTGCATTTTTTCTTGTTTTCAGATAAGGCATTTAGGGAATGATGAAGTACATGTAGTGTGGTCGGAGCATAACAGAGACTACAGGCGCGATATCATCCCAACCGAGTTCTGTGATATTTTGATAGCTATTTACCCACTAGGAAATAATTTGAATCGCGTCACTGTAAACTGTAAAGCTGACGTAAGTTTCATTTGATTGCGTAATATTGAAACATTAAAATCCATGCACCAAAATGTTAGATATTGTACATGTTCTATCTTGATTTTCAGGTACCGCACTTTGGTGTGCTATTTAATGAAGCTATAGTTGAAAGTAATGTTCTAGCAGGGCTTGTTAGGGCAACTGCCATATGTGCAAGTCGAGCCAAAAGGATGACATACCAATTTTACCAGCAGTAGTAAGTAATAATTTACTGAAAATAATAGGAAGACATCCACTTTTATGTTGTTTATACATTTACTGCCTTCCGATATCCTATCCACAGGTAATATATCGATTAACCCTTATTTAACATACTCCACCAGAAGATGTTATCTTGAAAAGTTGTTGTCACGTTTAAGACTAAACAATTTTACTTTAAAATGAAAATGGAATATGTTTTTATTACTTCTAAGCGAATTATTTGCGATCCTACTTAACAAAATACCTGTGAAGATGAAAATTGTATTTGAACGTCCAAATACAGCGTAGGATTGGGCATCTTCCTGAACAATTCTTTAAACAATTATTATTTTATTCACATGATACGATATAGTTGACTGCGGTAATTTTGGAACGTTGACCATGAATTTTCAGAGTAAATAAAAAGTACGTCTATATAAATAACAACAACCAAATTTCAGTTGTCCTTTTTTACGATTTTTGACTAAACTAGTATGGATGTACTGGAACATCGCTCTTTTAGTATAAAACGTATTTAAATAATCCCAAATTAAAAAGTATCAAGATATTATATTTCATATAAATTAAATACGGTACGTTTATATTTAATCTAATCAGTCTAATTCTATTCTTACTTGTATACCAACGATTTAATAAATTTAAACATAAATGGCAAATGTATTGTTTTTGCTGAGGATACCATAATACTTTGGCAAGAAATAGATATAAATGAAAATGAAACAAAAATTGACAATGATACACAAGCAATCAAAAAATGCTGTGACAGCAATTTTGTTGTAAATGAGAAAACATTTATGAGGTTTCAGTGCTTCCTGATTCGGTAAATTTAAATACAATCATGTAGAGCAATTCATTACTGATTAGGCAAATATTTCCCATATTATAAGAACGATTAGTTACAACTTAGGACAAAGGACAGCCTTGAGTTGTTAAAGAAAGGTGCTTATACTTCAAAAACGATCTATTAGATACAGGGTGGGCCATTAAGTTGAGCAGATTTTAAACAATCATAGAAAAAAAAGTACAAAGCGTAGAGAAGATAATTTATATTTTTAATAAAGTAGGCACAAGGGAATTTTATTTTTTTAAAATAACATCATTGAGATGTGAGCAGTCGAGACGTACACACTCTTCGAATATCGACTTTTAATTCGTGAAAACTCGCTAGCACATCGCTCATGGGATATCGGACATCTCCTCGGAAATGTTCTGCTTGAGCTGGACAATTGTCGTCGGTTTATTGGCGTAAACGCGGCTCTTGAGGTAACCTCAGAGAAAAAAATTGGAGTCGTGAAATCTGGGCTCGGGGAGGCCACGGAATGTCCTCTCGTCGCGATATCAATTTTCCACTAAACATTTCGTTTGCAACTTCTAAAGACTCATTGGCGGTATATTTCACACATCATAGGTCCCCCCTACATTTGCTCTCAAAATCAATATCAATTTTATGCGCGTGACAATCAATCCCAATTGATTAGTTTTCTAATTCTAACAATAATTTGTACAATGAATCAATATGGGCTTGGTCTAACTCCTCAGCATTATCCACTACCTCTCTAATTTCCTTTTCCGAATGATGCTCTATCAGTTTCATCTGTACTGTGACATCTAAAAACGTGTTCAAAATTAACATCAATTCGACCATTCAACTTGCTATTACAGAAATCAATGTTTATGCCATTGTTGTGCAGCCAATCACAGCCCAGGATAATGTTTCTAATAAGGCCCGGTATAACCAAAAGGCTGTATTCAAATTCGCGACCACCCAAAGGCTAGGTACACCCGCTCCCTGACGGTCCTTGTTTTGGTGCCTATAGCCCCCATCCAAGTAAGATATTTCCATGGAAAATTCGGTGTCTCCGAATTTGCTATCAAAATTTCACCCAAAAATTTCTCATTGACCCCCGTAACTTGACTACCAGACTAGACTAGACGCTGTGTCGAAATGCCTCGAAACCTTGCAGTTACCACCGGCAACACTACAGCATGTTTCTCTTTCTCCATTACCTCCATATCTCTGTTCAAAATCGTGGAAACCACTAGACGATCTCCATTTTCTGCATTCCTAACATTTCTATTCCTATTATTTCGTCAGCTAGAGTTTTCCTGCACCTTCTACCTGTCTACCTTGTCACGATTATTACTCCATTGGCTCTGACCACGATTCTCTCCTCTATTTTCTCTTACCTGAACCACATTCCTATTTATAATTCTGGGATAGTCGGTTTATTGGGGTAAGTCTGGCCTTGCTCGTTTTCGAAGAAATAGTGTCCGATGATTCCTTCCGCCGACATGGCCGCCCAAAATGTAACATAACGCGAATGCAAAGGACGTTGGTGTTTTAATTTGGGATTTTCTGCGGCCCAATACGGGTAATTTTGCTTGTTTCCAAATCCACTCAATTGAAAATGAGCTTAATCAGAAAAGAGAATATTGTCCAAACTTGGAAAGCGATCTAACAACTACTATGGGGGACGTAGCAATTACCTGTGTAACTTTTGAACATCTTAATTATATAGGGTTGTCCTTAATGGATTAGAGTTTTCCTGCACCTTCTACCTGTCTACCTTGTCACGATTATTACTCCATTGGCTCTGACCACGATTCTCTCCTCTATGTTCTCTTACCTGAACCACATTCCTATTTATAATTCTGGGATCGTCGGTTTGTTGGGGTAAGTCTGGCCTTGCTCGTTTTTGAAGAAATAGGGTCCGATGATTCCTTCCGCCGACATGGCCGCCCTAAATGTAACATAACGCGAATGCAAAGGTCGTTGGTGTTTTAATTTGGGATTTTCTGCGGCCCAATACCGGTAATTTTGCTTGTTTCCAAATCCACTCAATTGAAAATGAGCTTAATCAGAAAAGAGAATATTGTCCAAACTTGGAAAGCGATCTAACAACTACTATGGGGGACGTAGCAATTACCTGTGTAAATTTTGAACATCTTAATTATATAGGGTTGTCCTTAATGGATTCGTTAAAAATCAATCCTGGATTAGACTCGTAAATATAATATTGAGACACATATCCCTCAGTGATAAGTCGCTCATTAATGAAATGCAGGGTCTTGAAGTTTTATCTTAACAATCTTTTTTCTCTATTACTCAACCTGTTTCAGTTATATCAACATAAAAATTAGGAACAAGTGGTATCTGAGAATGAGGTACACGATTATATTGAATTTTTTTTATCATAGTGGGTGCATGGCACGAAATACAGCCTGTAATCTTGCTTTCATGATATAATTTTGTTGCTAGTGCTATTTCATTATTTTTTAATGAAAATTATCATAGAGGGATGATCTTTAAGTAAACAAGATAATCTGCATACATTTGATTGTGCAATATAATGTTGAAATGGAGATATATTCTTCAATCGAAATGAATGTGGAGTACCTTTTTTATTTGAAAAGCATCACTTTATCATAATTTTCGACAGAAATAATGATACGGTACTAGCAAAAAGTTACGCATAAAACAGCAACATGACAAGATGTATCTGGTGCTTCTACATGTAATGTTGAAAAATACAATATAATCGTTTGCATCGTCCGCAGAATCCCCCGACTTCTAATTTTAATTTTGATATCACAAGCAAGGCTTGAGTTATAGGGAGGAAAACTACTTCTGCAATATCAATGGTTCAAACGTTCAGTGACACCTAGCGGTTAGAAGCTAGTGCTGCATAAAGTATGTCTTAGCCTTGTCTGCCCTGAGATTGATTGACGTATGTGAAACGGTTTATGTTGAGTAGTGTGGATTGTCAGCAGATTCAATCAATAGCGAACGATATTCGGCAACTGGGCAAAGCCATTCTTCTCGCAGCACTAGCTAGTAGCATCTAGGTGCAACGGTGGCTAACCAATATCTTCACGAGCTTGATATAGGATTGCTTTTTGATGCATTCATTACTGACCACCCTATATAGATGTTTTGAAATCAACTGAACTCCCTGATGGTGAATTATTACGTTGCAGTTATGAGGAAAGGGCAAGATCGTTGGAGACAGTAGTAACAAAGCACAAACATAGCTCCACTTATGAAGAGTTCATAGCACGTGTATACAGCCCCGTAAGTGGATTGGGTGGTGCTTTTAGGAGTGGCGGGCAGCATATGAGTGGGAACACTACGGAGTCGTCAACATCGACAAGCGGAAATTCATCTTTGGCCAATGCTTTGTTAGATTCGTCTCATACCCATAAAGTGCAGCAGAGATCCGGTGACAATAAGTTCAGAGGTTAGTGTGGAACATTCATTTCTATATTGACCGGCAGGGTTATTATGTAAGAAACCTATATAATGTCAAAAAAACGACCAAATGTCAACTTGCTGGCTAGATAGCTGCTATAGTGTGCAGATAGTTCATTCCGCGTTTGCTCGCTGTGAGCGTTACCTATAGAGGAACGACTCGTCTACATGCTCAACGACCATGCTCCAAGCCAGTTCGCCAGCATGCTTTGTTGGTTGCAGAATGCCGAGATAGTCTGTAGAGTATATTATCTCTGAGAAGATGTGACAGAAAGAAAATTGGTTGAGTAGCAGAGTAGCAAGATCGCATCTGGATGATTGTGTGTACTGGTCTGCATGTGTATAAAATCAGTGATATTTGCTATATGAGAAAATTATTACTGACATGCTGCTCATTAAGTATATCTGTTAGCTGTACCAGACGTGTTATTTGTGTTGTCCTTTCTGAAGAGAGGTTATGTTATAAATGGTATGGTATGTCACGATATCTTATTTTCAGCCAACGAAGCTGTAAGAACTAGTTGGTTCAACACATCAGACGTACAAACCGTCGAGTCGAGCATATCTCCAAGGCCTATGAAGCGAATCACGTCGAACCTGAAGAATCCCAGAAAGTCGCTGAAACACGAAACGTCCGTGGAATCTCCTCCCGAGAGTCCACAGCAGATGACGAGGAAAAAATAGTATCAGTAATTTCCGAATATTGCAATATTCACATATTTTTTAAGTATAATTTGTAGTGATACGGTCTTGATGAATTTAAACAGTTAAAGTATAGGGTGATTCAAAAAACAATGGCAATATTCCTAAAACATGTAACTTAACTACATGCACCTGTAATCACACCTGTAAAAACTCCAAAATCAAGGGTGGCTAGAAGCCAAAGCAAGAAAACAACGCGATTAAGAACATCAGATAAGTCGTATATTGAAGGACGGATACAATTAACCCTAAATACAGATTAATTTAACTTTAAAATGGCATTCATCGTGCGCGGCCGTCGCGCGGTGGTTTCCATTCGCAACTGCCCCTCCTCGTTTCATCCCGTGGACACACCGTTGCCAATATGTTTTTCTTGTACCAGACATGTCACATTTCTCGTAGATTCGGCATATAATATCGTACCTAAGTATATATCACACTTTGACATCTACTACTGAGGCTAGTGACATTTTTGTGTTAGTCTGCAACGTTGGCAATAAATCTAAAAAACTTGTTTGTAGCGTTTTGTTTTGTGTATGCAAATGAACTTTTCTAAATGAAGAGCTGTTAGCAAGTACGAAATGGATCTGTAGCGTACAAAAAACCAAAACAAAATATGGCGCCATCCACCTGGTATTGACGGATCCATCAGAATTGTGTCCTTTGCCGATATGGGGAATTTTGAAATATTACTAGATAATCAGCTGTCACTCTACCGTAATTGATACTCGTGAAAAGTACTATATATAGATGTTGAGTTCAGAGCTGTTTTTCAGTGAACTAGTTGAGTTACTCCGAGTGATATAAGTAATAGGCCAAACAATTTAAGGTGGTATATCCGCCATGTATATTTCTTGCAAAATAAAAATTTGAACAAGTTATAAACATAACCTTTATAATAATAACAACCTAATTGAAGCATTTTCAGTTGGTTTAGTTGGTGTGAATTATGACCATCAGGTTATAAAATGTGAACGCACGGTACTAGAATTACGAAGTATAAAATTTGAGTATTTAGAGTTGATATAATTCAATAAAATCAACATTTACTTAAATAATCGTGTATCTTTGCGAGGCAATAAATAGTCCGTATTGATATAGTTTTAACAAAATCAGTATTACAATATTACAAAATAGCAATGCTGTCATCGCGTTGACAGTCCTTGACGTAGTTATATTTGACAGACCAACTATTGACCAACCAGACCAACTAAAAAAACTTATAGTAAGTATTGGTATATCGTATTTCACGAGTATCCATCACGGTAGAATGACAGCTGATTATCTAGTTATATCTCAAAATTCCCCATATCGGCACAGAACACATAATTCTGACGGATCCGTCAACGCCAGGTAGACCGAGCCCAATTTTGTTTTGGTTTTTTGTACGCTAAAGATTCATTTTGTACTTGCTAACAGCTCTTTTATTTAGAAAAGTAACTGGTACAGAAACTTATTTATATTATCGTACATGTACGAGGTTTCTCGTACGTCTGGCGACCCTGCGCGGGCAGGATTGTAGGACGCGCGATTGCGACTGTCTCTTCCTTTTCACTAGATTCGGCACTTCGCTTTCCTTCGCACGCCACTGGCCAGGAAGTATGGTAATCGCGAAAAATTCCGAAAATGGCAAGTTATGTTTATTGGAAGTTATATTTCATGTACATTACGAAGCCATGTCACTCATTTCGGTTAGTTTGCATGTTAGTCTCTCTGCCTGTCAGTCTGTCCGCTAATCCTTGGTCTGTCTATAACTTGGAAAGTACCGCTCAGATTGTGATGAAATTTTCTCACCATGCAGGCAAAAATTTGAAAAAAAATAAAACTGCTTGAAGGTTTTTTTTTGGCGTTTCAGAGACTCCTGATCGTTTTCAGAAAAAAATTAGGGGCTTAAAAATTGAGGGTTAGAAGCTGTAGGTGGTGGGGAACGGTATATCTCAATTTTTTATATTAAAATATTTATACGCTTCCAGCCCCGGTAATTGTAAGTACGTATTAGTCATATTTCACACATCATAGGTTCCCCCCTACATTTGCCCTCAAAATGAATATCAATTTCATGTGCGTGACAATCAATCCCAATTGATTAGAAAATATCATATTAATTCTAACAATAATTTGTACAATGACTCAATATGGGCTTGGTGTAACTCCTCAGCATTATCCACTCCTCTCTAATTTCCTTTTGCGAATAATGCTCTATCAGTTTCATCCGTACTGAGACATCTAAAAACGTGTTCAAAACTAACATCAATTCGACCATTCAACTTGCTATTACAGAAATCAGTGTTTATGCCATTGTTGTGGAGCCAATCACAGTCCAGGATAATGTTTCTAATAAGACCCGGTATAACCAAAAGGCTGTATTCAAATTCGCGACCACCCAAAGGCGAGGTACACCCGCTCCCTGACGGTCCTTGATTTGGTGCCCATAGCCCCCATCAAAGTAAGACATTTCCATGGAAAATTCGGTATCTCCGAATTTACTTTCAAAATTTCACCCAAAAATTTCTCCTTGACCCCCGTAACTTGACTACCAGAGTAGACTAGACGCTGTGTCGAAATGCCTCGAAACCTTGCAGTTACCACCGGCAACACTACAGCATGTTTCTCTTCCTCCATTACCTCCATATCTCGGTTCAAAATCGTGGAAACCTCTAGACGATCTCCATTTTCTGCATTCCTATCATCATTCCTATTATTTCGTCAGCTAGAGTTTTCCTGCACCATCTACCTGTCTACCTTGTCACGATTATTACTCCATTGGCTCTGACCACGACTCTCTCCTCTATTTTCTCTTACTGAACCAGATTCTTAATTATAATTCTAGGATCGGCCATTTCCATTTCTCACTTATATATAAATCTCAAATAATCTGCGTATACTTGACTGAAAATATGCTATACACATATCCAACAATTCATCTTCATCCATAAGTTTCGACAAATAGTTCGATTTCCGTATTTCAAAAAGTAATCGCCACGAGAGCGTCGCTCGTATTCACCATATTTGATTCCACAGAACACCGCCCAGTATCTTTTGATAAACTTCTACTTAAAATTGGGAAAGGAACCAAACCGCTCTGTGTCTGTCCAATCAAAAGCCGATCCAACAGGTAGCAGCATTTTTTTTTTGATAAACATGACGGGTGCAATTAGCCAGTTGGGGAAAACTGTAAAATTGGCCACCCGAAATATTGCCACGTCGCAATGTAGGGCCTAGTTGCGGCTGCACTGCTTGGAGGCTGAATATCTTTTTTCGTAACACCGCGCTCAGGTCTTTCAGGTGCCGTCGCTGGTGTTCCGATTTTTTTGATATAACGTTTAATTTTCTATTATCGTCATGTTATCACTTAAATTTGATGGCAGCGATTGCACCACTGAGCCTAGTGATTAGCTTAAACTAACATTTGAATCGACAAAGGAGTATACGCTAAACAATCTTCTGTTATTTGGCCAACTTCTTCGCTAACAACCGCTGTTAACCAGCAAAACAAATTCACTTTGTGCTCACGCAACTGGAACATTGATGAACTAGAGCCTACTAAAGTATTTGCTTTTGCAAGAGATGTGTCTCATTTACTGCCCAATCAGCAGCTACCAAAATACAATGTGATGGGCTCACCATGCAGGTATTTAAACTCCCTTCTTCCAACGTCCTGCGCCGCAGGAATCCCATGCGTTCTCCATGCGTAAATACGTAATAACTGTCTGGAATGCCAAATCTCCACAATCAGCCGATTGCAATCTTTTAATTAAACACTGTGTCGCATATCACGATAGCCGCGTATTCGGTGCTCCTCGCTTCGCCTCCCCCATGTTTATAGGAATTTTTCGGATTACTTTTGGACATTTTTTCTGTTCTAGAAATATTACTTCGTTTTTTGAATCAACCTGCATAATCTGGCTATACTATTTTTCACCGTACTTCAAACGACAAAATAAAAACGTGCTCGACCCGGACCTTATCGAATTTTACTACTAGGAGCAACATTTAAAACTGCTGAAACATATTTTGTGGGCCCTTAAGAAACGATTGAGGTGCGTATGATCTTGAAATTAGCGGTTTTTAATTTCTTTAACCTCATTTGTGATGATATGGCTTTGACTGAAAAATGCTATCACAAAATGCTACTTTATGGCCATTTTGTTTATTCTGTGATTGATATTGTCGAAAAAAGTATATAGAGGTCCGACAAAAAGGGGACAGGTGTACTACAATGTATGCAGTTTTTTGGCATTCATTTGTTAGCTTTAAATGTTTAGTTGTACCGTAAATGTCAGGAAAGAAAGTATACAGGGTGTAAACGTTATGATAGTCATTATTTTATATTGGGTGATAGAAGGGGTAAAAGGAAGCAAAAAGTTTCATATAACATGGGGGTCAAAACGGCATTTTTTTAGAGAAAAGCGACTATAAGTAAAATAAAATCTGACAACGCCGCAAAGCCAGACGCAAATTACGACGGAACGCAGTGTAAATAAAGAATGAGTTTTTTATTTTTGGCTCTTAGGTATTATTTCATTATTTGATAATGTACTCGTAAAATGCAAACAATTAAAAAAACGGACTCGCCACTAACTGTCTTAGCGCTTCACCTGGTGTGTGAAAGTTTATTCAACGTATTAAAAAAATCCACTTATAAATAGGGAACACAATTTTGATATATACATTTTCTTTTTAAAACCCACACTGCACTTTTTTGTATTTAAAGAAGGTGTTCAAAATGTCATCCTCCACTTTCCACACAAGCTTCATTACGACCTTCACGAATGGTATGAGGATTTTCTTGGGCCCACGTGTGAGTATTATGGAAATTTAATATCCCGTCTCGCGTAAAAGTACATTCGTCCGTCGCTAGAATGTTTTAAAAAAAATCTGGATTTTCAATGTTTTTGTGCAAAAACCACTGACAGAATGTTAGTCTGCGAGGATAGTTTTCTGGTAACAAGGCCTGCACTCGTTGCACATGGTAGGGATGAAGCAAATTTTCCCGTAGGATTCTATGGACTAAGGTATGCGATAGTCCTCCGCAGCGGCCTGATTCCCGAGTGCTGATATCTGCATTGATTTCCACGATATTTAAAATTTGCTCCTCCTGCTCTACAGTAACCTGTCTTTCACGAGTGCGAATATTAGTGGGTTGAACAGTTCCTGTATCTCGAAGCACACTTGCACAAACAATATACTAACGAGTGTTACCGTTTGCGATCGATTGCTGATTCAATAAGAGTGATGATGACCGACGCGCTGTTGTCACGTGTGTTTTAAATATTCAATTTAACGAAACTTACTTTCTTACTGACTACAAATTTTGGCTGAACTTCGAAAAACTTAATGCCATTTATTTGTTAATTACCCAATTTAAAAACGTTGTAGATTAGATTATAAAAATTCGTAAGATTGTGGTCGATATAAAGCACTTAAAGTTGTAAACTATAAAGCCATTTAGACAAAAATCTATTGACTTTTGGACCATGGGTCATATGAACTTTTTCACTTGTTTTGACCCCCCTATTAACCATTTCAATAATAACTACCATAACGTTTACACCCTGTATAATTATGCTTACATTATGTCTCCACGCGTAGCAGCTGCCTTTTTATTTTTATTGCAGAATTTCCTTCCCTTTGAGTCGGTGCAAAGAGCGTGCCCCTAGTGCCTTGATAGGTTATGTGGAGTTCGAAGTTTTATCCGATTTTCAGTATGTGCATCAAACATAATAGATTATTTAATTGAAAATGTTAATTTGTATCTACCACCAGCGCCACCTTCAACTAACGAGCCATGAAGAGAAAAAGGCAACACCGCATCACGGCATTTTGGGGTCCGGCCGTCCAGCTGGTGTGTGCCGTTATTAAGCCGCGTTTTCACGGGTCGATCCGAGTCGAACATTGAATCGAAAGCATATTTTGAATTTGTTTGAGCTGGTCAATTAAAACTTCTAGATTTTTAAAATGAGGGAAAGGTACTCTAACAGCATGTTCTAGATTCTCAATCCCTTTGTGAATATGACTATAGGCTAAATTTATATTTTCTAGTGTTTCTGTATTATCAAAATAAAAACTATACCCACTCAGTAAGTTTTCTAATTGAGACCATCTAGAGAGCTTCAAGTCAAATGGGAGCACCCATTTCAAATCATTACATGAGAGCGGATCCCCTTTATTAAATACCTTAGTTTCTAATGAACTGTCTATTATAATTTGCGTATTCAAAACTAAAATTTCACTGATTGTGTCTAATTTATAAAAATAAATTTTGTCATTAGTCTTCTTCACCAACCAATGTTCAGGGATTTTAATCATTTTAGAATAGTTTTCCAATAAATCTGAGAATCCTGTAATTCTGAAACCAAATTCTCATGCCTTTGAAGGATCTTATCTTGTCTGATGGCAGGATCTGTTCTACTAGAAACTTGACGCTTACTTAGATAAGATGGCACATTTGGAAAGACTGATGGAACAGCACCTGAAAGTTTTGGACGACTCAGTGTGACTGTGTTAGCTGATCCATCCTGCAGAACATAAGTTTCCGTACGGACAATTTCTGCTTGTTGAAAATGTGCATCACAAACAACAGAATCTTTAGAAGGCGACCAGTCCTTTCTCGGTATTGAAGCTAGCCACTTACTTTTCAACTCCTCATTTTTTGGAAATCGAAACACTGACCTGTAGGGTGTCGATCTCAATTCTGCCTCGTTGTTTCCCTTGCAGCCTGGTACACAGCAACGCTTAGGCATATTAATTAAAAGAAAAGATGTACCCACTCGAATCTACACACTATATAACAAGCACCGATTCACACACATTTTAAACACATCAAAGCACGATTTTATACTACCTAAAATAAATACTTTCTGCACGGTTTGAAGAGCAAAACTAAGTAGATTACTCTGGTTTGTATGAATTGCACTGTTCCCAGAGATTTACAACAAAATTGCACCAAAAAGTCGGAGGTTAGGAATATAAACAAACGAAAAACCCGGCAAACACCTGTCTGTGGAAGACCCCAAAGCTGCGTTGCCATATCTACTGTTCATGGCTCGTTAGTTGAAGGTGGCGCTGCTACCACATAATAGGGTCATCAGTGTGTTTATTTTATATTTTACGTTTAATATAGCTCAAAACCAAAATGTACGAATTTTGAGGTCATCCATAACCTCATCGTACACCTCAAAGTATGTTTTAACATCCTTTTAAATGTTTGTTGGAGTAATAAAAATTCGATAAAACCCGGTTCCACCCACAAACGTGTCAGCATATAACAGCTGATTATCTAGTGATATCCGAAACACCCCATATCAGGGTTGTCTTCCGTCCGGTCAAGATTTTTTTTCCGGCCTTTTTGTTCCAGAGGAAAATGTTTATTGAGTTTATTTTAACCCTTCCGGCTTTATAAAAATCATATCGATTATCACAAAGGCATTTGATCTCAAAAGCACTTATGCAGCCGAATTGCTGCCCCCTCACTCAACGGCTGGATCCGTAATCGCCATTCAGAATGATGATGCCCGGCTTTTAGAGTCAAATTTCCGGCCTAATACAGGACTTTTGTATTTTAGGAGATGCCAACCCTACCGATATCGCTAAATCAGATAGCTTTGATGGATCTGTAGACAGAGTCGTATTAAGTGGGCAAGATGTTCTCTAGTCGTAACTTGTGGCTCTATGTATCGATTCATATTTTTTTCAACCCCATTGTATATTTTATTGCATTTCTTCGTACTCGTATATTTTATTGTCAACATTCCCAGTGAGTAAAGTTATGTACCTACGTGCAACTAAAGTTTAATCTGTGTTAGGCATGAATAGTTCTTAATGCGTTCCCAAGTTTCACCATTATTCATTATTACCAACAGGACATTACAGTCTTAGCACAAAGATTTCACTCACTGATCAGCTGTTTACCTCAATAGAGCGTAGTAAAGTATCGTGAAGAATAGATTATAATTTGTGAGATATGTCCGCATCAGCATGAAGTGAGATTATTGGTGTAAAAGTATTGAGAACAAAGATGAAATGATAGATTACCTGATACATTTCACAATCATAAATAATAAGCAATCACTTTTATGGTGATACAGTTTGGTATCAGTTTGATAGAAAAGATTTCATCTATGACAGAAAGTTATGTTTCATTTGTGTCACTTCTTCAAAACTCCAAACAGCTATGCAAAAAAGAAAAGTTTGTTGTGGCCTTACTAAGTGCGCGTTATTTTAAAGCTTTTTTGAAAAGTAAATTAGAATCTGCTTTCTAGTGGCGTTAAGTTCGAATATTTAAACCATAAATAACATAGTTCAAGTAGCAGTGTGTTATAAAATATCTCACTTTAAAAATATTTTTCGAGTATAACCTATACAGGGTAAATAAGTTCTGAGTAGCGGCGTACAGGAGTTAGATGATTCTTCTCGTCTGAAAAACTCAGCCTCCTTCATTGATAATATGCTGTATAGATACAGCTCAGTAACTGATTTTCCCTAAATAAGTAGTAAGCTTACGCTAACTTTAAGCGTAACATACAGCAGTTACAAAATGGACTTTTCGAATATGGAATGGAATTAGGATTTATTTTATTGTACGTAAACAAGGAAAGGGTTAAGTAATCGTAGAGAACCAAGGTGAAATCCCCTTTATCTTGGATATTTATCTTGCATTTGCAATTTTGTATATATAGAGTTTAGATTGTAATCAAAATGTTTGAGGTTGCCAAAATCCAAGCTGATATAAATAATTATCAACTTCCGCATTATAGATCCATAGTGTCACCATTTAGAAAAATATATTACCATTGTATTTATCCAATTGAAGCTCTGTCAAGTTTCCTCTAACAATATGTTACAGTGTTACAAATACTTTGTTTTGCTGTTTTCTAGATAAAGATAAAGAGTAATTAGTTTGTATGCGAACTTACATTTTGTCAATAGAAAATCACCCTCATATGGTTTTATATCATTTTTAAGGTAACAATAATATTTTAATTATCTAGTACCTAATATATTTTAATTTCACAATGTTAACCGATCCCAAAGTACATGTGCCTCTCGAGCATCCTAGTTTTAATTTTATTTATGGGATATGGCAACCTCTATTTTTGCAGTGTTATTGGCGCAAACAGACTATATTTGTATATTTTGAAGAAATCAATGTCTGCTCATTTGCGCTTAGTATAAGCTAATATGGTCAGCATATTGTTTTTATGTTATATATGACTTTTTTACATTTGTTGTATTTATTTTTTGTTAATGCTTGAAGATCCCCATATTTATTTGCATATTTATTGGAAATTTCCATATAAAGATCTTCATGAATCAATTCAAACAAAATAAATTTCCTTAGTTGAGAGAAACTTAAGATAGATCTGATTTCAGTATATAATATAACATTAAAACTTTGGGAAAATTATAGCCATTTAATTATTACAAGTTGTTTTATAGGTTTTTCAATATCTAAAAATAACTCACTGTAGAATTATATAGAACATTAGATACTGCAGCTATCTAACAGTATTAAAACATGAAGCATTTCTTCTTTTTCCAAGCACATTTGTATTTTTTCAGTATTAATATTGTTTTTCCTGACTAATTTTATTACTTTTTTACAAAATAATTGGAATATGGTTTTAATGCAAAAAATATATTGATACCTCAGTATTCTTTATTTTTCACTAATAGGTTTATGTACCAAAATCTGAAACATTGCATAGTACTTATTATTTGTGTCAATAAATTTTGAAGAATATTATACTGTCTATTTTCTATTTCTTTGACATACATACAAACCTTTTTGCTGGTAAGTTCTATCTTTAGGACCCTCTTGTTAATAAAATAGACACAGGAGCAGATGAGTACTGAATCATAGAAACACACATGCAAAGGTGCTTGGAGTTCTTTGACTTGGTGCTACCTACTATCCTACCAATTACCACGGGTGATCGCAGGAAATTTTCTCTGGAGGGCCAGTACAGACATATGAATGTGCTCCCGAAAATATTTGAGAAGCAAAAAACAGCTCCGACAGAAGATATTGGCGAATGTGTGAAGAGCCTACCAGAACTTGTACGATTTACAAAAAATGTGCTTTCTCATTAGTTAAACGTTAAATAACACCTTTTCCTGGAAATCTTTCGAGGAAAATAGCTCTGAAAGACACAATGCACGTTTTTATTGCCTGATATAGCTTTTAAATCATTGTTAGGATTTGTCACAGTGCCGGTAATCCTGCCAAATTCAATAATCCGATTTCTGACAGCCTTTTGTGTGTGGTAGGATTCTGCGATACAAGTTCACCTTATGACCGCAAAATGAATCAGCTTTTTTCTACAGAACTGCCTAATTCGATTTTTGTAGATTTGCTACTAGGGTCGCAAACACGCAAAGAGGTATTCTCGCACGAATACTTTCACTACAATTCTGGCACGAATACGTCTCGCTGAATAGCAATAATCGTTGTTAAAACATTTGTTACTATGGTCGCAGAAATGCAAGGCTGCACGCAAAGAGTACTTCTCACCCGAAAACTTTCCACCGATTCTGTGATCTTGATGCAAGAAAAAATTGCTACCAGGGTCGCAAAAACACAAGGACTTATGAAAATGTATACTTCATACGAAAACCTATCGCCAGTTCTGTCTTGATAGAGAATTTTTAATTGTTGGATACCTCAAATTGATTCAGTTTTATCATGAAGAACCGGCAAATTCTTTATTTAAAAATGTACTACTCGTGACCCAGAAACGCATGATTAAGTAGCCATCGTCCCCTGTGTCTTTTTTGTTAACGTGCTAAAGGACATGTAGTTCTCGCACAACTGAGCCCTGTAGGTTATGCGATCTTGATACAGAATTTTTAGTTGATGGCACCGTATATAGGATCAAAGTTCTCCTACAGAGTAGATAATCGTTATTTAAAAAATCGTTACCAGGATCGCATAAACACAAGGCTACATGAAAAGAATATTTCTCGCATCAAAATGTATACTCCGATTCTATGATTCTGATATCGAAATTTTCTTCAAGGGATGCAGAATTTTAGTTAATGGATACCTCAAATAGAATCAAATGTTTCCTGCAGAATAGCCAAACTCGTTAAATTTGCTACCAGGATCGCAGAAATGAGATACCATTACCCTTCTTTGCCAAACTCCTTATTTAAAAATATGCTACTGGGATATCAAAAATGCGAGGAGTGATGAGAATGCACATTTGGTACGAAGATCTCTCGCTGCGTCTCTGATAAAGAATTCGTAGTTCGTGAGTACCAAAAATTGAAACATTTCTTGTGTGTCTCGTGTGTGAACTGTCTACCAGGATCGCAAAAAGGAAATGCATTTTTCACACGAATATATCACTCATATATACTGCGTCGCGGAGGCATAGTGGTAGTCGCTACGGAAGAATTTTTCTCTTGTGCTCTCTGTCGTCGAATGTGAGGGTGCCACCTGGCGGATTTCTAAGGTTAAGGCATGATTTATCACATGCACCACGTGTCCCCTCGCTAGAGTCCGTGTGACGACGCCACTCCCTCCTTCCGCAGTGTCCCTCTATAGTACCACGCTACCCACGGGTATTTAGGCGCTGGTATAAAAGAATCCATGCCATGCTCACAAAAATTTGGTACCAGGATCGCAGAGACGCCAGGAGGTATGAAAATGTACTCGCACGAATACCTCTCGTTAGTTCTGTGATCCTGATACATAATGTTTAACCCCAGTTTGAATCGGATCGGATGTTTGTCAAGTTTCCTACTAGGGTCGCAGAGACGCAAGGAGGTATGAAAGTATGCTTTTCACACGAATACCTTACTGATTCTGATACAGAATTATACAGATGGGGATAGCAAATTAAATCAGATTTTTGATGTTAATTTGCTAGCAGAGTTATGAAAATCTGCTTTCTATCGCTAATTCTGTGATTCTGAACCAGAAATTTCAGCCGCTGAAACCAGAAAATTAACCAGGTCCCTCTAGCAGAATCGTGAAACTCGAAGGAGAGCGGTTGAAAACAGAAAATTAATCCATCAAGCTAGAAAGGTGAGAATTTCTTATCAAGATCGCAAAGACGCGTTCGTCATGCACAATTAGCAGTAACTGGTTTTGCGATGTTGGATCGTCTCATTCTATAAAGTATTCGCTAATATTGCAAAAAATAAGACAATGACAATAAATTATGCTTTATTTAAAACAGTAAAAATCCCTTTGGTATACAGTCCTATAATGTATGCTCATTTAGTCTACAGACACAAGATATACACTGATACAAGGATGTCTTCTAACAAATCATCTAACTTAACCAAAATGTCTTTAATAAAACGCTACATCATCATTTGCTCAACAATGAAGTAGCTACACGTTTACTTTTACTCAGACTTCAATCGCTTCCGCAAAACATACACAGAGTGCATACTTCGGGAATCTTAAATCACAGGTAAATTATATACCGTTTATAGATACATTAACTATGCAATAGAGTTTATGAAAGGTATAGGGTTTAAAGTAATATTTATTTGGTCTATATTATATCAGTTTGTTGACTAATAAAAGCAAAGCATATATCACTGTCTGTGAGATCCTGAAGGAGTAAAAAATACTTAGAATATACAATAGAGTAATAGCAGTGATTTAGCGTGCTTTGAGCCCCCTGACAGTTATGGCAAAGTGAAAGCTCCAGATATCCGATATTCAAGGCTTGACTATTCGAACAAACCTCAAGTCTTTCTTCATGTTTCATTAAATTTGAGTAATTCATGTTTGATATCTGAGGACAAAAAGTGAATTGGGCGTGTTTGGAGGCTTTTGTAATATGTTTCTACATAAATGATTCTAGAGTTTCTGAATTGCAAAATAATGACGAAGAAACATCCATTCAGTAGGAAAAATCTATATCCAATGAAAAACAACTTGTGGTCATATATATTCCATATGTCTGATGATATAATTGAAGACTTGCTATACAAAATTTATATAAGTGACTGCCTTAAAGGCATTAAACGCCTGATATAATTCTGATTAATTTTTTGTTTGCGAAACTATAATCCCTAAAAATATCTTTACGAACTGCCTTTAAAATAAGATAATTCCACTCACTACTTGGATGATTGAAAGTATATTCTGACAATGGAAATCAATCAACTGTTAGTACTCTATTGCAGTTACAACACATTGAAAATCTTAGTAAGCATTATTAAATCAGACCTAGGTGTATTTTATGTTTATAACTATCAACAACAAATTGAGCATATTGAATCTGAATTTACAAATGTGCTAACGTATTACAATTCTGTATTCTTCAGTACACATGATATTTACTGGCCATAAAAAGAGCAGATCTAATCTAAAAGTAGTAATAGACATATCAATTTAATAATAAGTTTTATTTATGACTTCTCACCTTCATAAGATAAATAATAATCATCTGTTAAAATTCTGAGTAACTAAAAAAGTAATCTATAGTATCACGTAATATAAAATTGCTTTACACCAGACGATAGTTAAAATCTCCACCTACATTCAGTACCGAATATCACCCATTGTGGGATGAATATTAAAATAGTGATTGTATCATAATCAGTTCTACATAAGGTCTTTGAACCACAAAGTACTCTGCTCCATAAAAACAAATGTATTTTTTTAATATACCAGTAAGCAGAAATTGATATGTTAAATTCATTGGAAAAAAAATACTACTTGAAAAATAGGTGTTTCTCAATCTAACATCTACTTGTTCTATATTGAATATCACCATAGTTTTTATGTGATGTAAACCTTCAGCTAACCTTTGTGATTAAATGACCTCAATGACTCAAAAGTACCTAGATATATAACTAATGCAGTGGTGGATCATCATCATCCAAATCTTGTCCTATCATAAATTCATCATAATTTTCATTTCTACGGCTAAATTTAGTTCGCAACCAGGCAATGAGGTGGTACCTGAAATAGATAAAAAATAGTGTAATAGTGCATAATTAAAAGAAATGTAAAATGTATATCTATTGCGCTGTTGCTGAGTATGGTAAAATTTAACCAGGTCCAGAGATTATGAGTATTTTTCTGGTCATTAGTGGAAATTTTTGTTAATCATGCAAGTGAAGTAATTTTTCAAGTACTTTTCAAAGTACATACTACTAATGCACTGTTCAACACCACTGTAAGATTTTATGAAAAAACCACGATTTGGTAACTTTTTTAGCCTAAATATACAATTTT